ACTTGGAAACTTGGGGAGAATACATTGAGTAGATATATGATTGATCTCTTGTGCTATACCCGTAGAAAGCAATCCCGATAGGAATCATCGGCTATTGAGGTCCCGGATTACTCGAGTAGAGGAATATGAATGGGGTTGAGATGGAATTGTCAAGGCCAAAAAAAATTGATTGATCCAGTGTAGTCAATATTTAGCCAGTTGAACTAGTACACTGATTAAACTAGCAGTTTAGTTTGGTATATCCAAACTGCCAATTTAACTAGTAAACTAACAGTTTAGTCTGCTGAATTTAACTGTTAGTCGGTTTGGATTATAGTATACAAACTGCCGATTAGACAGAATCCATCTCCAAAACTACCAGTTTCCCCACTGGTTCCAACTATTGTCTACACTGGGTTGATCTGTATTGATTATTAGTGACTTCTCCTTGCAATAATCTACTTCTTTGGGCCGGCAATTACTGTGTTGTAGTGTACTCGTAATCGATCTGGAGTTTTTTCCACACGAAACTCTTGTTTGAAAGTTTCAATTATGATTGCTCCTCGAAGATTCAATGTATTCTATTCATTCAATGTATCCAAGTGTTTATATCTATCTAAGAAATTGAAATCTTTGGAAATAGAACTTCGTGTGAATCTTTCACAATTTCTCAGAAAACTATCTCTATCATTATTGAAGGAACTCGAATTAACAAGCGAGCTTCAATATCATAATCATCCACATGAGCTCAGCTAAAGATAGACAGCAGCTTTTCTGGCTGTAACCCTGAACCTCGTTTCTCACCCGGCTCATTGCGCATGCATGTACCAGTACGTTAGCTAGCAAGAATATTCTTGACCACATCAACCACATCTATGACCCTTGGGATGCGCGCACGCTCACCGAGATGCAAGTGGCTTTTTACCTAACCGTCAGATACAATTCCTGGGGTATATACTGAATCACTGAATCACACAAGGAACACGCCCACACTGATAATCTAAATTAATGCAAGTCACATGGAACAATGTAAAGAAACATCTAATCTTTCGTCTTTGTTGGAACTTGGGGGGCATTCGCAGCAAGCGCAAACAAGTCTCTTTAGCCTACTTTTTTCACTCATGCATGGGCTGATGTTTCTTGATCGTGATCGTGCTGAGATATTGATGTTGATGCTGCTAGCTCGTCGTTTAGCGGGGCGCTAGTTAGTAGTTATGGCTAGCTTTCGGTTGTGAGCAACTGAGTTCGTTTGTGGATGGAGACTCGAATAGATAGATATATGATTCTATGTATTTCTATGTACGAGTATATGATGAGTCTTCGTGAATCGTCATGATGGAGATTAGTGGAAAAGAAGGGGGGTATTCTATGTCACGAGCGAAGAGAGAGTTTACCCGCGTGATGTTTGGTTTACGTATTTCGCTTCCCTGGAATTTATTTCTTTTCTCTGTATATTTTGGCATGGTGATTGATGAATGGTGTTTGCTGTTTTTGTATTGATGTGCCTGACATTTAGTTTGTAATCTTCCACTTACATTTGATAGATAGATAGTTGATAGTTTGATGGTTGATAGTTGATGTATCTTTTCTAGAAGAAAAGAATTCATCAACTACCATACTCTCAAAATGATCGTCTCACAGTGTCTCTAGCTACCAAGAACAGAGACAGGGACAAGCATAAAAAATATAACTTCTGACCTAAACGTCACAGATCAGACAGATCCGAAGGAGAGATGGCCACGACAAATTTAGATTTCGAGCACAATACAATGTACCCGATCCGATATCAAGAAATAAGAAACTAGACAACAATGAGTTGCTAAACAGGAATCCGATACAGAGGAATAGCCCATACCTCTAGATGTTACTGGCTGGTGAATCTCCTTTTGAGTTTTGATGGGATGGAGGACTCGTGGTATGACATTGGGTTTTCAGACCGCCACGGAGTTGGTGATTTTTTTCAGTGTATGGGGGGTATGGGGTATGGTATGTTTAATATATTTACGAGTACTATCTTTTTCTTTCAAATGTACTGTAATATGAGTCGAGTTGGGCGAGCGTCTTACTAGTATCTCATATCTCCTGGATGATTTCTCTTACTGGCTACTGGCAGTTTTCTGCTTGGTTTTGTTTTCTTGATATTTTGTCTCTCTATGTACTCGTATAGTAATACGATACCGGTAGGTATTGATCTGATCTGATTTGGTTTGATTTGATTTAATACGCCAGTTATAACTCCACCCTAATCCTATTCTTCTAGACCTACTCATCATCTTCATCGTTTCATTGAATCATCAGATCAGCAATACCGTGCTCATTTTTTATATCTCCTACCGGTGTTTCTTTACTATTACCCATATGTGGAAGAATAAGAACACGACTTCACCGAACCAGTTGATTGCAATCGTGCTGTGTGGTGTCTATCTTCAACGCTGGTTTGATTCGGGGACGTATTGTGCCCAATGCACTATCTGCTAGCTAAAATAATAGCATGAGCATATTTACTGTTTAATATCATAGCGTTAAAGTTAAACACATTCATTTTAGATATCGCTGTACACAGTATTCAGGATATTTACTATCAGCTCGGCATCCACAACGGCGTCTGTAAGCAAATTGATAATCTTCTACGGTAAAAGTGTAGTCCGTAGCTTGAACCAATCAGGAAACTAGCAGTTTGATTATTAGAAACTAAACTGCCAGTTAAGCTGTCAGATTTGAGTTAAAATTAGCAGCTTAACTAATTCACTTAGTTAAACTACCGATTGAAAAATATTTTTAGCTGATAGATTGGGTTTATCAAACTAAACTGCTAGTTTTATCAGTGCACTAGTTCAACTAGCTAATTATAATTAGTGACTACACTGAGTAAATACTCATCACACACTTCAAATTTCTCAGCACGTATAGTTATGCTGTATTATAGTCGCGCAGCCGTCCCTCTACTTCCGCGTACTTTCTATAAATAAGTACCGGTACCTGATAGATAAACACGCGCATGATCGCATCGGACAAGTCTTTACGATGATGATTAGATTAGTCGAACCAGATTCTTAATTAATAAATCAAGTGCTCTGCTATTCTCGGGAGTCCATAGGTCCATAGCCGTTGGATCAAAGTTCGCCTGGAATGTGGGATTTGGGAGGGACAGTGGGAATTGTACTTATAGGTCACGGTGCTGGTACTTGTGTTTTTGGTATTTGTTCGATGCATGTCATGATTCGTGAGATGAGGGCTGGGTTTGGACTATTGAAGAATACATGTGGAGGGGGGGAAGGGGGAATGTGAAGGTTTGTTTGATTGGTCGTATTTCGGATACAGGTATAGATATAAGTTCTACTGTGAGTAGAAGAAGGATGTGGACTTTACTCCGGTTATAGAATCACAGTTAGTACTAGTACTAGTAGCTAAAATCAAGTTTCGGAAGATGATCATAGTATATTATAGCTGTTGATCAAACTACCTGTGGCTTGCTTTATTTAATTAGATCTCAGTGGAGCCTTCTGTTAGAGAGACATGGAATATGTACAGTAATAGCAGTTTCATTTTGGGAGGGTATATGGGCTTATTTTGCTCAGATATATATGTACTATTATTGAGAATAATATACTCGAGTATAATGCATCACTCATTGTATCATCCTGGACCAAAGATAAATAAATACCGTGACATTAGTCTCAACTTGAATACTCTAAGCGAAACCCACTACGACTTGGATACTACTCACTTGTATGGTCTTTAAAACAATGAAATGGGATATTCATGAAATCTGATTATCAAGAGAAAGGATGAGAATTTGATTATTTCAGGAGAAACTACCGTAATGTCTAAGGTCAGAGTAATCAAGAGTCGAAAACAGAGAGGTAATAGTTTAGAGAAGACTATGTACTACAAGATCCAGAGCTAGAGTAATGAATTGATGTTCTGGGTACTACTGGGTATAGAAAGGAATAAGAATAGATAGGGGAAGATTGGGGAAGATGAATATAATGTTTGAAACCACTATAGTTTTTCGTCAGAAGTAGGGATGAGAAGGTATTGGGGATGACTGGAGAAGATTGTGATAGTGTTTGAAACCACTATAGTTGATCGTCAAAAGTAGGGATAAGAACGTATTGGGGAAGATATATATGATATTCGAAATCAATCTAGTCAATTTTCAAGAGTAGAGATGGGAATACGATAGGGTAGATAGAGTGAATGGTTTAGTGTCAGTTGATTGGAATATTATATTTGTTCTAAATATCTTAGTACTTGAGTTGATATTGTATTGATTTATATATTTGAATGAGCATTCTCGATTTAGATTGGATGTTTGTTATATTTAGATAACGAAAAGTCTAGATAATATTAGTTTAGAATACAAATTTATATGAAGTACTATATCTGATAATCTCAACATTGCAGGCAATACTATTTCGATATCCTAATTTGCAATGGACATCATATATATTTAATTATCTCAATTCTTTAGCTAATGTTGTCTTAATATGCGAGTTGAATAGACTCGGATATTCATATTTTATCATTTCAAAACCTTAAGAGAATAGGTATTCAGTATTTCAAAATAGAATAGAACTTTACTTCTAGTAGTTTTAAATTTTCGTGAAGAGCGATTCGATGTTATGACTCAGATTTAGTGATTGCACTCAACACCTCAATATTCCAAACGAATATTACACTAAAACCTCGAATTACAATTTAAACATTCCGCCTAGTTGTCCCAAATGTATAGCTAATACTATCTTAATATACATGTACAAATAAATTCATATTGGATTATCGAAGAATCCTGAAGAATACTGTTCTATTCTTGAATAGAGAGTATGAATTGATCGCTAATTATCTCAAGTAGGATAGACTAAAGCATTGATACATCAAAAACAAACCTTACAATCACAATATCTAGACCTACAAGCATTAAAATAATCATTACTATTCATTAAAATCAAATACTACCAATGAGAAATACAAACATAAGTGCTAGTTTCCAGTAGTAGTAGCGACCAAACCCCTCTCGCTTAACGAAAAAGATTCTTGAACCCCTCCACCAGCAACGTCCTATTCCTTCCCTTTCTCTGCTGCGCCTGCAACAGAGCTCCAGCGACCTCCTCTCCACTCCCACTCACACTACCACTCCTACTACCCGCATCCGCATTCAACGCATGCTCTACATTTTCCTTCCTCAATTCCTCTCCATGTATCGCCGTTACAATGGGCAACGCCAACGAACTCTTCGCCGAAGGCGATGCAGACGCAGCCGAACGCCTCGAATTCAACGTATCGGCGATGGAACCAACGCTCTTCTTACTCCTAAAACTCGCCAGACGAGCCATGATGGGACTACCAGTGCCAGTCATCGAATGAATAACACCATGACCCGTGCCAGTACCAGCACTATTCTCCTTCTCATCCATGATAACCGCCAATCGCGAACCATGTCTTCCCGGCCCGCTCGTACCAGCAGTGTCTTGCGAGAAGGAATACTCGAGATCCGGCAATGGCATACTAGTACTTTCGCTCGAATTTTGACGAGCCTGATGATTCATGAGCATGGGTCTCAAAGTATCGAGCTCGGTGGCTGCGTCACGGCCTGGGTGATCTTCGCCGCTCTTGGACAGGCTGGCCATGCTGCTGGAGCGCTTGGTGATGCTGGAGATGCTGGCGTGGCTCAGTTTTCGCATCATGGAGCTGGCGGAGGCGCGTACCGTGTGCTCTCTCTGGGGTTTGGAGCAGAAGCCAGGATAGGGGATGATGTCGCGGGTCCAAACGTCGGCGAGCAGAGTTTCGAGATGCACGCGTTCGGTGCGTGGAGGAGTGAGGATTATGGGGCGGTGGGAGCCGGCGAGGGATTGGGAGCGATTGATGGAGATTTGGGAGGCGGAACTGGAGAGAACGGATTCGGTGGTGGTACTGGTGTTTTTGATGATGACGTTACGGAGAATGGTGGTCTGTAGTGTACTACATGTCGTGGCTCTGTGAATTGAGTTGCGTCGAGCGATGGTTCCTGAGTGAGGAGATTAGATGCCATGTTGTGAAGTACAGTAAAGTGTATATGAGATGTGAGACATACCTGGCTTTCCGTAAACTGTTCCCATGGGCTTGATATCAAGTGACAGCGATGCAATCATTTCTTGCTGGACAGTGCTATCACACTGGTTGGCAGACCGATCAACAAGACGGCTCTTCCACTCCAGCTCTTCTTTTGCTGAGCATGCACTCATTATGATTTCGAAGAGTTGAGAATGGTACTCAAAGACAATCTTCCAGGAGTAGGATGCCGTGTGACATTGTAAACCTATTTCAAATGTCAGAACTATAGAGCAAACCAAACCAACAAAACTTCTAGAAATCAAGCAAGGAGTATGGTCGCTTACCTTTACCATCATCGACCTCCTCTACGCTGAGCTCACTGATGGGAATACAAGCTTGAATAGAATAGACTTCATCCTGCTTCCCGGAAGTCTGAGCGAGAACGAAGAACTTTTCATACAAGAGAGCTATAAGGTACTGTCCGGTGACGCTGCGACCTGCAACCGTATCTTCCGTCTGCCAGCAAGCATGAAGCACACCACACAAGTGATTCTGCTCCAGTGTACGAATCTTGTCCCGAGATCTGCTTTCCGGCTAGGCAATATTAGCAGGATGGGGCAAGCAGTTGGAGTGTGATGACTTACCTGGCTTGTAAACAATAGGCGATCCTGCAGCAGCCATGTTCTTGACATTGCAGTTGCCTTTTGATGATTACCGGTAGTGCAATTCATTGCTCTATGTAATTCTTTGATCCGGAAAAGAGTCGTCTCAACGATGGTTGAAGATTCTGGACAATCACAGACTGGACTTTGCCCTAGAAGACGACCAAATAAAACCTCGTATCTAGCAATTCGGTGGATAGGCTTGAATACGGTCAGCATTAAACGCATATTCCAGGGAGGTTAGATCCGTACCTTGATGAAATAATCCGCAAAATCTCTTGCTTTCTGCGAGCCACTCTCCCGCTGATCCATAGAGACAATCATTTCCTCGGTTGATCGGATTGCTTGGTTGAGATCTTTCCATTCATCGGTGGTCCGATATGTTGTATTGATTTGCTTCAAAACCTCGTTATGCATGATGCCGTATGATTCGTAGAAGAACAACCCGGGAATCTGCTTATAATGAGTCAGTATGTATGCTATTAAATAAGGTGTAGTCTCTGAACCTTTCCGCAAAACACCTTTGCAATCTCTCCGGCAACCTTCGGGTCACCGATGTGTCGATCCTGGCTGTCAGTAGACCCCGAAGTAGGTGCTCCTCCAAGGCTTTGCCATCTCTTGTGTCCCTTGACAGGCGGATGGGTTGCTAGGTTGATCGAGTCTACACCAGCAAGTTTATTGGTATTTGCCACAACGGTAACAAGTTCGTTGTAGAGCTCGTTATTGTGGTTCCAGATGCCCTTGAGTGTCAGAATAATGGACTTGCGTAAGCTTTGAGAGAGGATAGGGACGGTTATTAGGAAGCCATCAAAGACCTAGCGAGGTGTTAATAAGAGAGTCAGGTTGAGTGGATACCCTGCAGCATACACGTATGAGAGCCCGGACATCATCGAGATAATCTTTCTCCGTGGAAAGAATCTCCTCAATGACACCTTGGCGTTGTTCCATGCGTTTGAGAACGTCCCTATCCATGATGATACCCCGTGATGTGTTTCCATTGTCTTCGGAAGCTCTTCCCTGTAGAATTGTATTAGCAATCAAACCATATACTGAAGTTTTCCAGTAGTAGGCTAGGTATTTTTGTAAATTTCAATACTTACAGCATATGATGCTCTGCTGCTGAAATCAGTTCGTTGATGGCGAGAAGACATGCCAGTCCTTGAACGTGGTGCAATACTGAAGCTCGCAAGGCTGGTTCCAACACTCTTCATGTTGGACACAAAACCAAAAGAGCTGCCCGATAGGGATTTTCTGTGGCCTGGCTGGGTCTCTATGGTGGTGGGTGTTTCGAATAAGCCATATCCAGGTACTTTCCCAGGCATATCGCAGCTGGCTGTCTTTCTATGTCCACCTCGTCGCTTGATGGTATGTAACCATTTTTCGAAAGGTTTCGTTTGGATTGTGTCCACCAACTCTTGATTCATGGGAGTTGGACTTTCCAAGGAAAATCGAGCGTGAATGGCGGCCTTCTCATCTAAATCGTTTATGACTTGTAATCCAATTTCAGCCAAATTACGAATGGTGCTGGAGACTCTGCTACCTAAACTGCTAGTTATCGAGGACTTGTCGTGACGTCTGGTGATTGGTATTGTAGTTATGTGGTCGTCTGTGGATTGATAATCTGGGCTATCAAAAGGAAATTGAGCGCGAGTAGCAGCCTTTTCATCTAAATCGTTAACAACTTGTAAACCCTTAGCAGCCACGTTACGCATGGTATTGGAGACTCTGCTTCCGAAACTGCCATCTGTCGCACGTTTATCTTGATACTTGGTAACTGGCAATGTAGTAGTAGGCTTGGACGTAGCTTGATCTTGGATAGCTGGGTGATCAACTTCAGAATTGATATCGAAGATGCCATTGATCGCAGACTGTTTTGGGTGCTCGAGAGTATTTGGCTCCAGCTCGATAGGGTCTTGGAGATGGTTTGCTCGATCGCCGGCGAGGTGAGCGGTATCGGCGGGCTCGGAGATCCTTTCTCTGTTCCACATTAATTTTCGTACTCGGACAGGTTCTTCGTCGATTTCGAGAGGCGCTTCCATAGGTACGCCATCGGAATCGAAGTAGCTGATTGTATATCTAGTGCCAAAGGTAATGCGATTCGCTGGATAAAGTTCTGCTGCGTGGAAGGCTTCGATGGAGGTATCAGCTGTACAGTTTGCATACCATTCCGCCCCATGAGCTGGTACTTCCTCGCCGAACTCATCCTTATTATTGTTAGAGGAAGCAAGATCGATTGATCCGCGAAGAGCTGTATCTTCCTGCGCAAAGGGATCCATATTGTCGACAGTGGGAGCAAAGTTGATTGAGTTGCGAAGAGCTCGATCTTCCTGGGCAGAGGTATCCATATTGCCAAAAGAGGGAGTAAAGTTAATCGACGCGTCAAGAACTGTATCCTCCTGAGCAAAGGTTTCCATAATATTCAGGGTGAGCAAAATTGTTTCAAAAAGGAGCAAAAGCAAGAGGAGCAAAGGGAGCAAAATGTGTAGATACAAAATTGTTCCAATGGACCAAGAAGGGTTTGCCAATGTAGAGTTGTAGAAGAAGAATAAAATATCAACTCAAGAATGTTCTAATATTTAAATGGAACAGAGGGAAAGAGTACCTCTCAGGGTAAAAGTCTCATAAGGAAGGGTCGAGGCTTAGTATGGATTTAACCGAAGGGGTAAACAAGAAGACACAAGAGGTAGAAGAAAAAATCAGACTACAACAATATATCAGCCAGATGATAGAGTCCCAACACAAATAAACACAGTTGCCTGTTACTAAACTTTTATTACAGTTTTATCATCAAATTAACAATGCCCATCTAGGAAAATATTCATACTTTCACTCAGGTTCATTATATATTATTGCTCATATAACATGAACAGATTTGGTCAAAACAAACCACATTCATAACAACAAAAAGACCTTATAATTGTTGGATCATAGTTTGCATTTTGTTGTCCAGTCTGTTGAGGCACTGGATTTGGCTTTTTGAAATATGAAGTATGACTTTGGGAGTATCAATATTTTTAGAGTTTACTCTGCGTCACTTCTCACTTCTCACTTCTCACTATGATTCCACTCCTTGTCTTTCTGTCTTTTACTTGAGGTACGTCCACTTTCCTAAAGATTTTGCGAATTTATCTGCGACTTATAGGAGAGCTACGCATAATAATGAGTTTCAAGCTTCGACCCTTGCCGAATTTTAGACATGTGTTTTCGATCTCAAGGCCTCCTTTGCCAGCCACATGAGATCGAAGCTTGGCAGTTCGACTAATGATTTCTCAATAGGAGTTGTCCAGCATGCTCCAAAGATATCAAGGTATTGTCCTACTGGAACAAATCATATGAATTCAATACTTCGATGGCGTATGCTGGATCTATCCGCAGAACTGATACCAGGACCGTCAGAACATCCACCATGATCGCAATGTTACAATGTTTCGCCTTCGATACCGACTGATCAGTCATCCCTTCATCAGCGATTTGAAACACAACCGGCGGCATACAGCCCTCCACTAGCATCGATGTCTAGCTTCCAAATCGCTAACAGCAGAAAAATTATGACAACATCATTATGCACAGAAGATGTAGCCAGCGACTATGGCTCAGCTTCTGAAACACCCATTTTAGATCTAGTTGCCAGGAGTAAGACGCAGCTAACAATACTGGATGGCCACACGGAGAGTGAAAGAAGGCCATGGCGTTCATTCATATAATTGCGGTTTACTTCCTAGCTATTTTTTATCATCTCATCAATCCCATAATTGCTGTGTCGGCATCTTTCAAGTGGCACACTATTACTCGATAACCAGGACAAAATCTTGCACAAAACATCAAAGGATAGCAGACAGGAGCAGAAATACTAGAATCGAGCAGCGAACAACTCTTGGGCACCAGCAGATTCCTAATCCCTCCTTCGCCACCCTAATCCTCCTCCTCTCCAAACCGCTGGCTCATTACCTTCTCCGCGGATTCTCGCTGCAGCACCACACCTACCGCGACTCATCATCAACCAAAGCCACAACTTTCCAAAGCCCCCTGGTGAAGGGTATGGATTATGTAGTCACCAAAGTAAAGTGGTGACGATGAGGAGAGAGATGTGCGTGGATTGGAAATGAAGGCGTGCATGAGAACAAACAATTGGGGTTGTGATGCCAGTGCTTCATTCTAATTTAAAAAGTTCTCTGTGGGTTGGAATGCATCATACTCCGGATCAAGGCTATGTTGCTAACTATATGGTTGCATATAGCCCATTTGTAGGCATGCACTCTGATATTTGAGGGATTGACAATGTATGAAAGGCTTCCAGGTCTTATTGGGTCCAATCTTACAAGTGTAAGTGGACATGGATACTGAGTTTCTGTCCTCTTTACATACAGATCTTTGGAACTTTCTTCTTCCTATATACAAGAGTGGAACAAAGAGGCAAAGATGAAGGACAAGGAGAGAGAAGCAAACGAGTACGTTAGGTTGTACAGAATGGGACCCTATTCACTTGCAATATACTATGATTCAACCCTGGCATTGTAGACTCATTATCCCTTAATTTGTGAGGAAAGTTTCAATAGGCAAACTTGCCATCCTTCTGACCATGGTGGGCTTTAGATGCGTTTTATCAGTCCATCTGTCCCATTTAGAAAGCACCAATTTCCTGACAAGATCTGTTCATTGCTGTTTTGTCTACCTAGTAAGTCTAAGTATGATTGTGAATCCTGACTATACTTATAGTTCACTCTTATTCTTATGAATGCTCGGAGACTAACAAAGTTGGTCGAGCGAAGTGAATTTAGCGTTGGCATTAGATTAGTCATCAGTGCTGCTCTAGTTAGTTTACCCCACCATTTTTTACATAATGCGTAGTATTGTCACAGCCTGGTCTAATATACTTTCACAAGGCTGAGTAGTTTCAATTTCTTAGAGAAGATCAAGCATCAAGAAACAAACACTATAACACCTTCACATCGATAAATGGGATTATCTTTGAATATGGAGAATCTACATGCCCCTACAGTTCCCTCGGGTCCTACTTCTAGACCAGCAGCCACAAATGGAATGCAAACAGATGGTCTGACATTTTCCCAACTTCAGATCAAGAAAGATAACATAGAAGCTGAAATCAAAGCTTTGAGTGGTGTTCTCGACTCGGTAGGTAATATCTCGAGTCATATGAGCTTTCGCTAACATATAGCAGCATGGTGTGGATATGAGCACGAGGCTTTTGACCCCCGATGGTTTTCCTCGAGCAGATCTAGATGTTGCACAAAGTAAGCGTTGAAGCTCCATACAAGTGTGACCTGGGCTAATTCCTCTCCTAAAGTTAGATCTACCAGATCGCGAATAATCTATCTCAAAAACGATTACAAAGCTCTTATGAGCGTTATCGAGAAGCATATCCATGAGCATTTTGCGAGACTTGCTGAAGACCCAAAAACAGTAGAGCCCATTATTGTCAATGGAGCCCAGGCTAGTGAGATTATAGGTTCTACCGATGAGCCAGCACTCCTAGATCTTCCATTTGCGAAGGTCAATAGTATTGCAGCTGGAAGTCCTGCGGATGATGCCGGGTTAAAAGCTGGGGATACAATCAGAAACTTTGGATATGTCAATCATGCGAACCATGATGGCTTAAAGAGGGTTGGAGAATGTGTACAAGGAAATGAAGGCGTATGTTTCCAAATCAATACCAGATATGCGAGAATTCCACTGATTTCAACCCTACATTAGCGTGAGGTTATGGTAAAAGTTTCAAGAGGGTTGGGACGCCAAGAGCTACAATTGACTTTAACGCCACGAAGAGATTGGGGAGGCAGAGGCCTTTTGGGCTGTCATATTCTGCCATTGTAGACCAAAAGTGACAGGTGCTATTCGAGCGTAGGAGTTACATGGCAGGCGTTTGGGTTCTGGTGGAGCTGTACTCGGAGATAGTTTGGGCAGAATATATCCCCCCTTGCCAACACATAATTTGGGCATCTTCGTGGAAACGGCGACACATCTATATGGTAAATACTAGGAACGCTTCTTGAGGAACGAGGACTTTCTGTCTACCAAAGTCAACCTAGATAGCCTGAAGTAGAAGCAACGAGATGATCTAATATTTGATAACAAAGTGTTTGACCAGTATCTTCTTGAAGAGGGCGTTGTGGTCCACCTATATCAACCAAGTCGAATAGTGAAATTTTTTGATCATAAACTACTACCCTGCCTAACATCTCTGAATCAGGCACATTGTAATAAGGATTTCAGAACAACATGATTCACAGGTTGCTTTCAATATCTTCAGATTCCACTTGATTCCATTCACTTGTTTGTTCCCAAGGTGAATGGATGAATGGGCAGAATAATAACGTGACTTGTGCCCAACTTCCATTTTTCGATTTTTCGCTTACATAAAGTTCGCCCACCGCTTTCTCTCACTAAAGTTTTGGTCTTGTAGCAATCAAAACATTCTCACATCCTTGAAGACCAAATCATACTCCACCACGTCCACGACGAATTTTCAACGATAACAGGTACCCCTCCTCTTCCTCCTCTCCTCTGGTCATCGAAATCATTTTTGCATCAAAAGTTTCATTTGCGCTGATCATCTAATCAACAGTGTCGACATCTGCGAGGCTCTGTTTACCTAATCTCCCATCTAAAGAAAACATCAAGAAATCATGGCGGAAACTTCTGCACAGGCTTCGGGAACACCAACCTTCAAGCTCGTGCTTGTCGGTGATGGAGGAACTGGAAAGGTAAGCACATCGAGGTTGCGGATGGTTACATCGCTGCCGTCATTTCTGAGCTGGATTTCATTGTCGCGAGATTTGCGCCTTCATTCCAACGATAGTGGCTTGGCGGCATCTCGAATCATAGACTGACCATCAAATAGACCACCTTCGTCAAGCGCCATTTGACTGGTGAGTTCGAAAAGAAATATATCGCCACTCTCGGTGTCGAAGTCCACCCTCTTGGATTCACCACCGTACGTTGCGAATCCCCCACCCTGGTTCGACGCAAGCCAAACTGACGTTCGTAGAACTTGGGAAACATTCAATTCGACGTTTGGGATACCGCTGGACAAGAGAAGTTCGGAGGTCTCCGTGATGGGTATTACATCAACGGTCAATGTGGTATCATCATGTTCGATGTTACTTCCCGTATCACATACAAGAACGTCCCTAACTGGCATCGTGGGTTTCCCCAAAGTCCTGTTAACATGATATCAGACTAAAAGTTTTGAATAGGTGACTTGGTTCGTGTTTGCGAAAACATTCCTATTGTCCTTACCGGCAACAAGGTCGATGTTAAGGAACGTAAAGTAAAGGCCAAGACCATCACCTTCCACAGAAAGAAGAATCTCCAATACTACGACATTTCTGCCAAATCGAACTACAACTTCGAGAAGCCTTTCTTGTGGTTGGCTCGCAAGCTCGTTGGTAACCCAACTTTGGTATGGACAAAACTTCTCTCTTTCGCAGTGATGTGGCTAACATGTACTAGGAATTTGTTGCTGCTCCAGCATTGGCACCTCCAACTGCACAAGTCGATGAGGAGCTCTTGAAGGTTTACCACAAAGAAATGGAGGACGCCGCAGCTCTGCCACTTCCAGATGAGGACGATAATGATTTGTAAATCGACCGTAACAATGTCCAGAGGACCTTCGATCAACTGGCAGCATTTTAGATCGTTCTTTTTCTCGGGGTATTTGCATTTCTCCTGTCGATCGGTTTTTGCGGATAGAGGCAGATGAAGCCCCCCCCTCTTCACTCGGGGCAGGGTACATCACAGGCCAAGGGGCATGCTGGGAGGGATGGATTGGGAAATTTACGAGCGACCAACATCTTGAGATAGAATTAATTCTCTAGATGTTACTGCCGTTGGCATCTTATGTAGCTAGATCATAAAAAGCCATTAGTTCTTTTGATAGACACCTTACGAACCTAAGGGCTTGTACTCATAAAGTCTTGCGTGGAACAATATGGTTGTATTGTGATTGGTCATGACTTTAAAAACTAGATTCTTCTAAAGGATCATTCAGGTAGGTATAACCAGCATATCTCACCATTTCCTAATGTATTTAATCGACTGCAGCAGCGGACAAACTCACTAAGCCAGAGAAGGAAGCTCGGATGCCATTTTCTAAGTTCATCATCGGCATTGGTTCGTTTTTATTCAAAGGCATGACGAAATATTCTTCGTTGTTCTCGCCAGTTGTATCCCCTGTATAAGATGCAGTTCCCAACAGAGCTATTTCACCCGATATCAGGAATATTGAATTCGGAGACCCCAACCAACCAAACCCCGCACCCCGTTGTCACCGCATACAAGATCGCGGAGGCTTACGGGTTTGTTCAACAGAATTGCTCTATGGATACCTAGGTAGTTTCCGAAATCTTCATGATCCCCAGGCACCTGTAGACTAAAAAACGATGTAGTAAATATGTACTTGTCTTATCTATCAACATTGTGCTATTCAATGCATTTCAAGCAAGGATTTCTAGATTTCCCTTGAAGTTTAATCCAACATTGGATCTGCAACATGATGAGGCGGCTGCTACACCTTGTATCTTCTACATAGCTATACTGTGCGAGAGCGTCCTGAAGTCTTGTTGCTCATCAAGTGGAGTAATTTGATGCAGGCGTTTTTGCATTGCTATAACTAGCTAAAACACATCAGGAAGGTCGTTAAAAAATTATGATGTTAGATTGTTTTTGTAGGCCTATAAATATCGAGCACCTCAACGTTGTTCATAACCTTCTGTTCTGTTAAAGTCATACTCATTGGATATATGAAAAGTATACATACAATGATTTCCCTAATTACGGCAGGACTGGGATTGTTTACAGTTGTGAACGGTGCCAGAATCACTCAAAGGAACATACGAGCCAGCCTGGAGGGTCGAGGGGTACCAGCAAATGCAACTGGGGTAAAGACTCTCGTTACACCTCAAAATATAACAATTCGTTACAAGGAGCCTGGAAAAGATGGTGTATGCGAGACTACACCCGGTGTGAATTCGTACTCGGGATATATTGACCTTGATGCGTACGTAAATTTTGACCCTAGCTTGGTGAACATTGTATTCATAGGATGTTATTAGCAACTCACACACTTTCTTCTGGTTCTTTGAAGCCCGAAACGATCCTGCGAATGCACCAGTTACTTTATGGTTGAATGGTGGACCAGGATCCGATTCTATGATCGGTCTCTTCCAAGGTATGCATCGATTTGGATGAGATCGTGGGCATTAGCTAACATTGTCAGAATTGGGTCCTTGCAATGTTACGGCAAACCTCACAACTGAGGTGAATCCTTATTCATTTAGCGAATATTCAAACTTGCTGTTCCTTTCCCAACCTTTAGGTGTTGGTTTTTCATATGGATCCGAAGGTGTTGGGAGTTTGAACCCAGGTAAGTCGCAGAGTGTTTCAATCTTGAAGATAACTAATTTCCGAAATAGTCACCGGTATCTATGAAAACGCTTCCTTTGCTGGGGCACAGGGGAGATATCCTGTCATCAATGCCACAGCCCTTGATACTACAGATCTTGCTGCAGTGGCCGCATGGCACGTTTTGTAAGAAAGATCTCTTCACGGAACGTATGGGAGCTAGCTGCCCATACTTTCATAATACGTATCTTCCATCCGTGCCTCTCTCAATTCATTGTGTATCTTGTATCAATCACCTACTGATGCGTTAATACCTCCTAGACAAGGATTTCTTGGTGGCTTACCCCAACTAGACCCGGCCGTAAATCTTACATCGAAGAAGGAATTCAACTTATGGACAGAGTCTTATGGTGGCCACTATGGTCCCGCATTTTACAAATACTTCTACGATAGAAACCAGGAAATCGCAAACGGTACTATCGAAGGTATCCATCTAGACTTCAACACCCTTGGTGTTGGTAATGGAATCATCGATGAGTATACTCAAGCACCCTTGTAAGTCAGATTTATGAGTAATGTCTAACATCTACTGATTGTGTGAACAAATAGTTATCCTGAGTTTGCTGTGAACAACACATATGGTATTAAGGCTTATAATGACACAGGTATTTAACCTGCAATCAAAGATTTGTCTTCTATACTAACGTAAAAGTCTACAACTTTGCCAAATTTGCTTTAAATATGGGCTCCGGTTGCCTTGATCAGATCAATACGTGCAGAGCAACAAATTTGACGACAGCTGCAGACCAAGCAATATGCACAGAGGCTGAGAATATGTGCAGAGATAGCGTGGAAGGACCATTCTATGTCTATGGAGGACGAGGAGCCTATGACATCAGACATCCTTATGGTTCGTTTATTCGCTATCGCACTCCCCAGTCTACTTCCTCTGGATTGTGAGAATGGGGAAGACCTGTTTTGAGCTAATAGCATCTTCAGACGATCCAACTCCACCCACCTACTTTATTGATTTCCTAAACTTAGCTTCCACGCAGAATGCTTTAGGAGTCAATTTAAATTACACCGAGGATGCCAATGAGGAAGTTTACTACGCTTTTCAGCAGACGGGAGATTTTGTCTATCCCAGTTTCTTGGAAGATCTGGAATATCTACTCGCGAACGATGTTCGAGTATCATTATTCTACGGTGATGCAGATTATATTTGCAACGTAAGTTGAGCTTTCAGATTGTCTGCAGATAGTACTATACATATCTTACACTTGCGAGAGAATCATAATATGGTTTCAGGACTTAGAACCCAAGCTAACACAACTAGTGGTTCGGAGGAGAAGCCATCTCCTTGGCTGCAAACTATACTCACAGCACTGAATTTGCTGCATCCGGTTATGCTCCTTTCTTGGTTGATGAAACAGAGTACGGGGAAGTGAGACAGTACGGAAATTTTAGTTTCTTGAGAGTCTACGAAGCAGGTAAGTCATACCCCCTATACTAATTTATACCGGGCACTCGACTCACTTGCTAACTCCTACAAAAAAAAGGCCATGAAGTACCTTTCTACCAGCCAGTAGCGAGTTTAGAATTTTTCAGACGGACATTGCTCAATCTCGACATCGCGGATGGAAAATCGAGGATTACAAGCAACTATTCAAGCCCGGGTCTCGCTTCAGCTACTCACACTGAGCCTTTTGTAGCACTGCCATCATCGACATCACGCTCTATTGCGGCAGCTCTTGGAATACCAAATGGATTGCCAAATTGGCGTATATAGAGGATGATTCCTATCAAAAGGTATACTTACGGTCAATCATCCTTGTGTCTAACATGTGGAAGTGCATGCATATCACGTGTTGACGATTACTGCTTGTCTTTAAGCAAATATATGAATATACGAGTATTACCAAAACTTCGTTAGATTTCATGTAAATTCATTACAAAATAATTGATTACTAGATATACGAAATAGTTGCCAAGTTCTGATCTCCTGTATAAATCTATATATATTGAAAATAAATGAAACCGTGTCGTGGTGATGACATTCTCCGGGATACCTAAGTGTATTTTCCGTGCTCGCTTGCGTCGCGGTTCCCCAAACGCGTCAACCTCATCCACACAAATCTTCCCTTCACTACTTCCTCATACCTCCCAATTCATTTTATCTACACAAGAATTGACATTTCGATTACTGGGGATTGTATATTCTATCTTACACCCTTCAACAACTTATTTACTTGGCATAACTATTTATTAATATGGACGACGCGACTCTACCAGCGATGCCTCCACTCCGCCCTTCTTCACCAGCCCTTCTTCCTACCGAATATGAACCCGAACCGCCTTTCACTCACTCCGACAACAACGAAGAACTCGAGCCAGCCAATCCTTCTCACGATACTACTACAACTGGTTCGCTAAAAGAAGAGGCCGCTGATTACGAAGGAAAGTTAGAAGGTGGGAAGCAGAAGAGGAAACGAACTAGGTATGCGGGATTACATTACGAACCCTTCTACACCAACTTTGACCAGTACTTTTGGCCCAAATTCGTCATATTCATCTCAATATTATATAATATCAAGATTTGTTTGCTGATAGGTCTGAAATCTACAGTCCCGAAGACCAAGCTTTTCTCGAAGCCCAATACAAGGAAGATCCTAAGCCGAATAAAGCAGCGCGTGCGGAGATTGTTAAGAGTGTTAGGTTAAATGAGAAGGAAGTCCAGGTATGTTTATCGCTGAGCTACTGCTGTGTGATATTACAAGACGCGTCTCGACTGACTGGCGGATATCTATAGATATGGTTCCAAAATCGTCGCCAAATTAATCGAAGAAAGTCGCGTCCACTTCTCCCACATGAGATTGCGGCGTTTGGTCTTGGTATAAATAATTTGTCTTCTGATCCTGCGCCCGTATTTAGCTATAGTAGCAGTCAGGAAACGGAGGAGCACAGCGAATCTTTTCTGCCACACGAGCCATTGGACATACTGGATGACGAAGAGGAACCTAGACTTTCACAAGACCGACAACTGCCGGCAACCGAAACTACTCCCATGATGAAGCCCACAGAAACAATCGCGGAAGATACCCAAAACTTACCGTTGACAGTCGAGCCCAGCCCTCTAGTCTCAGAGACGGTCACGAAGGAAACCCCCTCTCAATCTGTTCCGGAAGTCTTGTCTCAGTCGTTCTCAGCTACACCTGGATATTTAGCAAATCGTTGGAATACCGTCAGCCCATTTGCAACCCCTGTTTCTGCTCAAAGTGTCATGTTCACAACTCCTGCCGTGTATGTGACCCGGCCCTAGCCCGTTTATTCCAAGTAAGCTGCTGACAAAATTGCTTCTAGTTCTCGGCCAGTTTTTCCGTCGTCTTGCCCTGAAAGAATCACGACAGATACTACCCCGTCTGCTACATCTCGCGTGCGACTTTCGACCGGCCTCGATGGTAGGGCAGAGTTAGTCGAAGGAGAAATCACCCCTCCCCGCCCACAACCAGAACGACCTACTTCGTCTTTGTCCAGTGTCATTCCACTGAAGCGGATGCGAAGCTTACATCGCAGCCGCAGTGCTCTGTCTTTCGGATCTTCTTCTTTCAGTGGCCCTTTCATGCCTCGTTTACTAAGTGGCCGCTCGCGTGATGCGCGAACTTGGGAATTCTGTGCCGAAGGGGAGCCACGTGATGAACTCACAACTCAGGCTGAAAACGAGTCCAATGGTTCAGCAATCGCAGCGATCAGTCTTATTCGGTCGACTAGTGGCAGTGCTTTAAAGTCCAACCCCAGCAGACAAAACACGGCATCTCGACCAAATCCGCAAGGAAAGAGACCTAAGATGGGACGTGCTTCATCAAGTGTGGCGAGAATGCAGAGCGGGGTTCAGAAGGCAGGACAAGATGTCACTGATAAAGATCCGCTAATGAGATCTCCATCGGGAGACTCGGACAAAGAAAATTGGACCCCACACGAAACTGGCGTAAATCCACGCCGGCGACCTGCTCATATTAGAAAGGGAAGTGAGAGAGAACCGAAAGGAATTCTTCAAGACAATCCTGTCCTTCCTACTCATGCAGAGTTCGGCATTGATAAAAATAAAAGAAGAAAGAGCGCACATGCCGAACCTCAGGTCTATGAGGATGCAGAAAATATTGCAAAGACCACTAAAGCCCCGGATGATGATGTTCAGCGTTTCATGCGAGGTCCGGTGAGCCCGAGCAAGAAGGATGATGTTGACTGTATACATGGTTTACTATCATTGAGTCAGGGAAATTGGCGATAATCAGAAACCTGCGTGGCCAAAAATACGAGAAATGAATGTTATGATTCGGGGTCCATAGGTAACTGGAGCTTGATTGGTTGGGTATTAGTCAATTTTGGGAAAGGGAAATAAAATTGGTGTAACGTGTGGTGTGGTGTATTGGTGTGGGCTCTATTAACATGGGATGATACAAAAAATGTTGAATTAATGGGAACAGTTTGATGATGCGAATTTGCCTGCTTGCCAGTAAGTAACTTTTGTGGGCTCCATTGTTACATACCTGGAGAGCAAGTTTATGGAGTATAGACCTGCTAGCTCAGGTATTTTGGGTAAAACCATTTACATTGACAGTTGTTGTCAAGACAAATCCCCTATTCGATTTAAGCGAATGTAACCCATCGAGTTACAATAGTAATAAAAACAACTACTGTTATCTGATTGTCTTTAGCTTCCAGTCTTCCAGTTTGATTCTATCAATTCTCTTGATGTCGCATTGGGGCCTTGGGAAATTATTCTATTCACTGTGGATAGTGCAATCAGTTTTCTAATTTCCTTGTGATTTCTTGCAACTTCGTACCAACCTCATCAACTTGACAACCAAACAATACCTTCTTACTTCTTCAACCATCTCCAGTCTATCAAAACAAATTCTAGCATATTGAGCATTTAACAGATCGCCTCATGATGGTACAGATGTCTGAAACACAAGTACCATCGCAAAAGCTTCAGGTTCTTGATTCTTACATCAATGTCGATTTTGCCAAACTTTTTAATTCTTCTGTTTCTATCTCAGATGAGAAATTTGAGATTATAGGAGCAGCTGACAGCAAAAAGGAGCCAAAATTTGCTGGTGAAGATGGGATTGATATTCATACAATCGTGGATAATGGTGCCATTATTGACAATGGGGAAGGTGTTGATCCTCTCACAATTATCAGCAATACATTTGTTTTGACACCAGAACCATCACAGTACAACTCCAGATCAAGCTCAATGTCTGCCACTGTTATTTTCAGTCTCAAAGACGACAAAACAGCTCAGATTACAGGCAACTCTGGCAATACACACAAAGGAACAGTGTCTGAGACCAATGCTGCTCCAGAGACAGGTGTTCTTCGCAAGGTACACAAAGGAGATATGCACAATCCAATTAATGAATCAGCCAGTCCTCCTACTCCACCCATCACTCCTTCCACAGAGCCATCTATTTATATCCCAGCAAACCGCATTGAGCTTCGAGCACTATACGAAAAGTTTCCCGATATCTGTCCTAGTATTCCAGCATCTCCACCCGCTTTCTACAACAGAGGTGTCAATCACCTTTTAAACTATGCACGATCACCTCCCGCCACACCGCGCAGATATGGCCAACCAGACTCGCGCCGTCTCGCGGAGTCTTTCGCTTCCAGAACTCGACTTCCTGCTCAATCAACAATGCTTCCAAAGATGCTAAAGGAGAGTCTGAGAGATTGGTATCAGATGGTGGGATTTATGGAAAAGTGTCGACGCGACGAGGAACTCAATCCGTATCCGCACTTGAATTTGAACGAGGGGTGGAATCGCGCGAGGTGTCAGGGAGAACAGTGGCACGATTCCTTTTCGAGACCGTGGCAGAAACCTAATAAGAAGATTCAGGATGCTGTTCGTACGAAAGAGCAATTGGCGAGATTTTCGTGGAGCGAGCAGGGTGATTCGATTGTTGTGGATGGGGGGTTAGCGAAGGGGGCTTTTGAGAAGGTTTTTCATGGCGTGGATGCGGAGAGGGAGAGGATGGCGGGTCGGGGTCAGAAGAGAACGCCGGGTGCGTGGTGGGCTCAGAGAAAAGGCTTGTTTTTTGATATGAAGGGGAGGGGGTTTAGGGAGGAGATTTATATGAAGAATTGTCAGATTTGGGACGGAGTAAAAAAATGGGCTGCAAGTGATGCCGGTGAAGGACGTGGCAACTTAAAGCGAAAAATTGATGCGGTTGAGGAAATGGCTGCGAAGGCAGATGATTTGGAACAGACGCAGATTTCAGAACCGAATCCGAAGAGAAACAAAGCCCGTCGCCGAATAGCACAAGTCATGAGCGACAAATGGAGAGCCAAGCGAAGAATTCAAGAACAGAAAGCCGGCAGATGGACCGACGGAACCCTCTTGCAGAATCGCATGTGGGCCGAATTCCACTGGGTACTCGACGCCAAGGACCACCACGATCGACGCTTCTTCGATACTCGAGATTGGGCGCGGATCTTTGCGGAAAGAGGATGGCCTGGTGTTACGAAAAATCAGGTGTGGCTTGAAATTTATTACGGATGGGGTCCGTTGCAGAGCTGGCTCTTTCGATATACTCTTGCGGTGCAAAGACACTATAGAATGTATAGGGAGAGGGAAAAGGAAGTCGCACAGAGAAGGCAGAGGCAGTGGGCTGGCGTTGATGATGTTTCGGAGAATCGCTGTGGCTATACTGGCTACGGTCGATTGTAGGTTAGGAATGGGGTTGGGTCATTCATTCTGCTTACATGGGGAATTTCGAACTTTTTGGGACAATGCGATGATTAGAATGGTGCTAGTCATTTGGGATATCACATCAATGCGGGAGGGAAGTTTAAACTTTGTGGACATCTACAGTGCGCTGGGACATTACAATCAACAGGGAGTTTCTAATCATATGGGACAATGGCTCGTTCGAATTGCGAAGACTTTGATACTACTACGTTAGCCGTAGTTTGGGGTAGGAAGGTGGTTCTCTAGTAAATATTATGCAGTGGGCGGCTCCTTTTCGGATATCACGTTCATAGCAATTTAAGAGAGCACTTTTAAGATCGCGCTATTCGAATAGTGATAAATTATGACTGTGAAATCTTCGAATTGTTACTAGCAGTATATCCTTTCTATTAGCTATATAACTAATGATTCACTGGTAAAAATTACTGTGTAATGATATTTATTACTTCCCCTCAGATTCAAATCTCAAACTGAGAGTCCGAGACAAACTCTATACAAATCACATCATATTTGACTAGCTGTTGTATATTCTATGAGAGGGATATGAATACATTCCTCATGTATACAAGGCAACAATTGTAAACCTAAAAAGACTAGTGGTGAATAAAGGCTGTTATAGTAAATAACTTTTTTTATAAAGCCAAGGTCCCCCCTTCTACAAGTATCTGTATACCTATACTACCCAGATAATATTTCAAGCACTCACACTAGCAGTATCTGCAACTTCCTCAAAAAAACACATTATAAATTCCATCCAAGGAGTTCGTTGAACATCCAACCACACATAACTTTCTAGTATCATTTTGTCACTATCAATGAATTATCCAACATGGGAAAAGGCAATTTCCAAAGACGCAAAGGGAAAAAACCCGGGAAAAACTACATGCCAGGAGCTTCTATGAGGGGCCATCTCATGGCAAAGGGTTTTAATGCTGCAGCAGTAAGGCTAACTATTTTCCCCTAACACCAGTTTTTGGAAGCTAATTATTTCCAAGGCAAGACAAACCATGAGAGTACAAGAGAGACTGCTACTCCCGATGCAGCCGACATACTTTCAAGTAAATACTAATACTTGAACATCATAAGCTTTTGTAGCTCCTCTTTCTCATGCAGCGCTAACAGACTTCGATCTAGTCTCAGGATTGGGCCAATCGTATTCGTCGACAGAAAAAGGAATGTTTGCTCATGACCCTACCAGCCGAAGTGCGTTTGAAGATCTGGGGATACTGTATCTACAATCTCCGTATGTTTTGTCCTCCATTTCCAATATGTTACGTCACGAGAGCGTATATCTAAGATACTTCAAGCCGGCGGCAGCAAACTCATCAGCGTCGAAAGATCGACGGGGCAATATAATCGCGACAAGCGATTCTTCCGATATTCTCGTTACGGCTATCGAATCTGTATGCGCCAAAAATACTTCGACAGTGTGCATCCTAGCTTCCGAGTCCAGATGTTCAATCTCTCCGTCATCTGTCGCCAGACGTATCTCGACATTGTGGGTGGATCGCTATTATACAAACTGAGGGGTTTCCGATTTACCAGCCCGGAGATTATGGCCCACTTTTTCGATAAGATTCAAGGGAGCTGGAACCTCATTCCAGACATTTCTCTTGAATTTGAAGTCAAGTGTGGAGGGGACTTCGGGTTTGTGTGCTGGGCTGTCATGCTTTTAACCAGCTCCCACAATCTGGAAAAATTGAAGTTGAAGATAAGCGTATGTGCCGTGAAAGAAGAGGAAGACTTGAGGGATCACCCACATAATGTGTTCAATAGTATCGTGGGTATAAAGACTTTATGGGAATGGATTGATGCGGGGTTGAAGAGAACACACCGCCTCAAAGACTTCTCCGTGGAACTCATCGGCGATGACAGCCTGTCTTCATACGTTAAATTTGGGGGTGATAAGGAAGGATGGTATCTCTTGAGGAACTGGGATGCTCTGAAACATATCGAACACGAGGACATGTTGCATTTGGGGAAGATGCTCACAAAAAGATATCCAATTTTTAGTGGTCTAACGAATGGCTGGAATAGAGACAACTTATTTAAAGACGACGGTATATTGCTTGACTACAAGGAACCTGTCGCTACCCTGGAGGATGCTCTGGATATTCTAGAGGAGGAAGAGGAGGAAGAGGAGGAACTGGAGGCTCAGGAGGACGATGACGCAGGGGTGGATATGGACAGCTAGAGGTATAACAACACTCGTTCCTGCCTGCGGAGAGTAACTGTGAGCTGTTTTAGTTCTATAATCAGGCACTCATGAATTATAAGAATCGTTCACTAAACCGCAATTCTCTTGAGTATATTCAAGTGACAACAATAAGTTTACAAATTGCTGATTCGTGATACTGGTGATACCACACTTGCCTGATTCTCCATCTCGATTCTGCGTCTAGCTTCTTCATTCCCCCTCTTCCACATTTCAATTCTTTTCAGATGTCCATTGTCAAATCCCTCTCTCCACCACTTCTGGAATTTCGGGAGGCTTCTACCTTTACCATCCTGCGGCTCACCGGCCATCTTCCTTGCGGTCTCGAAATACTCCTCAAAGTCGGGGTAGAGGACCGTAAACGGTACTTCGTCGCCTTTAGATGCGATTCTATCTTCTTCCCATTTCTTTTGATCTTCAGCAGAAGGAAGAGTGATGCGTCTGGCTAGAAATCGTGCTATGAGTACAGCTTGCCATTCAAATACCTTGAATGTGAATCCTGCGGCCACGGCACCAACGAAAGTTAATGTGGGGTCCTCGCGCCAGAAAATATGTTGGTAAAGATTTGGAAGACGATTGTTACGGATAGTAGAATCGAGATTGGGAATGAAAGGAAGCGTCCAAGAATATCCAGTTGCGAATATTATGAAATCTACTTTCTCTAATTTAGTCCCATCTTCAAAATGAATTGTTCGCTCATCTGTATCAGGATCCGATGTTATGTAAGTTATTGGTGGACGCCTGAGAATATGGGGATGCTGAAAGGCGTAGTCGAAAAAGTATGGATGGTATTTGCCTCGAACAACAGAATGAAGGGGTCGTTCAGCATAATCGGCAAGTGCATACGAGATATCAGGGCCAGAGATACTGGCACCAACGACTACTACACGCTTCCCGCGATATGTCTCCGGTTCACGCCAGGCCTTTGAGTGAAGAACCTTGCCGGGAAAATGTTGGGAGAACGTAGAAAGACCCGGAGTGGAAGGTATAAATGGAACGTTATAGTGTCCCGCTGCAACAACAATTGCATCAAAAGACTCCGTCCACCACTCATCCTCAATCCCATTTTCAAGGGGTTTGCGCAATGTCAAAACCCATTTCGATGTATGTGGGTCTTTATGGACAAGCTCCACTGTGGTATTATAGGATACTAGATCCGGGTATCCTTTCCTATCGACCAGATCTTGAATATATTGTTCCACAACCTTCCAATGCCGAAATGGCGAGTTCTCGCCATGCCTCTTGATATTGACTGCAGATCTTGTTTCCGGAAATGGCTCTTGAGTAAATGACATGGCAAATGCATCTATATTCGTTTCTAACGTGGGATATATTGACGTATCGGAAAATCGATATTGTGTATTGTGCGGAAGAGTTGTGGGAAGTTCAGATGGAATTGGGAGAGTCTCGTCTGATTTGCGAGAAGCAATCTTTTCAAAGTCTGGCAATTGTTGAACATGATCTTTGGGATCTCCGAGCCTGAGAGATACATATGAGCGGTTGTTCCAATCATCCAGCGAATATCTTACTAACCAACAACCTCCAGCCTTTTCCCTTCTTTCAAACAGCCGGATTTTATCAAATGCTTGCTCCTGCGCCAGAGCATCTAAAGTGATGGCGCCCGCGGGTCCGGCACCAATGATTGCTATAGACTTAATAGTAGCCATTTTCCAATAAAATTTCTACTCTGATGCGTATACGTTTGGATTGATTAATTGATATCACTACAAGGTCATGGAGGGCGTAGACAGGATGCAAATTGCCTCATGGCAAATCTCATCATTTTATTTCACATTTGAGTAACGCAAAGGTAGAGATCTGCAAGGAACTGAATATGGCGAAATTCATCGTGCATATCCCCTCACTCGGGTTACTTTCGGCTAAAAGATAAGATTAGATCAGATCTATGATCTGATCCCTCCTTTAGCCCACCATCCTCATTCTCGACGATTCAATAGAACTCTTCACTATGCATTCCAAGCGAAATAGTACTAATAAAATTAATAATTTAGGAGGAAAAGGGTAAGTTTTGGTGACTGAAAGTCATTGTCTGCATTCGATATCAACAACTACGCACTTCAACCCTTCACTGAATCTATGAGATACCAAACGATCAGAGAATAACACCATTCCCATCATTATCATCTCTCACACGTCCAGATTCCAGATTTGTAAGATCCCTTAGCTCGCCTCCCACCTCTCTACACAAATTAGAAGCCTCTGAAACTCTCAACCAATCACACATTGCCATTGCTGCATGGAGAACTGCGGTTCGCGCCTCCTCGTCCCTGGCTCTTTCTTCCTTACCACCGACCAAATTTTCTCCCCACTTGTAAAGGTTGTTCATATCCATAACAGCATCTGACTCGGCTCGATGAGGCGCCATCTCGTCTCTCCTTGCCTTTCTCCATAGAAATGTGCTGATTACCTCGATGTTGTCCATGAGAGTTTTCGAATGGTCGTCATTGTAAGATCGTTCCCGTGCCTTACCACGATATGGATGGTATCGGTTTGAGTACAAACGACCGCGTCCAGGTCGGAGATTAGCATGAGAAGATCGTGGAAGAGAACGAATGTAAGTTGTAGTTGCATCTATGCATATCTGGTAGAGGGTACTCAAGAGAAAGTAACGTTGCTCGGGAATTGGAACCGGGGCAATGATTGTACTGTCCGAGGCATTCGATAGGGACATTCTATTGTCCGATATTGATTTGGGCAGTGCGTAATGTATGGAGGCCTGATTTGATGGAGAATCATTTAGCATCATAGTAATACTGGGAAGGCGGTTGCCGGAAACTGGGCGTAGAGGCGGAGCACGTAAATTTCCGGCGCAGTTGCCGCTTGTACGAGCACCCTCATGGCATTGACAGTAATCTGCGTCTGGTGTGAACCCAGATTGACGTCGGCTCGGGACCGGTGTGGTCATTAGACAATCCCGGTCAGCATCAACCGTCGTGTCAATAAGTGATGGGGTTTCGTGCGATACATACCCCTGACACGGTCCGTTTTCACCTTGAGTGGGCCTGCTTCCTCCAACACCAGCGTTTTCGGTCACTGACTCCATCCGACTACCAGACGCAATAGAAGAATAAGGGTTCGCTTGACCAGATAGGTGCACAGGATTATTGAACCCGTGTCTAATGCCTCCAAAATTTCGGGAGTAAGGTAATGAATCCATCCCAGTAAAACCAAAAGTTTCATGTTTCTCATCGTTGGTAAACTCCATGGCGCAAAATAAAATTTTCATTGGGAGGACAGAGCTGGTACTTCTAGGGACCAAAACCGAACATTGAGAAATATTTTCCAAGAAGGGGGACAGGGTTCGGTTTTTATAAGTGACAGTAATTGCAATGAGAAAGAGTTTGTTTCTCGAAAGAAACATACTTAGCTGGATTGTTCTCCAATATAATTGGAACGTGAGATTTAATCAACGAAGTACTGCATGGAAAGAATAGGACGGCAAAGAGCTACACTTCGGCGTTGCCTACTGAAGTTTCGTAAAAAGAATGTGAAACTTATCCGTGCTTTCATTCAATCTATTCTATACTTTCCAGATGACAATTCTTCCATCAACACCGCTCGCTGAAAATCTATTAGCTTCTCTCCAAAGATCAAGATCATCATAGTGCTTACTAGTAAATTTGCTGACACCACTATCCGAACCTTCATAGACACGGATAGTACTGATGGTATTTTGATGCACAGTTGTCAACTGTGTATCATCCTTAGCCTTTCCTTTTAAGTCCATTTGCTTAAACATATTGAAAGCACTCTCTTCTCCAACGTCTTTGACTGGGCCACCTTTTGACTCCAAGGAGCCGGTGAGCTGCCAGCCTCTCTCGTTTCCGCCAAATCGGAATGCCTCACAATCATAGCCTGCCGCGATAATCTCAGCTTCACCGTTCCAGATCAAACTCATGAAAGGAAGAAGCTGCGTGCTAACACTGACAACAGCCTTTGGAGGCTGATCTGCGCCATTAGGATATACGACCGTGATACTGCTGTCATGCGCAGCAAAGGCTAAAGCATCTCCACTTGGCGAAAACGAGACTGCATGAATCCAGCCAGCAGAGTTGTTTAGGTACTCTCCACAGACAGTGCCGAAAGGTAGACGTTCTCCCCAGACACCAGGTTCCGGCCTAGCATCCACTCCTTTGATAAAGCTTGAGAATACTCTCGCATGAGCATCGGTGGAGCCCGCAGCCAACAGTACAGAGTTTGGATGCCATGCAACAGTTGTAATAGTGCTACGAATAGGCTTCTTGATATGTTTCGAGACCCACCAGTCGTTTTCCTCCTCAAAGTAACAGATAGCAATCACCCTTGCACCAGATCCCACGGCGAATTTCGTTTCGGAAGGCGACCATCGGACGAATGTGGCCGCGCGATTGATTCGAAGAAGAACGAGAGTAGGTTTATAACCCGTGGGAGATGGTTCCCAAACCAAAGCGTTTCGATCTGGCCCGATAGTGTTAGCATTGTGAGTTTAGAATCGGAAGTTTAAGTCTGTACAAACCTTGAGAGCATGTTACAATTCTGCCACTACTGGGGGCGATATCGACACTGGTAACAGTCTTGTCGTGGCCTTTCAATTCGTCTTTAAGCTTGAATTCATTACCAGCTCGTCCATAAAGCTCAACACTGGTGTCGCGTGCTACGGCCAAAGTCTGTCTATCGGCAGAGAAGGAGTGATCCGCGATAGGATGATGGAAAAGTTGATGAACTTCTGGACTGGACATTTTATTGCTTCTTGATAGGAGGAGCTCTCTACTATCACTATGAATCTTATACTACTTACTTATGTTGGCATTACCGCATGGACGAGAGATGCTTGCTAAACGTGGGGCGAGAGCTCCTTATGATAATGACTAACCACTTTAAGCTAGTGCGAGGCTGCGAAAGGCGGACATTCGAAATTTATATCGATATTGATATATGTACCTCAAGCTCCAATCCGACGCGAAGGACTGCTGAATATCGACAAAATGAGTACCACAGCAAAGAACGCGCCGGTTAGGACATCATTCCCTCCAAACCAAACCCTTTATATCACCAATCTACCTTCGTCGAAGATTCAAAAGGATGATTTACGACGAGAGCTTTACACATTATGCTCTACCTATGGGCCAGTTCTTGATGTGGTAGCTCTCAAGTCAATGAAGATGAGGGGCCAAGCACATGTGGTATACCGAGATATTCAGACTGCGACACAAGCTATGAGAGCATTACAAGGATTTGACTTTCTCGGTCGTGAAATGGTTAGTCGTGAATTCTACGTCTTGCTTGCTTGCCTGTTGGATATAGTTAAGATCTAACATCTCTCTTATTAGAAAATTCAATACGCCAAATCAAAGTCTGACACCATATCTAAATTGGACGGTACTTTCTATATGCCTTCTGCTGCAGCGGGTGTTGTGACGGCCACAGAATTGCAGCAAAGCATTTTTAATATGCCGCCCTCAGCAGCCACTACGATTACCAATTTACCCCCTCAACCACCACCATCAACTCTCCAAGTCCCAGCTCCCGCCTCTGATCATGATATGGCAGATGCAACAAGCCCAGGTGCAAGTGTTGCTGGACAGAAAAGACGACGGGATGAAGAGGAGGAAGAGGACAGTGAAGGAGATGTTGCAATGGAGGAAGACAGCGATGACGATTAGCGATTGATGATATTGCATGGCAAGGCGTTGGGGATTTAAGGCGTATTGGTCTTGGTCACAGAGTTGTGGGCTAAAAGGATCGAAAAGGGCTACGGCCCCTATACAGTTCGCATATGAAGTACATTGACCTCTAATGACATGTCAGATACGGTCTGAGACTTCATGCATTATTTGCTATAGTATAAATGTACATACCGAGCCGGTCATGTTCCCATCGTGCAATGATTTTGACGTTTATTACTCTCACAATGTGAGGCGCAAGAGTCAAATTAGTTCTGAAATTCAAGTATTATATGCCGAGTACCTAGGCTCGGCGCATTCTCGAGCTAGGAAATCAATCGCCCGTCCTCTATAAATCTTCCCGGGCCATTTCGTGAGGCATCCATAGACCCACGCATCCACCTACCAAGCCAAGCCACAACATCAAATAATCATTTGCAGGACAGTCAAAATTCTCCATTGCCTCTTTGGTTTGACACGGATGAATGAAAAAGGCGGGCACGTCTGTGATAGGATGTGGCTAGGTGTTTAGTTAGGACACATTTTTGGAACAAAATTTGGAGCACTCACAGCAGCAGAAATTCCACCCATCACTCCTATTGCACGAAGCTGACTCTTATACTGTTCTGGTACGAGATGCCGGTAGACGGAATTGATGTCAAACGCAGGCTCACTCATCGGTAGGTCATGGAGTGTGAACCATAAGGTCGGCATTCTGTAAGTGGGATGTAGGTGAATTTCGTAAGTAACATAAGGCTGGTGAGTATACAGGTTGTATTGCGGGAGAGCACCACTTCCTGTAGTCACAGATTTGATTGAACGCATGGCCTCCTATATCCTGTCAACAAATCCTGGTATTCATTGAGTCTCAACTTGAATGAAAGGGAGTCACTAACGTCGTCCTCATCATCATCCATCATATCCACCTCTGAACTCGGAACAGATATTGGAGCATGTCCGCTGCTTAAATTGCTGAGGGCAAGTAATAGCTCATCATCATCTCGTGGTGGTTGAAGTAATCGGATAATTTCAACAAAACATGACCCAGTAGTTGCTGTTCGTCCCATGTGCAGCTTGAGATTTTTTCTTGCAGGACCCAATTCTGCTCTGATATATCTTCGATCAAGGAATGCACAGGCAAGTTCAAACTCTTCTTCAGTGAGAAAAGGCCACTGACGATATTCGTCGCGATGAGCCGCCATGATAACCGACTTAGCACTGGCTACAGAGTAAAAAGATTCGACCCATGAAGTAAATCTCGATACAGATACCGTTTGTTATAACCGCAATATAAATACTTATTATGTATATTTTTCCGAGAAACTTTTCTCAATTCACTTTGTAATTATGAACTGAATTGTAAAGTAAAAATCCCCTGCCACCCCCCCTCACAAGCTGTAAATATTCATCTCATTTGTGGTTCTTTCCGGGGACAGGATATGCAAGTACCGGTAGCGTAGTGTTATTAGGTCAGGGGTAGCTTTTCGCTATCTACCTACCAACAACACTAACAACTTAGCCAATGACATCAATATGCGATTGGTTTGTGATTCTTCCCTTTCTTTGTTAATGTCAATGCCAATGTCAATATCAATATCGCTGTATTGTGGTGTTGTGATGGCGTTTGAAATATTAAGGAAGGAAGAGCTAAAAGATTGGTGATCTCGAAAATGCACGGTACAAGGCTGAAGAAGGCCTGTAATTTGTTCCAAAGCTCGGTAAGTAGGTACACCTTACGTGTTACGTTACTATTCTCTATGTCTCTATGTATCTATGTCTCTATGTCTCGATGATACTTAACAAGCTTCAAGTATTTTGAGCCTTCCTCTTTCCTGTATTTGTTTCAAGTCACTCCTTCCGGTAACGAAATGCTTCTGAAGTTTCCATGAATAGTCGCGACCCCTTTAATCTACGCCGCTCCCCAGCATTCAATATCCTCCGAGGCACTGCAACGCAAGCGGCTTCAAACGTCACGCAAAGGGTTAAAGAAGCAGGTACGCAAGCTTACGAATCTGGGAAGCAAACTGTTGAAGAGATGTCCACTTTTTCGATACCGAAGAATGTCCCCTCTTTTACAGACCCTCAGCGCAATTTGGAAAACAAAGCTTGGGCGGCGTCCGGCATGACCGCAAGATCATCGACAGTGAATACAAGTGGAGGAGTAATCAGTGGCATGCAAGATCGAGTTGGAAACCTCTTTGGGGAAAACAGAGATCTGCCAATGTATAAGGACAAGCCATATTCATATGCCTCCTCCAGGAGGGCACGACCTTTTTATAAACGGCGGCGCGTTATACTTGGGGTCATCGCATCTGTGTTCTGTGTGTTGTATTTCTTAGGGTTCTTTGGATCTAGTGACGAAACGAAGGAGAAATCGAAAGACAAATGGACATGGCTGCAGCGACCTGAAAAGGGACAGAACACAATCGATTGGTTGGATCGAAGGGAAAGGGTCAAGGAGGCCTTCACTTTGAGCTGGGATGCATATGAACGATATGCATGGGGTTATGACGAGTTTCATCCGGTCTCGAAACACGGGAAACAAATGGCCCCGAAGGGAATGGGTTGGATAATTGTGGATGCTTTGGATACAATGATATTGATGAATCTGACAAGCAGAGTGCAACATGCAAGAGAATGGATTGCAACTTCACTGGACTACGACCAAGACCAAGAAGTCAATACTTTCGAAACGACGATTCGCATGCTTGGAGGTCTTCTTTCCGCTCATTACCTTTCCACTGAGTATCCACATTTGGCTTCATTGGCCGAGGACGACGAGGGAGCTTCAGGGGAGGATTTATATCTGGAAAAGTCAAAGGATTTAGCTGATCGATTGATTGGGGCCTTTGACTCTCCCTCTGGAATACCATTCGCCAGTGTCAATCTTAAGACCAGCAAAGGTGTGCCCTCTCATGACGATGGCGGGGCGTCATCCACAGCAGAGGCAGCCACGTTGCAACTGGAACTGAAATATCTTACTAAACTTACTGGCGAGACCGACTACTGGGAAAAAGCCGAGAAAGTGATGAAGATCATTGATGACAATGGCATGAAGGATGGACTTTTGCCAATCTACATATATGCTAATACTGGAAACTTCCGAGGAAGCAACATTCGTCTGGGTAGCCGTGGTGATTCATATTACGAGTATTTGATCAAGCAATATCTGCAAACTTCGAAAGAAGAGCCCATTTATGAAGAATTATGGGACGAGGCACTCGAGGGAGTTCGGAAGCATCTCATCACTTACTCTAGCCCTTCAAAATTTACCATTCTTGCTGAGCGACCCGAAGGTTTGGGTGGCTCTCTTTCACCAAAGATGGATCATTTGGTCTGTTTCATGGGTGGAACGATTGCCCTCGGCGCTACTGGTGGTATCACGGAGGCTGAGGCACGTAAGCTACCAAGCTGGAGCGCGAAAAAGGATGAAGAGATGAAACTCGCTAGAGAATTGACACATACCTGCTGGGGAATGTATAAGGTGATGGCAACCGGGCTCGCCCCCGAAATCGCACATTTCAACATTGATAGTCCTCCTTTGCCTGAAGATGCACCACATCAGGCACCTTCGAATTTGGTTGATCCGGAAAACCAAGAGTGGCGAAAAGACTTCATTATAAAGAATAACGATAACCACAATCTCCAGAGACCGGAGACTATTGAGACGTTATTCTATATGTGGCGGATAACGGGAGAGGAGATGTACCGAGAATGGGGCTGGGAAATGTTCAGATCTTTCATGAACCATACAGCCGTTGGCGAGGGGGGTGGATTTTCCAGTCTCGCTAATGCTAATGTTCTGCCCCCGCAGACTAAGGACAACATGGAGAGTTTCTGGCTTGTGAGTATAAGTCCGTACGTCCTCAACAATATCCTAACTTTATCTAGGCCGAAACTCTTAAATATTTTTATCTTCTATTTTCGCCAAACGATCTCCTTCCCCTAGACCAAATAGTTATTAACACAGAAGCACACGCCTTCCCACGATTCAAGATGGGCCCTTTGTTGTCTACTGGATGGAAGAGGAGGCCCAGGGGACCAGATGGAAAGATTCTACCAGAGCCAGAGAAAGCACCCGAAGTGAAGGAAGTTAAAGAAGTGAACAGTGATGGGACGTGAAGTCGCAAAAGCAAAAGCGTATATAATGGATGATGACCATGTAAATCCCTTGTATTTTTTATCGGATTAAATGGCTTCATTATTATTATTTTTTTCGGGGCCGAACAATCTAAATATAGGTCCCGCTACTAAAATCATAATTTATCATGCTTTTTATCCGCATTCCAATACTCGAGTAGTGGCCTTTGAGAACCGAGCTGTATGCAGGCACTTTACATTGAAAACTTCAAACACCATATTCTGATGATTAATGACAAGTCAATTCCCAAATTCTAGCTGAACAATTATGAACTATCGCCCTAAGCGCATTTCCCCCAATACAGATGTCGATCACGCGAATCAAGTATATGTACAGAGACATTTTGGCACTCCAATTGATGCAACTTTGCCAAACAAGACGATCCGTACCGCAAATGTGAAAAAAAAGCTGTGACGTTTGGCGTTTGACGTAAGAAGACATCGATCGCTTGGGTTCTGTCTGATGTTATCTTCTACATTTTAGCACTGCTAAACGTGACAAGCTATTATTCAGATGGTTTATAACTTGAATATTTGGCGATAATGAAGCTTGAATTAGATACTCCACGGATTTTGGAGCGTTTGAAGCCGTTTTCAATCATCATGTTCGGGGCAATCTTGGAACTGATCTTCACCCCGTTACAAGGGTTCTAGGCATAATACCCCATAAGCCCTAGCGCCCCCATAACCCCCCAAACTAAGTTCATCACATCCAATCACCTTAGCAAAGACAAGCATTTACTTTCCGAGATAATTGTGCCCTCCGAGATTATTGTGCCCTCCGGGGTAGTCGTCTACTCTCTCCACGATTTCTTTTCAACCAACCCCATCAACCAACCCCATCATACAGATCCTATAATATATGATGTAGGACATCATTGGAAGACATGTCATATTATAACTTGCACGACCTTTGGGCTGTATTCAACAAGCTGAAAGCTCTCTGATTGTTCGAAACAACTCAGCCTCACTGGCCGCCTCGAGGCGGTATCTCCTGGCTGACGAGCGATATCGTTACTGCGGGTCGTTGACCTTTTAATAGAGCATATACGGATCGAGATTATAGGACATCAAGATGAATAGTTACAGGATGAACGATATCGAGAAAGGTTCCGTTTACCCCGATAAGGACCAATCTATAACCCCAGATTACAGTAGCGGACGCGGGGAACTAAGTTACGAGGAAATAACGCACATACAACATGGCTTGGGACGTCGCTTTGTGGATAGCTTCAGACGAGACCCAAACCTCACCATGACCCCGCCTGGTGTTGTTGGCGCAAATGGGAGAGTCTTCCATGCCGAAATAGCGGCGGCAGCAACGGCTACTTCTCCCCTCGCACGAAAATTGAAAGGAAGACATTTGCAGATGATTGCGATTGGAGGTTCGATAGGTTAGTTGATTGGCTTGCAGCTTGAAAGACTATTACTGAGTCGTAGCAATGGACAGGCACCGGACTTTTTGTTGCATCTGGAAAATCTCTCGCAACTGGCGGGCCTGCATCTCTTATCATATGCTTTACACTTATGGGACTCATGCTCTACTGTACGGTGCATGCTTTGGGTGAAATGGCTGTTCTCTTTCCTGTTTCGGGGTCGTTTTCAGCCTACTCGACTCGATTTTTGGATCCAGCTGTAAAGTCCTTAGATTTCCTGAGTTAATCTGTAATAGATAGCTGACATTATTAGTGGGGCTTTGCCATGGGTTGGGTATGGAAACTCTAGTTGTTATGGTAATTGGCATACATAACTAACTCATATCAAATAGAATTACGCCATGCAATGGCTTGTCGTTCTCCCATTGGAAATCATTGCAGCTTCTATCTCAATCGACTTTTGGGACACAACACAGCGATACAACCATGCTATATTTGTCACGGTGTTTCTCTTCACGATAATCAGCATTAACATGTTTGGGGTGAGAGCATACGGAGATGCGGAGATTTTTTTTGCTTTCGTTAAAGTTGTAGCTATTATTGGATACATGTACGTTGATTTTCCATTCTTATGTCAACTGATTGGATCATCCCATCTTTCCGAAAGTTTCAAAGAGCTGGGATATCGTCAAAGCTACGAACCTCGGACTAGGTTCGGATGTGTACCCATTCGAAGCATAGAACTGACTCAATGCATAGACTTCTAGCCATAATACTCAACTGTGGTGGTAGCCTCGAAGAAGGTTATGTGGCTGGTCAATTGTGGCATGATCCAGGCGCTTTCAACAATGGCTTCAAAGGCTTGTGTAGCGTTTTTGTGACTGCAGCCGTCGCTTTCGCCGGTACTGAGTTGGGTAAGATCAAAAAGGGATAAGAGTGGAGGGGGAGAGGGGAGAAGGGGTAAAACCTCTTCCTCTCCACTCTCCTTCTCTCTTTATCCCTTCTCCTTCTCCTTCTCCCCTTCTACCCTTCCCTCTTATTACCTTCTCACCAATCCCTAGTCATCCCTAATCCATCTCATCCCATCTCATCTCATCCCAACCTATCCAAATCCAATATACTTCTGACCCGACCCGACAAATACTTACTTACTTACTTACGTACTTAGTGGGACTCGCAGCTGCAGAAACCCAGAATCCTAGGAAGTCGTTGCCCACGGCCGTGAAACAAGTATTCTGGCGGATCACACTTTTTTATATCGTCTCGCTTACCCTCGTTGGACTTCTCGTCCCTTATACCGATGTCAGGCTGCTCGCTACCGGGAGTGCAAATGCGGCTGCAAGTCCATTCGTTATTTCCATTCAAAACGCTGGGATAACGGTGCTTCCTTCTGTTATGAACGCGGTCATCCTGGTCGCTGTATTATCTGTGGGTAACTCCTCAATATTCGGATCTTCTAGGACTCTCGCAGCATTGGCAGACCAGGGACAAGCTCCTAAAATTCTAGCTTATGTCGATCGAAAAGGTCGTCCTATTGTGTCTATTGGCGTATCGTCGGCGCTTGGTTTTCTTGCTTATGCAGCAGATTCCGGTGCTCAGGGAACTGTCCTAGATTGGATGCTGGCATTGTCTGGGCTCTCCTCGATTTTTACCTGGGGGTCTATCTGCCTCGCCCATATCCGCTTTCGACGGGCTTGGAGACTCCAAGGTCATAGCCTAGACGAATTAGCTTTTCGTTCTCAGCCAGGCGTCATCGGCTCCTGGATTGGGTTTATGTTCAATGTTCTTATTCTTGTCGCACAATTCTGGACTGGAGCATGGCCTATAAACTATGAGCAAATGACAGCAATTGAACAATGTCGAAGCTTCTTTATAGCCTATTTAGCCGCACCCATCGTCATTGTGTTCTATGTGGGATATAAGCTTTGGTATAGAACTTCGGTGATGAGATGCATGGATATGGATCTGAAGACCGGAATGCGTGGTCTAGACTTGCCAGCGCTGATAGCAGAAGGGCGAGCAGAAAAAGCCGCATGGCCAAGGTGGAAAAGAATTTACAAGACAGTCTGTTAGTTCAACTATGAGGCGGTATGATAATGTGGATGCGTTGGAACTTGGGAGGTCTATTATTGAAGGGGAGTTTGCTATGAGCGAGAGATACCATCTGATTTTGGCGAAACAATGTATTGAGAGGGTGGATGGATATCCATGAATTTACAGTACATACTGGGAAGTGGGAACGTGTTATGATACTTTTGCAAGATGATATTTTCCTTGAGATACTGTATAGACAGATTACATAATAAACCTATCAAATCATATCATATAACTGCATTGCATATCGGAACCTACCAAGAGCGGGTAGCTCGTGTACTAAAAGCTCATAACCGCGACCAATCGGCAAGTTGTTAAGCTTGATATCAGGTAACGGTAACGGTTACTATTCGAGGCTATTGTTACTAGTAAAGTCGAGGCCTAGTTTGTTAGTAAGGATAGAGCCTGAGAGATATACTTATAGATCTAGAATTGCGGAAGTATATTTAAAACATGGAAGTAGGTAAACATGGAAGTACCGGTATATAAGCATACTAGTGCACCGTTTGTGATCAATGGGTGTAGGCACTGTAGGCGGACTCCGTGGTTGTACGGTACTAGGTATATACAGTGAGTAGGTGGGGGAATTAAAAATTCTAGTGAGAGTGAGAGTGAGAGTGAGGGGAAAGTGGGAGAACTGGGAATGGGGCTTATTACCCCTCCAGGAATTAGGTGGTGGATGTAGATGTAGATGTTGATTGGGTGATTAGCTCGGGAGACTAGATAGAGGGAACTACTGTAGGATATTGGATTAAATGAGTGCAGATTTCTGCGAATAGGAGTCATTGCAATTGGAGAGATGAGATAAGGAAGGTATGCTTGATTTAATTGCAAGGACCGGCTATGTGCAATATATGTAACATGGTATTTGTCCAAAGGATACTTAATTCTCTTTGCAGTTTTCTACCTTTTTTTTTTGAAGCATTATAAACATTTTCTTCACGATTGGCTTTTCAGCTCACCAGTATAAGTAATCTTTATTTGAAAAGCTCACTGGTCCTTCAAGATGTTGGCCAAGCAAGCTCTCTTTATTTCTGCACTTCTGCCCTTGATTCAAGGACAGGAATCTACATCAGAGACTGTTTTAGGTGTTTATATCTTTCATCGTCACGGAGATCGTACTACAAAAGCCTACGCTCCAACATCTCTCACAGATCTTGGCTATGCTCAAGTATATGCTTCCGGAAATTACTATCGACAACGATACATCGATTCCAATGCATCCTCTCCTCTGTATAAAATCAATTCAGACATAGCTAAGATCTCTCAATTGAACGTTCAAGCACCGGTCGACAATGTACTTCAGAACTCAGCATCTGGGTTCCTTCAAGGTTTATACCCACCGGTTGGCGCAACATTGGGGAGTCAAATACTTGCCAATGGCACAAGTGTTGAAGCACCGTTGGGTGGCTTTCAACTTATTCCTGTCAATGTCGTTGCTACGGCATCATCAAGCGCCAATTCTGAGAACTCGGCATGGCTACAGGGCTCAAGTGGTTGTGGAAATGCAATCACGAGCTCTAATAACTATTTTTTCTCAGAAGAATATACGAGTCTGCTGAACTCGACCAAGAGCTTCTACCAGAGCATTCTTCCCGTCATTAACACCACATTCAATTCTACTCAAGACACTTTCAAGAATGCATACTCGGGTAAGATCAGTTTGTTCCTTTATTTTATGAGCATTATTGACAAAATTAGTTTATGACTACGTTCACGTCTCTACCATTCACAACTCGTCTATTCCATCCGATGAACTTCTCACAGACGACACCCTTTCCCAACTGCTAGCGCTAGCCAATAATCATGAGTTCAATCTCGCATACAATGCTTCGGAGCCGATTCGTGCAATTGCGGGATCTACTTTAGCAGCACAAATGTAAGTAAATCATTCGTAAACCCACTCAAATCATCAGATGAGATCTCACTCCATGGTTTCCCTCATTTCCCCAGCCCAACACAGATGCCGCACCATCTCCCCCATATCAAACACACCACCCCAAAAAACGCAACTAACTCCACCTCCAGCCTCGAACAACTAAACACAACCATAACCAGCCAATCCTCCGTCCCCGTCTCCATCCAATTCGGCGCCTACGCCTCCTTCCTCTCCTTCTTCGGGCTCTCCGGTCTCTCCACCCTATCCCCAAACTTCACCGGCATCGTCGACTACGCCTCCTCCATGACCTTTGAACTCCTCACCAACAGCACCCTAAACAGCACCAGCACCTCCTATCCTTCCCCAACCGATATCTCCGTGCGCTTCTATTTTTCCAACGGCACCGCTTCTGAAAATCCGTTGACCGCATACCCTCTTTTCAATCAGATGGAAACGACGATTCCATGGACGACTTTTGTGGAGGAGATGAGTAAATTTGCGATTGGAGAGCAGGGGGATTGGTGTACGGCGTGTGGGAACTCGACGGGGGTTTGTGCGGGGGCATCGGCTGCTTCTTCTTCTTCTTCGGGTTCGAGCGCTGGAACGGGGACTGCGGATGCAGGTATATCGAAGGCGGTGGCGGGAGTAATTGGAGCGATGGTTACATTAGCTGTGGTGTTGGGGGTTGAGGCATTGGTTTTGCTGGTGGCGGGTATGAGGATCGTGAGTAAGAAGAGATTGGGGGGCGGTGTTGGTAGTGGTGGTGGTGGTGGTGGTGGTGCGGCGGGTAATGCGGTTAGTGTTGGGAAACGGGGTGGGAAATAGGGGGAGGAAGAGGAAGAGAGATGTGAAAATGATGTGAAATGATATAAAATGATTTGAAATGAAAGTGAAGGGAAGGAAAGGGTGATAATATTGGAGGAATGGAGATAATGGCCATACATATACTCGAGTAATATAAGGGGTATAAGTAATGAGTTGTACTCATATACCACTTGTGCAATCACCTGCATCAACTACTCTGGTTGTGGATTATTATAATTATTCATTGATTTTGTATACCTATACCTATACCTATACAAAACAAGTAGTATCCTACTACCTCTCTTTCATCTACCCATAATTTCTGATGCGTCATTCTCGTTACAATACCACCCACTGCTTAATATATGATACTCGAGTAATCCAAACGATTGATCTCAGAGCAGAACGCTCAATCCAAACCACGCAACACTACATTATGCCATACCACCAAACACCAATAATAAACCCACAACTCCTCTAATCCAAACCCTCCCCACTCAAAATACTCTTCAAGATGCCAGCTCCGAGCCCCTCCACCGCCGCCGCTACTTCCTTTTCCCCCACACAACTTGCCACTCTCTTCTCATCACCCACCCCGACCCCCGTCCCGAAACTCTTTCTTCCTGGTCTTCCTCTGGCTCCTACCCCCAACACAAATGATCCATTCTTTCCATCCACCGCCGCAACCAATGATAATGTTTCTAAACTGCCTACCACATCTCGAAATTCCGTGCTCGTTAATGGATGCAGAATTGCGTCGCGCGTGCAGAGCATGCTGTATGTGTTGTATAATCGTTTGATGGTGGGAGCGAGATGATGGGATTTGGAGGGCGTGGCGAGGAGATTAGAGGATTGGGAGCGATTGCGGGATTCGAGGGCGACGAGGGCGCAAAGCGCGGCTTTTTGTTGGAGGTTGAGGGTTTTGAGTCGTTGTGTGGAGCCGTGGCCGAATGTAGATGCGGTGATTTTGTTGACGTGGGATATACTTGCGCGGGGAGCAGTCTCGACTGTGAGGGTTGCCAGGGATTGGGCTAGGGTTCTTGGGCGGAAGGCATTTTTGCTGGGGGTGTTGCGGATGGATGAGAGATTGATGTTGTCTTCCAGGATTCGTTTGGAGGGGCTATCGAGGAGAACTTGCTCTTTGAGTTCTTGTTCGTGCTTTTGCTTGGTTTCGGTCTCGATCAGATCGATTGCTCTTCGGCATATATCAAAGGCTTTGCGCAAATCTCCCGTCTGGCTTGCCACTTTTCGCGAGCAGAGTTCGATGGCTGCTGGGTGGAGGAATGGTACATAATTTAGAGTTGCGCTATCCGCGGGAACAAGTGACTTGAGACGTGTCATGATGACATTTTTGATCTGCGATGCGGTGTAAGGAAGAAATGGCAGTAGTTGTGGTTGTAGGTTGCGGGCCTTAAGTCGTGGTAAGAAACGATCCGTAAGGTCCAATGCATTTGCAATGCCGATTAGAATGAGGCGCGATGACTTTTGTAAAGACCATTCGAAAAGCTTGTATAGTATCTCCAGATCCAAAGTGAGAATATGGTCGATTTCATCCAGGGTAACGAGGTAAACATTCTTAGTCTTCTTCCTCGAAACAAACATATTTTGCAAAGTCTTCTCTTCATCGCCCTCCAAAACTTCTTCCTCGCCACAATAAGACTCCAACAGTATACTATACAAGTCCTTCGAGGTTTTCATACTCATACAATTGACATACGTTTTGCGCAATGTGGTCGATTCTTCATAATCTGTCGTGACTTCGTTGATCATAGCACTCTTTCCAGTTCCAGGTGGACCGCTAACATATATACATCCTCCACTTGTTTTATCGACACAATCTTGTACAAAAGTTTTCAATTCGCCCTTTTCAGCTTCTCTGCCAACAAGTCGTCCAGGCTCCGAGCTGCGTGTAAAAATTTGTCGAGCTTGACTATATACTGTAGTAATAGAACCGCCGGGTGTTACAGGAGTCCGCGGAGTCCGAGGAGTCAATGGCTTGCCAGTGATAGTGACACGATGTCGAGGAGTTATCTGTACTTTTTTGGAGAGCGCATCGCGATGTCGAGGTGTTTGAGGAGTAGGGTTCTGGACGGGTTTAGAAGGTTCATCTTTTGATGTCCTCGACAATGCGATTTTTCGGCCTGCGAGTCCATGTTTTGAGGGTGAGGACTTGACGGGTGCAGGTTCCGACAATCCGTCAATATCATTAGAATCGGCATCGGAGTCGTCGACCTCATCACGCCTACTGCGGGTGATAAAAGGGCTTTCGTTCTCGTCATTGTATATCTCTGTTCCTATTTGGCGTTTTGCGCGTGTTGATGGTACTTTGAAATCTGTAGGATGAAAGTTAGAGAAGTTTTGAAATGGATCAGAAATGATTCTCCGCACCTGCTATCGTTGTACTGCGCGTTCTTTTCCCTAATACAGAAGGCATGATTGAAGATGTCTATTGAATTTAATACAACTCAAATCAAGTATGTTCTTGCTAATCAAGAAAACTTTTACTTGAAGTTGAAGTTCAGGAAGTTGTAATGATGAGTTAAAAATCTGGGTCGCTCAGGAATTGGTATGTACATATAAGTCGCGCGACGCGTTCGCGTATAGTGTACCTTTACGCGTTCTAGCAACCCCTGACTTTTCACGTGTTTCTGGTACAGCTGGAATTTTAATAAGGCCTAGACGAGATTTCCTGTTTTCTTATTTGAGTACGGTAGGTATATAAAGCATCTAGGAATAACTTCAATTTTGAGGTTAGGAAACTTCAGCGAGAGAGGAATTGAGGGGTTGTTGGGCCAACTAAAGAACTAAAAGAACTAAGAAACTAAAGTCACACTACTCGAGTAAGGATAATCTCTATTATTCAGGGTTTCATTTGGGTACTAGAATCTAAGTTCTATACACCTTCAATAATATCATCGACTATTCAAGTAATTGAGTTGTGAATACACCCGTTGGGTCCCATTCTTTCTTCAAAGCTTTCAGACGAGCAAGCCTCTCCTCCCCTCTATACCGTCGCTCGATAGGACCAATCCTAGTACCATTTTGGAAATCTGCAAAATTGACTTCATCCTCGCCACGCACAACAGCAATACATCGGTCATTGTATTCGTCGACCTTGGAGCGATTCTTGGAATCAGTATGCCAGATCAAGTTATTCCTAAATTGATTAGCTTGCCGAACATCACAAGGGAATTTCAAGATTCTTTTCCTTACTGCCAGTAGCGAATATCGTGAAGACACATGGCCGATTCGTGATCAGGCTGCTTGACGGGCCGAGCATCCCACTGAAAGTTAAATGCAGTATTGATTGCATCTGGACACTCAGCAACCATCTCCGTCCACAAGTCAATGTTCTTGAGAAAAGCTTCTTGGTCAAATCTGTGGAGTCCCACAACACCAAAACGCTTGAAACCACCCTTAGCACCCAGTGCTTCTCGTCCATCACTAGCATTTTGAATTGGTACCGCTGCACCATTGACTATGATTGGTTGCAGGTCATACAAAACCTTGTAAGCTGCCGACGCATCATTGGGATCACCCGTATACCGAGCCGCAATCACCAGACATGGAAGTCGCTTTGGTGGTGGAGCCATTATCATCATCAGACCTGCTGTTGCGTAGCGGTCATTCTCCATCAAATCCTTCATTACAGAGGTAACTTCTCGCGCACGATCAAGAGGAAAGACAAAGCTGCCAGCCCAGATAACGCCTTCATCATTTCCGAGTGTTTGTAGAGGATGAATCTTAATGACAAGCTGTGTGATGAGGCCAAAAAATTGTCCAGCACCACGTATAGCATACAGAAGGTCTGGGTATGTATCGCTGGTCACGTTATAAAGTTCTCCCTTCGCAGTTATAATAGACGCCGAAAGGATCTGGTCGGATCCGAACCCCGTAATAGAAGACGTGATCGAAGCACCACCGCCAAGGAAGTAGGGGATAGCACCCACTGTGTTACCATTTCCCAAAGCTGCATATAGAATTAATTTTGCTCGCCAAAAGATTGGAGAATACTTACCGGTGAAGAATCCGGCCTTTGCAAGAGTTACAGCTACTTCTTTGGACAGAACACTGCCTTTGAGAATTGCAGTATTAGATGTGGCATCTACCTCTACTCCTTTATACAAGCTCAAATCAATAATGATGCCGTTACTGCCAATAGTGGACCATTGACTGTGACCTCCGCTCTTGGTCACAAAAGGTACAGAGTGTCTGAAAGCCCATTGTACCTAAACGGATTGTTAATTCTTTTTCGAAGCAGACATCCAGGTGACAGAGTTCCTTACAATCTTTTGACAATCACCTTCCGAACTTGGAAGTACAATAGCACCAGGAACCTCCAGATCAATATCTGTCCAGCGTTTCAAGTACTCCACAAATTTGTTATTGGTAGGGTCCGTCAAGATCTCACAGGTAGGAGTTAACGTCGCCTCCAACTCGGGGAGGAGTTGCAAGATAGAAGCCATTTTGAAGATGATCACGAGCCTATGTTGAATGGAATTGTTAAGATGAAGAAGAGAAGAGAGTTGAGGTTTAAATTCACAGTATGGTTATGTTTGTGGGTTTTTAGTAGTGATATCTGTATGTGGCATTGTTTTCTCAAGCTTTATCAATAGAGTACAACTGTTGGTACAGGGAGCCACGTGCTTGCGTAATTATTCGGAACAACATTGCCGTGTCGAACCTCCTCTTTTTACAGAAGCTTTGTAACAGGAATTCATTAGCTACTCGGTGGAGATGAGACGAGAGTAAATGCTTACTTCGATCTTCCATGTGTCAGCCCATGATAGCTATTTTTGGGCAACAAATGGCATGATTGGACGCAGTAATAGTTTGCCTATTACATCAGAATTTTATCCATGCCTAGAAACCTTGAAGAATTGGCACGATTTGTTGGTATGATTGTTGTACGGATTACAGCCGTTAGGAAATTCCCCGCCCCTACACCAGTATATGTAACATGGACGCAATAATACGTGTAAGCTCGGTTTAGTCTGAGGGATTATTGTTCCTGTTGAAAATCCATTCTTGAGGTGGCGTGAGTGGGCGATGATATTACAGTTGTAGAGTTGTATAGTATTACGACGACATGATATAACTCCGACAGAATGAGACGGTACTTCTCGGATATACAAACACAATTAGGAAGCTAATCAGTTGCATGAAAATCCTTAGAACCAATATGATACGGCATAAGCCAATTCTCTAAATACGTCTTCAACAGAGTTGTAGCGCTGTGATATGAAAAATGGTCAGCAATAAATATTGATTGCACTGATCCGGATTAGTCTATCTGTCGCCAGTCATCTTTTTGTAATAAATCAGACGGTATCACTTGCAGCTAGGGCGGCCGGGGTTCTTTCAAAGTTCAGCTTACTGAGATGAGATTTTAGCGGCTCAGCAGATGCAGCTAAGGTGAGAATGAGAATGCCGCCTTTGTGATTGATCAAACCCCGCATCAAACCCCGCCCCCCGCCTCGCTTACTCATGCAGCTCAAACGAATTGCGACGGATACCCCTGTTCTTACCGAGAAAGTGGCCCGATGCACTCGTAGACGCTGTGGCTCAGGCTGAGAGGTGGGCGTTCTCCCATGTTCGTAATACCAACGAATTAGATGTCAATAAATCGGAGCTTTTGATGGATGACTTCTTCATCACGCTTACCCGCATTCTTTGGGGGGTTGAATAATCTGTTTGGAATGATTTGAGACTTAACGCTATAAATTTTCAAATCCTATTTTATGCTACCCTCGCTTCACCAGCACCTTATCACCTTACCATTCATTACTTTTACCCCCCCGTCACCTTAACACCTCATACGTCTACCTGTACTGTCAAGTCTCACGTAACTGAGCTTAAGCTCTTACCCCTTTGATCAAGTGATCTAGTTACATATTAAGACTGAAACTAAGTAGATTATATAATTGAAAGATTCAATGAAGTGGATTGCCTGATCTGCGATTTTATATCTATTTTTGAATTACAATCTTGTATTGCTGACTCGGAGTGCTGAAAACTAGGCTGTATATAGTAAGGGCTTAAGCTCAGTTACGTGAGATGTGACGGTATAGATCGATTCCTGGTACCTTAGATGGAAGGTGGGGAGGGGTATCCTAGATAACCCTCGAATTGATTCCTTTCAGACATTTCTCAATTTTTATCGAGAATCAACGGACATTGAATGCTGTTCAAATAGCTCTTAACAATTGCCGAGTCGATCATTTTCCCTATAATCGTAGACCTACTAGCCCCCCCACTTGTCCCCCTCCCATCTACCTAACCCACGAGAAGTAATAGAGAATTTTAGTCAGTTTTGTAATTTAATTAGTCCTTATGACTTTGTATTATACAAATGTATAAATAATTTATATAATTATTTTCTATTGAATAAATAGATATCAAAGTTTTAGCTTACTTTAATTTCAAGACTAATTTCAAATTTTATACTACATATATATAAAGTTATAAAGAACTAATTAAACTACAAAACTAATTAAAACACTTCAGTATCTTTTATAGATTGGTTGTATAGGTGAATAGATGGGAAAGAGACGAGTGGGGGGGGGCTAGTGGGCCTACTATTAGTATAGCTAGTACTCGTAGCTTATTGATGGTAACCAAGCAAGTCCAGCTTAACTCTGTGATGAAACGCGGCCATATCAATTATTCACGCTATTTGTGATGTCACAGTAAGATTTTCGTAATATGTTCCTTCTCATCTTCCTTTTTCATGATCAATCACGACCCCTGATTTGCTGTCTGGGGCGTTACGACCTCATTCATGGCTTTTATTTCTAACATAAGTGTGTCTTCGGCTTTGAACATTTCATGTTAGCTATAGCTTTCCTCACCATACAGCCCACAGCCCAGTCTTAATTCTCCAACTTGTCATTATCCCACCCGCCCCGCAATCCACCATCAAACCTCAATATGGCATATGGAGGTGACGTCAATCGAGGGCCATTCTTGACCACTATCAATTGGGTATTCAATGCAATTGCATTAGGTATAACTTTCCTGTCATCATCTTCTCGAGGTGTAAGAACTGAGTAAAGTTTCTTGGACAGTTGCTGTGATCCTTAGACTCGCTTCGCACCATTGGAGAGAGTCTCAGGGATGGAAAAAGGATGACGCATTTATCATTCTTGCCATGGTCAGTTGGAACTCTTCATTGTATCAAACATCGTCGCTTGTACCTGAACTAAATACTTGTTATGCCAAACAGGCTGCGAACCTTGCAAGAGCCATCTACGTTGACATCACCATCTCTTATGGTCTCGGTCGCCATCTCGAAGTTTTACTAGAAGAGAACCCCATCCACGCGGTGAAGCTCCTCCGCCTAATGGTGATTCTCCAAGCTATTGGTCTTTGGACTTTTACTCTGCCAAAGCTACCGGTGGTAGCTTTACTTGTCAATATTTTCGGGCGTAGCTCCAAGAGACTTGCAATTATACTCTACTCTGCAGTCACTGCTCTGATCTTGCTCGTAATTGTTTTGACCATCACAACCTTTGTGCAGTGCACGCCGGTATCAGCTAATTGGACCGGGAAGGGTAAATGTTGGTCCAAAAATATCAATTTAGATCTTGGCTATCTTGCTGGAGGTCAATTTCCCTTACCCCTATCAATGACGTCTTACTAATTTAGACTATAGCATATTCGGCTTTTCTGGATTTTGCTCTTGCATTATATCCTGTGTTGCGAGTCTCCCATCTGCAAATGGAGCGATCGAGAAAAATTCTTTTAGCAGGGTCTTTGAGTCTTGGTTTCATGTATGTACGGACTGTCTGTGGAGAGAATTTACGGATATGCTAACGTCCTCTCTTTTCCTTCCTTCAGCGCCGGGATCATAACAGCGTATAAACTTTCTACAATCAGTTCAATCACGAATGTAGCAGATCCAACTTGTAAGTTAGCGCAAAGCAATAAAAGATTCTCGGTACTAACAATTGCTCAGGGGCTACAGTACCATTGGAAGTCTGGAATAGGTGAGTTCTAGTTTCATAATTTGAGCATTCTAATATTGACTTGTGAACTCTTCATCACTTCAGTGTCGAAGGAACAGCTCTCATCTTGGCCGCCTCTATACCACTCACCCGGCCACTTCTAATCTCCTTCTTCCATGGCTTCCAGGCCTTCACCTCCCGACTAAGTAGTAGTCGCGCTAGCCAGACGACCAAAGTCAGCAACAGTTCTTTTAGTAGGGGAACAAATAAGTCTAGCAACCACAAGCGTCTTCCTAGTGGTGAGGCACAAAATAGCACAGACGATGATATCTTACTCTACGAAAATCCAGGCTTTCAAAACCATAGCGACGTTGAGTCTGGCCACCATCGCCAAAGTGGTTCGGGAATATACAAGACAGTTGATTTCGTAGTTAACAGCAAGGCAATGTCAAAATGAAAATTTGACATCGCAAGGACCAATTGTATGATTATGATAGCGGCTGTGATTTAATGTTAGAGGATATTAGGTGGTAACGACATTGTCAGAGCATATGAGACAAGAAAATTAGTTTTCGATGTGGTGTTTTTGGACCCTATTATGGGTGGAACGGGAGAGAACCTTCATTAGCTAGGCAAAAATAAAGATTGCAATAAAAAACTAGGCACCTTAGATTGGTGATCATAGCGAATAGATGAGAAACACATTTTATTGGAATTTCAACGAGAGAGGGATATGTGGCCGGGAGTTCTTTTCAATCAACATTTAAGGCCCATACCCTCCAATGCCTGGCCGAAGCTTCCCCTCCAAGTATCAACGCCCATCTGTCCAAACCCAACACCGACCTCCTTCTTCAACTTTCCCTCGGCATCAACTTCATTCAAGCTCTCAAAAACCTTCTCCATGTACTCACCCAGTGGCATAGGCTTGAAGGCTTTTGCCGAACCACCTTGCATCTGATCTACTAATTCTCGATGTTCACTGTCCAGGCCCGTGTCCGTATATGGCGGCACAATCTCAACCACACTGAAATGTTTCTGCGCAGCTTCAGATGCAAAGCTGAGTTGCTGGCGGAGTATCACGAGGAAAGAATGGATAGCTGCCTTGGTAGGACAGTAGACTGGGTAGAATGCCATGGGGAAGAAAGCGAGGGATGAACTAGTGAGCAGAAGATTTGCGTGCTTTCCTGCGGAGGCGAGGGAAAAGAGATGCGGGACGAAGAGTTGTGTCAAAAGCACTGGGGCGGTGAGGTTGGAGTTGATTTCGCTGACAACGTCTCCAGGGGTACTAGTGGAGGGGTCAAGAAGAGAGAATGACTTTTGAATGCCTGCATTGATGAAAACGGTGTCTAAAGTGGGATGTAATTTTAAAATGTCGGTGACTTGGTGTTGCATTTCTCCAAAATTGGTGATATCCCACTGCGTGACGTCAAGTTAGACTCGTAATATTTCTAAAGCAAAGTCGGCTTTGGGTACAGGGTAATCGTACCTGAATTGTCTCGATACCCGAGAGCTCTTGTTCCAAAGCAGAGAGCTTGTCCGCTCGGCGCCCAGTGATAATGACCTTCTTTCCCAAGCCATGAAAGCGCCTTGCAAATTGCTCGCCTATGCCAGCTGTTGCACCGATGATCAAAATGGTATTCATGTTGGAAGCCATTTTACTAGGTGGTATAGGATAAAGAATTAGAGTAGGGGTAAAGAGAAAAGTGAAGAGTGGAATACAAGATGAGGATTCAAGCTAAATTTAGAGTGAAAGGAGAACGGAGTATAGAAGTAGAGAAGAAAGTTGGGGGGAAAAGCAAGTGGCAACTGTGTGTGTGAAGAGCATCTCTTCGCCCCGCATCACTATAGCGACCGTATTGCTTACTGAATTCCTGCTTTAGGTGAATTGCAACATTATCTTCGTATTATTACCTGCCTCAATTCCAGCACATGAGCGGCGTAGACGCTGCTGCTGAAAAAAATAGAGCCTCAGGATCCTACGGTTACAATTGGTTGCTATTATACGAAGATTATCAAGAGTAGACAAGTCAGATTGCGAATGCGGACAGAAGCGGTAAATAGTGCGGCACATTATATTGAAGGATTCACGGGAAGTGGCACAAAATAACGTATGATCTCTACAGGGTCGCATAGACCATTTCACATATACCGAACAGATATGATTAATACAAGAGAAAACTACTTATACTAGTATACTAGTATGGATTACATTACCCCTAACTAGATCAATACTCTAGAGAATAAGTAGACTTTAGAATAATAATAGTATATTATTATTTAACTATTAGTACTCCTTTAGCGTTTAGCTTATACTCGACTAATATTATATAAAGTTACTCGAGTAAATAGAATAACTTAAACGCTTATACTAGATAAAGTAAAATGTGACTTTATAAACTAATCTATATACAATTGTTAATTTTAGTAATCTTACTATTCGAGGTTTTAATTGTTATTGTATATATAGAGCTGCTATTATGAAAAAGGAGAGAGAAGATCAAAAATACATCAAGAACAAGCTATATGACCGCAATGATGCACTTCAGTTATATATCTTCAGTTTACCCTGTGTTTTCGTTACTGTTTACCCTTCCCAGCTTCGCTAAAGCATCCTCTGCCCTTGTGCCACCCTTCGCTTTTGGTAAATCTGGTCTGGATGCCACATTCGACTTTATCGTGATTGGCGGAGGAACTGCAGGGCTGGTAGTCGCAACGCGTCTTTCGCAAGAACGAAATGTCTCTGTCGCGGTGATTGAAGCAGGAGGTTTCTACGAGATCGACAATGGGAATCTGAGCGTGATACCTTCTGACTCTGTCTATTTTGCGGGATCTAGTCCCGCTGATAATAATCCTCTAGTGGATTGGAGCTTTGTGACTGTTCCTCAAACTGTACGTGTCTCCTCGTCATCGACTGGTTCATCGGGTATAGGTATTCCTTTGAAACATAAGTTCTCACAAATCTCTTCCCCCAGGGCATGAATAATAGAGAGCTACATTATGCGAGAGGAAAATGCTTGGGTGGGAGGTATGTTTGTATTTTTTCGTTTCCCTCTGGTTTCTTTAAATTTCGTTCTCACAAAGTTATCTCTCCTGCAGCTCTGGTCGAAACTATTTCACGTACCATCGTGCAACAAGACAGTCATACAAGAAATGGGCCTCAGAAGTGGAGGACAGCTCTTATGAATTTGACTCATTTTTACCCTATTTTAAAAAGGGTGTCAACTTCACTCCTCCAGACAATGCAGCTCGTCCATCAAATGCTTCCTTAAGCTATAATACCAGCAGTTTTGACCCCGCGGGAGGCCCACTTCAGGTATCTGTCCCTATATGGGCCAATCCATTCTCTTCCTTTGCGAAATCTGCGTTCGAGACACTTGGCTTTCAATCGGAGCTCGACTTTGTGAGCGGAACTCTTGCAGGTGTGCAATATAACATGAATACCATAGATCCAGGTCAACAAATTCGCAGCTCATCGGAATCATCTTATCTGCGTACAACGGCAACCGCATCACTGAAGGTTTACAACGGAACATTGGCGAAGAGAATTCTGTTCCATGGAAAAACTGCGTACGGAGTGTCAGTTACTACCGATGGTGTAGAATACAAGCTGTTTGCAAACAAGGAGGTTATTTTGTCTGCGGGAGCTGTAAGTGATTGTCTCTGTGTGATTAATTTTACCACAACTAACAATCCCGCAGTTTCAATCGCCTCAGATGCTCATGGTATCAGGAGTAGGACCTAAAACCATCTTGCGTCAGCACAATATTCCGATAATCTCAGAACTGCCAGGGGTAGGGCAGAACATGTGGGATCACGTAATATTTGGTCCTAGCTACCAAGTCAACGTTATCACCCACTCTGCGCTGGGGAATGCTTCTTATCTTGCTTTGGCCGAAGAGCAATATTTCAATAATGGCTCTGGCCAGTTAGGGAATCCGGGTGGCGATCTCATAGCCTGGGAAAAACTTCCCCGCCCGTACCGTGACTCACTGAGCAGAGCAACTCTCAAAGAGCTTGATACCTTTCCGGAAGATTGGCCCGAAATCGAATATCTAATTCTGGATGCGTATGCGGGCAATCGCTCTAACCCCATCGCAGATGCACCTCGCACTCCATACATGTATGCCTCTCCGGCAGCAGCGCTCGTCTCACCTCTAAGCCGGGGTAACGTTACTATATCCAGCGCTGATACCGCGGATCTGCCTGTCATAAATCCAAATTGGCTCTCGCATCCAGCAGACCAAGAACTCGCAATCGGGGCTTTCAAACGCATCAGGCAGCTCATGGATACAAATGAGATGAAGAGTGTTACGGTTGGCAGTGAAGTCTTGCCAGGAATCAATGCGACTACTGACGCTGAAATATTGGAGGCTATTAAGAATGATGGCACAATGGTTTTCCATGCTTCCGCAACTTGTAAGCTCGCCTTCTTTTTCTGATCTGTGCTACTCTCGGGTGGAGCAATATAACGAGAAATACTAAAGGAATGGATGATATAGGCAAAATGGGTGTTGCGAGAGATAGAATGGCGGTAGTAGATTCAAAGGCGAGAGTTTTTGGAACACATGGACTTCGTGTTGTAGATGCATCGGCTTTCCCTTTCTTACCCCCTGGGCATCCACAATCGACCATATGTGAGTTTTCCACCCGGATCAAAACGTACAACCCCATGTCTCGTCTCATATAGATGCGAGGGAAGTCCAAACTGACAAAGAAATTAGATGCATTGGCAGAAAAGATTGCAGAGGATATAATTCTAGGGTTGCGATAGGAGTCACAATAGGGTACATATGGCATCTAGCAGTCCTACTCTAAAAGTATCCAAATTAGAGATCATAGATTCAGGTAAAAGTAGTAAATAATGAATCTTGTACAACAATCTTTATCATCGAACAATGAGTTGCAATGTGAGCTATTTAGCAGCCATAAATCCTCCCAGCTGTGGAGGACGAAGACTCAGCACCTGTATCTAATTCTTCTCTACAAATCTCTAGCTCCTTTTTAAGATTTACAGAGCTGGGATCAAGTCGTTTCTACATCGAATCTGAATCACCTTCCCAGTAACGAAGATACCGCCACCGATAAATCCAAGCAGAGATCTCACCATTCCCCTTCTTCCCTTCTCGAAGACCCTACTTTGCGAAAGTACGACACAACGATTATGAAAAGCAGGATAAATAGTATGATGGAACGAAACACAAACAAAAACGGCCACGGAGGACCCCGGTTAGATTCAACATATGCTGTTCAGCACCAACCTTATTATAGGTGCAAATGGTTGGCCGTCGATGTACTTTGATATCTAATAATCTCAATCTCTCACTACCACCATCATACTCATCACACTGCCTTGTGGCTTCTTCCATTCCTTCAACCTCAACTTCGGCGTTGCACTCTCGAATAACTCTACCCACTCACTCAGCTCCCTCTCTCCACTATTGAAACTCTGCGCCATCGTCAGATCCCTCACGCGAAGGGATGCCTCCTCCGAAGCTGGGACGCTACCAGGCTCCGGAAGTATTGTATCCATGATAACAATACACGCACCCGGCTTTTGGAGGGCTTCTGATAGATGCGAAAGAATGATACGAGCGTCTCGGGAAGGCCAATCATGAATAATTTTGCGAAGGAAAAATATGTCAGTATGCAAGGCCACAGAGCTAGGTTGAGGATTCCGAAAATCATGCGGCGAGAAGCTGATACGTGAAGAGATTCCGGGATCTAGACCCGATATAGCTTTGGGGGCATTGATGATAGTTTCTGGAAGGTCTTGAACCAGGAATGAGAATTTGGGAAAATGTGTTGCGAGGAGAGAACTAGCTTGTCCTGTCGAACCACCAACCTAATCATGTTAGTCATGAGTTCGCGAGAGCTGCCTCTTGTTTCCATAGGTACGGGCTACTGAAGAGTAAGGGGTAAAAAAAGAACAACTAACATCTACAACGTTAGCCTTCTCGAAACTACTCCAGTTAAAACCCGTCAAAATATGCCTCAAAGCAACTCCCTGGCTGTCGCTCAAGCTACGCATGTAAGCTGCAAAATTCGCCGTCCTTTCTTGAGACTGAGCCAAATGACCAAAGAAGGGCAAATCCGTCCCGAAGGCAATATTATAAGCTGTTTGGTTCTTCTCGGATGTATCACCCCAGCGAGCGGTTGCCTCTGCAAACTTGCTCGCTGTCGGCGCAGAGTATTCCGTCATGAATTTGGCCCAATCAATAAGGTTATCGTTGGTTGCAAATTGTGCCGAGAGACGGCTGTGTGCAAGGTAGTCGGAGCGTGGTTCGGTGAGTATGCCGCCCGTGATGGTCATGCGGACCACACTTTTGAGCCTGCTGATAGGAACATTGGCGGTTTTTGCAACGGTGCTGAATGGTATGGGCTCATTGAGTGGTATCTGCTTGAAGATATCAAAATGCAGAAGCCATTTGAGACACGAGAGCTGCTGGTACTAGATATGATCTGTCAGAGATGTTTAGAATCCACATAGTGAAAGTTAAGCTTACATTTACTTGATGCTGCTCAAGGTAATCATTCGGCTCACTAACTAAAAGCAACATCTCCCGAGCAGCATATGAGATATCCTGTCGAGCCTTCTGAGCTAGCTCGTCCTGTGAAAAATTGACGAGGCCATTCGCGTTTAGATGAGAATTATCAGAGGCTGAGACGATCGAGCTGAGGGCCTTTGCACTTGTAGTAATGCGAGCCGCAAGTTTCTCGAGAGAATCCTCCATGATTTGGTCTTGTTGTTTGACGGCAATTCCTTGTTAGTTTAAAATATTATTTTTCTCTTCTGTCTTTGAACTTAATAACAAAACTTCTCGGTGTCCTGATAAACATTTGATACATAGTTTCCTTAACTTCGACCTTCCATATCGCATGTGTCAACCCCTCTCAATGGTTAGTCACGCTGCAGTTTCAAGGATAAGGTTCGTCCCTCGTCCTCCATCAATATATCTTGAATGCTCCAACTCCGTAGACTAGCCATTCTCCTATAGCCTTAGATCAATACAAGACCCAAGAATTGATGAATCTTCAGAGCTCCTCCGGTATGCACGTTGAAGAGCGCTATAACCCATTCAGAATTTGAGCAAGTGGATGTATTAGTACCTATATAGGCTAGCAAAGCCTGTCCAGTTATGGTTGGGATTACATTGAGATAACACTCTAGAAACCGAAAGAGGCTCGCCCCGCTCGGCGCCTGTGGGCCTATGTACACACTTTACAGTACCCAGTACAGAAAGCACACCCTGGAAATACTTATAATTGGAGCGAATATACAATTGAACAGACCGTAACCTCTGTATCAATCAATTGATCATTGGGAATTTTATTCCTGTATTCAAGGATCAAATCCCCGTATACTAATGCTAGACAAATTGTGCAGACGGCAGGCAAAGGCTTTTCAAGCAGCAGCTCCAATGGCAGCTCGAACCTTGGGCTTTGTTTTGCCAAAAGCCTTGATGGGAAGGTTGTGTGTCTGGCCCCATGATAATTTATTGAAGATTTTGCGACCGAAAGCCTAAAGACCTTATAAGAGGTTTCAATGTATTATTTAAAAGGTTAAATAAAGTAACAAATGCAGCGAGAAGAGTATCTACCTAATAATAAGATGTGGTGATTGAGATTTCGGGTTAAGGGATTAGATGATATTAGTTGCTATTCTATTATTTCTTATCCGGCTAATTACCTCTCCCTTAACCTTACTTAAGGGGATACCAGTGAGAAAATTTACCCAACGGATCATAACGTTCTTTGATCCTCTTGAGTGCACCCAAATTGTCACCATATACAACACTTAAGCTTTCATCGCCAAAGCCATTGTTAATGTACCTAGATAAAAATATGTTAGCCTGTGAATGTCATGAATGCTTCTGAGAGCCAGATGCTAGAGGTTTTCTAGAACTTACGTGCTATTGGTACAAAGACCAGACGTCGATCGCAGTACGTCCCGAACATTCGAGCCGAAAGTTTCCGCGGCCGCGTCCAGGGCAGGGTCCGAGTACCATGCTGTAGCGATAGCATTGAAATTCACGGTGGAGCGGAAGGGGTAGGCAGATGACGAGTCCTCAATCGTTCTAGCCTTCTCCAAAGAATACATATCCAATATCATCGCACTATTGTTTGCCCCAGGTAGTTGGGCAAAAGCAAGCCATTCGTTCCATACGGATGTCCATGCGGTGGTATCTAATTCTGCAAGCCCGGTGCCCCAAGAAGGCTTGGAATCTCCTTTTGCACAGAAGGCGTCACCTCCTGCGTTCCATTCGTCATAGGGCAAAATTGCAGTTTCGTCGACAATGGGACCAACGGCGTAGATTGGAGCATAAGCTTCTTTGCCTGCTGCTTCCGTTCCGTAATAGAATACTGTCAACAATATGATAGGCGAGTTGTTAGACATCAGAAAAAACATTGCTATACTCATCTCAGGCTGCAAGACAAGTTCATCTAGTGCTTCTATGAGAGCCGTGAGTTGATTACCGGTAAATATTAACGGGCCTGTCCATGCGGTTAACTTGCTGGAGTCCACAGGGTATGACTTCATCACCGCGGACGTAACAATTCCAAAGTTAGGACCTGCTCCGCGCATTGCCCACCAAAGATCTGGGTTACTCGTTGGGGAAACAGTAATTGCAGTTCCGAACGATGTGACTACGTTTAAGGAGAGAAGGTTATCTACTCCAAAGCCATACAGGCCGATTAAGTTTCCAAAACCTCCACCCAGGACAGCTCCAAGTGTGCCAACGCAGTTACAAGTACCAGTAGGGACTAGAGCACTGTTTGCATACGAGGCATTGACCACATCAGATATCAAAGCACCGCCCTGGAAGGTGATTTCCGTTTTGTCGGAGTTGAAAGAGATAGATTTGGTGCCGGCCAAATTGATGAGTATGCCGTTTTGATTTAAGTCGAGTGTTGTAGACCAGCCGTGTCCACCACTCTGGGCAAGGAATGGAATGTTCTCTGCAATGCAATATTGAACCTGCCAAGGAGTCGAGTAAGCAATACTTCTTATGTGTGGAAGAGGAATGGGTCTATGAATGATTGACAAGCTTACTGTCACTAAAACATCATTTTCGCTGGCTACGTTGACCACAGCGCCAGGGGTTGGGGCATCGAAATCACTCCATCGTGGAGCTCCAGAAGTAGTGTCGACAATTGTTGCTTGTGGGGAAAGTAGCAATTTAAGGCCGTTTGTATCGAGAGTAGCTGTGGATGCATCGAGGAAGAGACCAGAAATTGTGCTGGCTACAAGGAGTTTCCAATTGGTTGACATCATGATGGAAGGTGAAGATCTAGAATAAATGGTGACTAAAATACTGTGATAGATACTGAGAGCTATGTATATATACATGTTCCGCATATCCGAGGGCAGGGTAATTGCGTTACTACTCCATCCTATCTCGCGTGGGATCTATTAATACATCGCCAGATTCCCTACATTCGCCACCAAGCTAACCTCAATAATGAATTAAGCTTATATCTCTATCTAGGTCTCTAATTCACTCGGCAATAACTATTGAACATGGCAGGGAAGATACAGACGGAGTTAACTAGCTTTATGTTGTAGTCATTCAACTGTTAAGTTCAGTCTAGTAACTAGTCATTCGTTCATTACTAGTACAAATTCCCAGTTGCGGCATAAGCTATCTTATAATTTGATTTCCGAGTTACACCGATTTACTAAGCTATTGTATTACACTCTTCAGCCAATGGTGTTTTCATAAGCTTCGCCCCTCCCACGAAACTTCTCTGAATACAAACTGTCGCAAATGATCTCATCGCTTCTTCAAATTTACCAATAGATGTCTGTGTAATCCCCTCTTCGCTAATTATTTGCGCCAGTGTGGCGGCGTCATGCAGCGTTGCCACGGCGCCAACTCCTCCTGATGGGGACATAACGTGTATTGCATCTCCTATCACAGTGACTTTCGACGACGGCTTCCAGGTCGGTATATCCGGGCTTGAGGAGAATACTCGCATTCCCACTGTTAGAGAGGGTTCTTGAAGCTCTAGTAAGCTTCGTATAGACGGATCCCATTCACTTGTCAATTGTAGTGACATTGCAACTGCGCCAAACTTCAGTGAATTCTCCAGCGCTTCCCCCTTCAACCCAGTTGTATTATTGTGAAAAAGCAATCCCCAGTGTATGTAGTCCTCTGGCAAGGCCTTGCTTTCGCATTGATTCTTGAAGCTGACCTGCTCACTGACAAGTGCAATGGGTGTTTCACCAAATATAATAGTCTGCAGAACTGGGGTCTGGTCAAGGATCACTGTCATCCATCGCCGGTGCTTCTCCGGAAAGCGTGAGAGGAGCTCTGGCCCCAGAAAGGTTTTGCCATATATGCAGCACCCTTCGGTGTCGAGGAGCTTAATATCTGGAAGTAATTGCTTACGTACAGCCGAACGAGCTCCATCGGCACCGACGAGTAGTGTACCTTCCTCGACGCTGCCATCTTCGAAGAAAACGCATACACCTGTATCGGTGAGCTCATACCCGACAAACTGTTTTCCGAAATGCACCGAATCCTCAATTCCCTTCATCATCGACTGACGTAGCATTCCACGGTCAATCGTATACGGCAGAGGTACTCCTTCAGGGAGGATTCCTTTACGGCTCGCAATGATATGAGCATCTGGGGCATTTAGTGTCGTCTCGCCGAGGTGGGTTTCGGCGCAAGAGGCCTCGAATTCCGACCAGGCCTCATCAGACAAGAGACCTCGCAATTTCGTTTGGAACTCGCCAAAAATCTTGAGCCTGTAACCCTGAAGTCGGGAATCTAATAGAACATCACGTTCAAATACAGCCACGTCAATCTGACTTCGTCTTAGACCTTGAGCAAGGGCCAAGCCGCCTACTCCAGCACCGATAATAATAACTCGAGGGGGTGGCATGATAAAGAGAAGTAGGACTAGCGGAGTGCAGCAGATGGCGTGTTACAAAGCAATGAAATCAAAGTAGTACTTCAATAGGGGAGCTTATGTGTTCCTCAGTTCTCTCTACAGAGGCACAATATTAACAGAACAATTCATGAAGATAATTTCAGAAGAACAACTAAGATTTGATTGATCAAATAAGGCCTGTACTTTAATTACCATAGCTAAGTCTAGTTCCTACTTACTACCTCGCATAAATGCAAACTTATGCTGACTTCATATGCATTACTTCCAAAGAGACTAACAAGAGCTTCGATAAACAACTGCAGATGAGCGGGCATGGGAGCCGCGAGATTAACGGGCATATCCACCTTTGATTGTAGTTGCCATCTCTTGGATTGATCCAACGGTCACAGTCTCAATAGGATATACGGAGGAGTCTGCATAATTAATGCGTGTGTCAAATGCCTTGACAGGTGACAGGTAGAATGAGAACACTACCCTCAAATTAACAGGGATAATAGAGGGGTAGCTGAACTAGAGAGCCTGTCCGAGATCCCACCTTGATCAAATATTGATAACGTTCAATAAAGTGGAATGATTTCAAAGAAAAGTTGAGTGCTTGCTGCGAGCTTGAGAAGACGGATTATATGTACGATCATGTAGTCATCATTTAGTCAGGCTAACTACTCGGCATTAACCTCTTATGAGTTAGACCCCACCCTAATCTGGGGATGAAACGCGGTCAGCTTACCACTTCTTGCGGTAAGCCGAATTGGCCTCTTGGCATCGGGTAAGCAGGGTTTTCCGAGGAAAAGTTTGAATATGCGTCTAGTACAGTACAAGCTTTATCTTCCTAATTCCGAACAAAGCATCTTATATACGATTAGATATTCCATTTAGTACATAAACCACTAATGTTTATACTTGTAAAGCGGATTCAAGTTTTACAAACCAGTAAAACAACTAGAATGTGAGATTTGTTGGGTCATGGTTTAAACTACTTGAAGAATCTGAAACACTTCAAACTATAGAATTAGCTATATCTAATAAAGTATCAATCGATGCTATTCTAAAGAATAACAAATATTATATAGCAAAGTCATTCATAATAATATAATCTCATTTTACTCCAACCGTGACCCTGTAAAGATGTAGGGGTGAAATTGCAACAGTACCATCGAGGCAAGCTTTTGCTGACAGGAATGTCAGACTGTCAGCACTACTGTATGTACTACTATACTCCTCAATCCGCTCAATTAAACTACCAGGTATTCGAGCTACTGTGGGCATACAGTACAAGTACCAAAAGCAGCTCCAAGGAATTATCTGCAAAGCGAAGAGAAGATAAGAAAGAAAATCGAAAGTGCCACAGTATGCAGGACTCTAGGCTATCACAAGATTAATCTGTAGGCTTTTCGCCGGGTGTAAGGACTAAGTAAGATGATATGGATTGACAGGATTCTCCATGAAATCCGACATCATGTGATAACGGAAGACATCATCTTCATAAACTGATTAATTATTAAAGGAGGTTTGGGGGTCCTGATCACAGGCACTCAGAAATCTTGTATATCTCAAATGATTCTGGTACTCTTGCCGATTGAATGCCCCGCAGCTTCTATCTCCAGCTTCTATATCTCCAAATGGCAGTACAAATACCAGAAAATGCTACCATCGAAATAAGATATCTGGATTGCAAAGGGATTCGAAATTCTTTCTCGATTGGAGGCCCCAGATGCTTACTGGCTGTCTTTGAGGAACCCTTAGGCCAAGTCCCAGATACTTCATAGTCGTTCCAATTCATAGTCGTCAATAACTGCTGGTATTCTGCTGCTCTTCCGGGCCAATTGTTAGTCACAATGTTGTCTTTCGTTTTATACCAACTATGACAGCCAGGATGTGCGAAAACCGTCTCGCGAAGCTGTAGCTGCAACTCCTCGTTAAAAGCTTCTATTCTCTCTAATTTTACGGTCAAGACGAGCTTTCCAGCCTTTGCTACTGCCCACTGCACAGCCTCGATCATGGCGCTGATATACCGAGCTTGCGCCTCGATCATCAGGATCACGGACGAATGGCTAAGATTCGAATTGGGCCCGTAAAGCATGGCAAAGTTTGGAAGAAATTCGACCGTCATTCCAAGGTAAGCACGACCCCCTTGACGCCAGATATCTCTGATGTGTCTTCCATCGATGCCTACTATATTGATGTCATGCATAAATTCTGTTGTACGAAACCCAGTGGCTAGAATTATGATGTCAAAATCAAATTCTTCGCCGTCGATAAGAATACCGCTTGAAGTTATGCAATCCACTGGCCTGGTTTCTAACGTAACATTCGGTCGATTCATGGTAGGAAAAAATGCATCGCTCAAGAGGACCCTTTTGCATCCATACGGGTAATTAGGGGTCAGTCTGTCGCGCAACTTCTCATTATCTGGGATTTGATGTTTCATCATATCCAGACTGATATTCCTCACAATGTTGCGGACTTCTTCACTGACGATCATCTCATGAACCTGGTCTTGAGAGATCATTAATCTCTCTCGATAACGCTGACGAACTTGTGGGAAGAATCTATATATCAGCCTTTGGGTAAGAGAAATATCCTGGTTATTTTTTGGTAAAACCCAATTAGGCGTGCGTTGAAAGACTGTAAGATGCGATGCAACTTTCGCGATTTCTGGAATTAACTGAATGCCTGTTGCTCCGTTTCCGATGATAGCAATCCTTTTGCCTTTGAGTTCTTGACTTTGATCCCATCTGGAAGAATGCATGAGCTTTCCTTTGAAGTCATCAAGCCCAGAGATATTGGGGATGAATGGTACGTTGAGCTGTCCCACGGCTGGAACAAGAAAAGGAGTGATGATTGTCTCTTGGTGGCACTCAGTTTCCTTATCAATTCTCGTAGGTGTGACTGCTATCCGCCATACCTTACCGGCACCATTCCATTCGGCACTTTCAACGGTAGTATTGAACACAATGTGCTTAAAAAGATCCCACCGGCGAATAGTGTTGATAAGGTACGCGTGGATCTCTCCCCGTGCAGCAAAACTGCTCATCCAATCTGGATTTGGATTAAACGAAAATGAATATAGATGGCTCCATGCTGTCAAATGTTAGAATATAGCAATTCGTAACGCTATATGTGTTTTGATGAACAAACTTGCCATCAGCGGTGCATCCCGGATAACGATTGTCCTTCCAGGTGCCTCCAGCCTCGCTCGCCTTTTCAAGTATGATGAAATTTCGAGTCCCATTACGACGTATTAGGTCAACTGCCATACATATTCCTAGGTAACACCTATTAGCTGTCTAATCCAATCCATCTGAGGTTATGAGATTACCTGAAATACCCGCTCCTATAATCACAACCGGTAATTCTTTGCTCTTGCTACCGTTGGCCATTTTCTCACACACAGTACAGTTTTTGCAGGTTTCCAATCGAAATTTCGCCTGGATACAATACTGTACAACTCCTTGATTCTATAATCATGATTAATGTAAATGAGATTACCTCTAGCAAGTGAAAGGTACCTTGATGCCACGATCCCAAACCTAAATGCCACGAAAATAAATAATCTTCCGATTATCTTCATACTAAACCCTGTATTGTGCTTCAAGCGGGCTTGACCGGAGTGGATCCGCCCCATCTAATCAGAGTGAGGGGTCCACGAAAACACATGATGATCTAGACGGGTAGGTGGTATGATGCTTACCTTACATAAAATAAAGACTTTGAGTCTCGTATCTCAACTTCATTCATAAACGGTCATCAAACTATTCAACCAAAACACCCAAATCCGCTCAAGTCACAAGCCAAAATCCTGCAATCAAAATGCCTAAATTAGGACGCTCTATCCTTGCTTTCGTGGCCGTCACAAGTTCTATTGGTGGTTTCATCGCGGACTGGAACGATACCCATGTCTACAACCCACGTTGGCCTCCACACGCTAAATTCCACAATGGCCAAACAATGTCAATGGGCTTGATTGTCGGAATCGGTGGTCTCTATTACCTCTACCGCCCAAATGCCTCAAACGCCGTCGAGAAAGAGTCACTGTACATGGCTGCATTCCTCACGAGTCTGACTTGGGTCACGCAGCTTAGCGCGGCCTTGTACCCAGGGTCCCTGCCCATGGATCCTGAGTTTGGGGATGGATTTCCGCAAGCGTATTTCTGCACCGTGTTGTTGAGCATGGTTGCTATTGGGACAGCTTTGGAAAGTGCAAGGCTCAAGAGTGAGGAGAAAATAGAATGATAGAGACGCACGCCTGCACAGTCATTGTATGTAAGGCGGGGGAAATGGATGGCATGGAACTTGGATTATCTCATGTATGGTGACGTTGACAGATTGGGAATGGCACTCTACATCACTGGCCAATGATAATTCGAGGTTTACTTCACCCAAGATTCAATCCACTTTGATTTTAGCTCATGCTGTCTATCCACCTATGCGTATGCGTCTTCGTGTACACACCTTCTGTTACCTTAAACGCGCTATATAAGAGTGCTGATATTGCCATGAATGATTGCACAACAGGGCTTTGAAAAATTGCTTAATCATGCCTGTGTTGTAGTAAAGGTAACCTACACCACTTTCCAGACAAACTCACGCTGCTCACTTTAAATCTTTGCTTATCCACATGCTACTGAAACAAGACAAACTTGCAGTCATGGATCGGCACATCGAATTTTATATTTTTGGAGACCAATCTGAAAAGATTGATGAAGGACTCTGCACTCTTATCTGCTCTGAACGCGATGCTATTCTAGATTCATTCTTAACGAAATCATATGAAGCCATCCGGTCCGAAATCCAGGAGTCAAAATTGGAAGTACCTTTCAAGTTTGCAAGCCTTCTAGACCTTCTAGCTTTACGAAAAGATGGACTCAAGAGTGTTCCACTAGACCACGCTCTCACTTTTGTGTATCAAATTGGGCTCTTCATCCGGTATGAACAATTTATACACTAGAAAGCTTCAATTGATAGTGTAGCAGCGGCTAACTTACGTGCAGAACTTGCCATAAGCTTGGGCACTATCCGCAGGCACCAAGCTCTTATTTGGCAGGGATCTGTACTGGCACACTCGCTGCAGCTGCGGTCAGTTACAGCCAGTCACTCTTCGAGCTTGTACCAGTGGCAATACAAGTTCTGATCATCTCATTTCGCGCTGGTGTACTGGCTGTAGAGGTCAAAACGCATGTGTCATTGGATGATAACACCGGAGCTTCATGGGCGGTGCTTTATCCGGAGTTGACGATAGAGAAGGCAAATTCTTGTATCAAAAGCTTTTCGCAATCTCATGTACGCTCCTAGAACACTCCTATAATAGAACGATGCTGATTGAAGTTTCAGAGGGTTCCTTTGATCTCAAGGCCATATGTAAGTAGTAGTTCAAATCGTGGTGTTACAATCAGTGGCCCGCCTGAGCTACTGAGAGTCTTTAAGAAACATCGAGATGTAAGCGCCTACAGAGGTATAGAGCTGTCTATAAATGCTCCTTACCATGCGTCACATCTTTATACCACACAGGATATTGAATGTCTCTTAAATCTGGGCCCAGCACACCCCTGGCTTGATACACGCAGAAGTATCCCAATTCTATCAATTGCGACGGGAGAGATAATAGATACCCGTGTCCTAAGAGACATGCTACAAAATGCCCTTACAGACATCTTCCTGAGACCAATGCAATGGGATTTGCTGGCAAGCGCGTTAGATTCTCTTTTACAACCGTCAAAAAATACCAAAACCTTGTTGATTCCAATCTCCACAGATGTCGGCCCTGGCACCAAAGCAGTGTTGAAGATGAAGGGGAACACGAACATCGAAATCGCAGCCCATCCACTCTTATCCGCAAGTGATAAAAATTTGTTTGATGCCGGGAGACACAAAACGTACTCAAGTGCTGCTGGAAACTTGCCAAGGTCCAAGATTGCCATTATTGGCATGTCAGGCAGATTTCCCGGGGCAAACGACACCGCGAAATTCTGGGACATTCTTCATGATGGACTTGATGTTCATGAGGTCGTACCTCCGCTCCGATGGGATCCAAAAACGCATGTGGATCTTTCAGGGACCAGTAAAAATACCAGTGCTACACCCTATGGTTGCTGGCTTGAGGACCCGGGATTATTTGATGCAAGATTCTTTGGCATGTCCCCAAGGGAAGCTCAGCAGGTTGATCCTGCGCAGCGTCTTGCCCTGATGACCGCCTATGAGGCGCTAGAGCAAGCAGGTGTTGTTCCTGACGGGACGCCGTCCACTAAACGAGATCGAGTTGGAGTGTTCTACGGTGTCACAAGCAACGATTGGATGGAGACGAATAGCGCGCAGGATATTGACACATATTTCATCCCCGGAGGAAACCGCGCATTTATTCCTGGTCGCATCAACTACTGCTTTAAGTTCAGCGGGCCGAGCTATAGTGTGGACACGGCATGCTCATCTAGTCTGGCAGCAATTCATCTTGCATGCAACTCCCTCTGGCAGGGTGACATCGATACCGCGATTGCTGGTGGTACCAACGTGTTGACGAACCCAGATATGACGAGCGGGCTTGACAGAGGACACTTTTTATCGCGTACAGGAAACTGCAAAACATTTGATGACTCGGCTGATGGCTATTGTAGAGGAGAGGGGGTCGCTACGGTGATTCTGAAGCGCCTCGAAGACGCGTTGGCAGATAACGACCCGATTCAGGGCGTGATACTAAACGTTTCCACCAACCATTCAGCAGAATCTAATTCCATCACTCGTCCAAATGTGGGAGCTCAAAAGGATATGTTCCAAAAGGTCCTTGGCGGTACGAATCTCTCAGGTGTCAGTTATGTCGAGATGCAGTGGGTTAAAATTTAGAACTTTCTTCCCCCCTTTGATCATTTCAGAAACTAATAACCCCCGACATTGTAGTGGGACCGGGACACAAACCGGCGACGTTGCTGAGATGTCAAGCGTTTTGGAATGCTTCGCAGCCAAAGTTGGTCAGCGTCCTGAGTACCGTCCTCTTTATCTTGGTTCTGCAAAAGCAAATGTGGGTCATGGCGAGGCTGCTGCGGGAGTGACGAGTCTTATCAAAGTATTGCTAATGATGCGGCATGATACGATCCCCCCTCATTGTGGCATCAAAACCGTGACAAATCGCAAATTTCCCGAAGATTTGTTTTCTCGTGGTATTCGTATCGCCAACAAGCCAATCAAGTGGAAACAAGAGCAAGACGTTCCTCGTCGCACACTGATCAATAACTTTAGTGCTGCAGGCGGTAATACTGCTCTGCTGTTGGAAGATCCGCCTCTGACGGTGGCTGACTCGGAAATTGACACTCGGACAACACATATAGTTACCGTCACTGCCAAAACGGCTTCCGCACTGAAAGCAAATGCGCAAGCCTTGTTGTTATTCCTCACGCATACTCCTTCATCCTCCTTTACACTGCCATCTCTTTCCTATACGACAACTGCAAGACGCACTCACCATCCTCATCGTATCGCCATAAGTGGATGTGACGTCGATGAGATTGCGGGGAACCTGTCCAAGGCAATAATTTCCGAGGTCGGAAAGACGAGATCCATCTCGAGTCCTTCAATTGTTTTTATATTTACTGGACAAGGCTCCAGCTATATTGGAATGGGAAAGGAGTTGTTTGACAGTATCTCCTCTTTTCGAGCTGACATCTATCGATATGACAAATTGACGCAAACCCAAGGCTTCCCTTCAATCCTGCCCAATTTCACCATGGATAAAAACAGTATTCAGATATCAGATCAATCACCAACAGCAGTCCAACTGACTCTCATTTGCTTACAGATGGCGTTAGTCAGGCTTTGGGCTTCTTGGGGCGTGACCCCTAGCTCCGTTGTTGGCCATAGTCTTGGTCATTATGCTGCATTGAATACTGCCGGAGTTATTACGGCGGCGGAGACAATCTACTTGGTAGGAATGCGTGCTCAAGAACTCGAGAAGAGTTGCGTGTCTTATACACATTTGATGTTGGCTGTCAAATCTTCGTTTGATATACTGAGCCCCTCTTTAAAAGATAGACAAGTTGAGATTGCTTGCATTAACGGCCCGAGCGATATTGTGCTTAGCGGGACTCGCGAGGACATTGAAAGTTTGTCCGAGGTATTAAAGTCCCACAAAATCATGTCGACGATTCTCAAAACCTCTTATGCTTTTCACTCCTCACAGATGAACAACGTACTTGAGGGTTTCACTCAAGGTGCCCAAGGAGTATCCTTCCACCCGCCAGCTATTCCTGTGATATGTTCTCTTTCAGCAGCTGTGGTTCGTCTCCCCGGAGCTTTTGGACCGGAACACCTCGCGGACCATTGCCGTAGACCCGTTGATCTTGTTGGAGCACTTGCCGCTGCAAGTAAAGAAAGTGTCATCACAGACAACACAATCTTTATTGAGATTGGTCCCCATCCTACGGTTTCGCGAATGGTGAAATCAATTGTGAGCCATCGCTCAACTGTCCTTCCATCACTCAAGCGCGATACAGAAACTTGGAAAACTCTGTCGGATGCATTATCATCGTTATATCTTGGAGGTGCCGAAATTCGATGGAAAGAATTCCATCGGGACTTTCCGTCGTGCCAAAAGGTTGTGGAGCTGCCGGCATATCAATGGGACCTCAAGGACTACTGGATAAAGTATGTCAATGACTGGTCACTTCGAAAGGGGGATCCGATTTCCTTTTTGGATGCCGGGCAGCACAGACATGTGGAAATCCTTAGCACGACAATCCACAAGGTAGTATCAGAGTATATGAGGGATCAGTCTGGTTCAATAACTGTAGAGTCTGACATCCATCGTTCTGATCTCTATCCCCTAGTTCAAGGACACAAAGTGAATGGTATTCCACTTTGCACACCGGTAAGATCTTCTAACTTGTTCTCGATCTTTAACTTCAGGCCTAACTTTGAAGTAGTCCGTGTACGCCGATATTGGACTGTCTATAGGTCGGTATCTCCTCAGCAAATATCGACCAGCCATGGAAGAACAACAAATTGATATCTCAAATATGGTAATTGAGAAGGCGCTCATTGCGCAAAGCCAAGGTCCACAGCTACTTCATACATCAGTAGATATCGACTGGCACCAGAAGAGCGCCAAATGCCAATTTTCGACGGTCGATGTAAGGTTCTTTTCCAATATTTATCACAAAATGGTGCCGCCGTTAAGATGAATTCAGCTGCTAACAAGCCTAGAAAAACGAAAAGCCCATCGTTGTACATGCTAAGTGTACCATCCTATTCACGCCTCGTCCTGATCCTCAATTGCTGGAAGATAGCGGACTAGAATACGAATTGCGAATCAAACAACTCGAAGCAGGCCTCGCTGAAGATGTATGCTATAAATTCAACAAGACAATGATATATAGAATGGTAGATACGCTGGCCGAATTTGATGCAGCATACCGCGCTCTAAGCGAGGTGGTTCTGAATAGCGCGTCCATGGAAGCAGGTAGTAAAGTTGATCTCAGAGTTGTCAAGGATACCGAGAGTAACATTTTCCACACGCATCCCGCTTATATCGATTCCTTTTCTCAATGTGCCGGATTTGTTATGAACGCTAACGATCAATCGGATCCCACCTCTGAGGTATTTGTAAATCACGGCTGGGGGTCTTTCAAACTCTTTGAACGCCTCATTCCAGACAAAGTTTATAGGACATTTGTCAAAATGGTGAAGACGCAAGGTTCTATTTGGGAAGGTAATGTGATGATCCTTGACGGCAATCGGATTGTTGGTAAATTTGAAAAGATTCAGGTACGCTCAAAGCATCTTTCGAGTAAAATCCCGATTGGTGGCAAACGGTAATGGTGCTAAACTCGACTTTAGCTTCAGGGTGTCCCTAAACGGCTTCTACATAGCATCCTGCTATCAGCAAGTAGGCAACAATCGCAAGAAGATACTTCAAAGTATTCCACAAAGAGACCAACAAGCATGGATCAGGCTACACCATCAATACCTTCCCCTAGAGCTGGCGATATAATGACCAATACAAATATTGATAGCCACTCAAGGCAGATCGAGGCCAAGTCTATTGTGACGGAAAAAGTCATGATCGACAAGTATAACAAACTCATGGAGATTGTCTCCGAGGAGACTGGTATAGATATTCACGAGTTGAACGACGAGACTGACTTTGTAACAATTGGAGTTGACTCTCTGTTATCAATAATCATAACAAGCCGCCTTGATGAAGAGTTGGATTTTAATACACATTTTGGACTCTCCCTTTTTGACCAATTCTTTACCGTGGGCGAATTGAAAAGTGGTTTGGCTCGGTCTATGGGACTATCGCCTGGTACGAGAAGCTCGACCTCTTCTTCCGCTCATGGTGATACTCCAGCAACACTCCATTCCCCAACTATGACGGAAACACAGTTTGCATCACCATCATTCTCCATCGAGACCTCATCACAGTCTTCACTCGCTTTAGATGATGGAGAAATGATTGAGAACGCACATGTTCGCCAACCCACATCCGTCGTTCTACAAAAAGCTCATACAAGTAGCAATGTTCGAACATTGTTTTTGTTTCCTGATGGATCGGGATCGGCGTATTCCTACGCCAGTATACCGCGAATAAACGGTGATTTGACAGTTGTTGCCCTCATATCAGCATACATGCGAGAGCCCGAAGAAATGAAATGCTCGTTCGATGAGCTCGTCACTAGTTTTCTAGTTGAGATAAAAAGACGACAGCCCAGTGGGCCCTACAACTTAGGCGGCTGGTCGTCCGGCGGTATCTTTGCATATCGGGCTACGCAAAGACTCATTGAGGAGGGCCAAAGAGTCGATACCTTGGTGATTATCGATTCTCCGGAGCCGAAAGGCATGGATCGGTTACCCCAGCGCTTCTATGATCACTGCAGTGCCATTGGTATATTTGGACAGATCAAAACAGACGGCAGCTCCGTCTCTGTGCCCCCAAAGTGGCTGATCCCGCATTTCAATGCCACTATCGACGTGTTGCACGAATACTGGGCTGAACCTTTACCGGTAGGTCTCACGCCCAAAACTTCAATCATTTGGGCAAGGCAATGCACCCTTGACGGTATCAAGCATCCAAAACTCCCACCGAGTGCTGATGACACAGAGGGTATGAAATTTTTGACCGAGGAACGAACTGACTTCAGTGCCGGCGGTTGGGCCGATCTCTTTCCGGGTGCCAAGATAGATGTCCATGTAGTCGAAGGAGCAAATCACTTTTCCATGATGGTAAGTAAATTTCCTTTATTCCTGAAGCCTTATTGACTTCGCTCTTTTAGAATAATGAATACGCTTCATCCTTGGCTAGTTTCATTCGATCGGCCACATCTAAATAATAAGAGCTGCTCGCAAATACTTGAAGAGCTTGAAGATATGTTATCTCATTCTCCCGCCTTTTTGGGGTTTAGAGAATTCCATGATGCCTGACATGTTTCTGAGTATCGGAAATAGAGTTGCATAAGGGCTATTTTGAATATTATTAGTATTTAGGTTATGTGATGAGTTTAAAATCAAAATAAGATTCTCCTCGTAGATACTGTAAAACGATCTTTTGGGTGAAAATGATGGATGTATGAGATGAAAACTTATTAATAGTATATTTGTCCAGGAATAGTTATGTTATGATGACAAATACACTAGTTCATATCATGACTTCTCAAGAATAACCTCAATAATAATACTTTAACCTCTCATAATCTCGTACTTTGTGACGATAATATAATAATATCAACCTTTTGATCATTGCCAGTCTCGATAATCGGGCATTTTATAGCCGCCCAGTTTTGTACCAGGATATTTGCCCTATTCTCTCTCTACATTGACTGGCTACCAGGGTAAAGCTGGGTGTGCAAGTTTGACTGCCCCGCCCTTCCTATTCGTTGTTCGTCCTTCGTTCAGATTCACTCATTTCGATGAGTACGAACGAACTCATTACTCAACGAGCTTCATTTCTCTCCTTGTAGGCCATTTCTCTTCATCTTGTCACTTTCCACGCATTTGTATCCCAAAACTTTTCCATTTCGCATTTCACGTCGTGAAGAATTCTACAATAGGTCGTTGAATCTTCTGACAGGCTTTCTTATCGTTTATCTGTTTCTGCCCTACAGGCCTCTTTCGTGGCCGCTGTAAGCTTTCATAAAGTATTACCTGACGCAACCCTCCCTCGCATCGCCGGCAACGAGCTTGGCTCTATTTCAGCCATATGCTCAGCAGATTGCTGAAGACAAACCCATATTAACAAGAAGTTTCTCACTCTTTTAGAGTGTTTGTTTGAAGGAGCGCTTATATTTCGCACGAGATGGCTCGGCGCACCGGGAAACCCGACGATGAGCTATTCATGCAACGTCCTGGCGATGGTTGTGATAGTCCTACGGTCACCATAGAACCTTTAAGGATTGTGAAACCAACGAGCCCTCCCCGACATCGAACGGAAGCCAGCTCGTCGAATCGATTTGCATCCCCACCTCCTGCGAACAAACCTACATTCCCTCTACCGCCAGGTGCCTCGAGTTCTGCAAGCCCTTTACCATATCCCGATGACGACGATGACGACCTTTTCCAGAAAAGACCTGATCCTCCTTATCCCGACAACCGAGGTAAGGCCCCACAGAGATTCAGCTGGAACGATCAAGAAAATAGAATACCTGGAGGAAGTGGTAGGCAGACTGCATATGATACGGCACCTCGATTTACGAGCCCCATAGAGAAAACTGGCCCAGGCCTATCAGAAAGGAGGGGGAATGCACCGCAACCTCTGCCTGCTTCTCCAGATACAAGCTCCCCGCAAAGAGAGGGGATGTTTGGCAGACTACCTATAAGAGAACAAAACCCTCCAGCTGGCGCAAGTGCGTACTCAGAGGGCAGCAGGCTATATTATCCACCACCTATCCCTCATCCAACGACTTTTAATGGGACGCCTTCAATACTATCACCAACCCCGAAAAATGATATGAATAGACTTGCTTCCACGGCTTCAACCTCTACTACTAGAGCAACCAGAGGATCCCCACCACCACCAGAAACTCCCATTGATCCACCAAGCGCACTCGGAGGAGGTGGCATCGAGGCGCGATATGCTGCATCTGGTATTACAGGTGCTGCGACTTTAAGTAGTCTTCAAGCGCAGAACGCAGCCGCTGCTCAACGGGCTAATCAATATGCGCCGCCGCCCGTCCCGCAAATGCCCCAATCGCCTCCCGCAAGACCATGGACTCCGACTGAGTCTCCTGAGAATGCCCCACATGGTCCCCCTAGAGTGTATCAAGGGCTAAATGAGATCACTCCATCAGCTTCTCCACCTGCTGTAACTCGCCCCCAAAGACAAAGTTCGGCCCCACCAGTAAATACCCTAGAACAAGACTTTCACCGCATGCAAATGTCTGTTGAAGAGCCCCCGCCAGCGTACTCTAGTGTGACCCCTGGATCTGCAAATCCACAAGCGTACCCAGTCGAGAAACAGCAGCGTGCCAACCCACCGGCTGCTATAGATACCACGCCAAAACCAAATATCGCACCACCTTTAGCAACGCCCGCAAATAATCCTGACCACCCTGCATTTGCAAATGAGCCAAGACAAGAACATATTCCACAACAACCTACTGAAGCCGGACCGTCGACTCAGCCTGCTAATGTTTCGCCTTTTCAAGGTGCTGGCCCAACATCGCCACCGCCACTTCCAGAGGGCTGGATCGCCCACCTGGATCAAAACTCTGGTCAGTACTATTATATCCATCTTCCTACTCAAGCCACCCAATGGGAATTCCCCAAGGGCCCTACTCCACTGAATGATGCGCCACTTTCACCAGTCCAATCAACCTATGCTGGATATGGCAATCCCATGGCGTCTCCAGGGTTGAGTATGTTCAACAAGCAATCTCTTGGCTCTCCTGGCTTTCAAGGAATGGCATCACCTGGTTTTATCGGTTCACCGGGATTTCCTCCACACACTCCCGGCTATGCGGAGAGTATAATGAGTATGGCGTCAGGAACTCCAACTACTGCAGGATTTTCTGGGCCACCTCCAAGTGCAGGAGTCGACATGTATAAAGTTGTACCTACGAATGGCGTGTATTTTGGTCCTTACCTAAGATACGTCAATATGGATATGGAGAACGGCGTGTGGCTTGGTACAATTATGCTTGTAACAGATGCCCCGCAACCACCGACTATTCATATCCATCAAAGCGTTGATCTGTCGCCAAATCCCAGACAGCTCAAACCGAATCCGATATATACACATCAAAGATGGGTCTTCTACCGTTATGATGTCGATCTGAAGATGGGAGAAGGTCCAGGTGAGAAATGGACGTACGCTATAACTTCGCATTTGGGTTGCACACGATATGAGTTTCTGGTAGCTGGACGTTTCGAGACAAATTGGAGATTCATTGCACATTCTGGTAATGACTTTGCTATGAACACTACTGTTAACGATCGATCCAAACTGGGTGGAATTGGTTTCATGTGGAAAGATATTTTGCAGAAGAATGTCGAATGCGGTGGTTTCCACGTGCAACTGGGATTGGGAGATCAGATTTATGGCGATAGGTTGTGGAAGGACGTCCCTCTATTGAAGCAATGGCTCGCTATGAGTGGTAAAGAGAACCGGAGGAGCGCAGCATGGACAGCAAGACACGAGGAGGACGTGGCGCATGCTTATTTCCATTACTATACCAGTCATTTTGATCAACCATATTTAAGAGAGGCCTTTGCTCAAATCCCTCATATACTACAAATCGATGACCATGACATGTAAGTTTTCAACATTATAGTTCTTTACGTTTACTAACACCTTTGAAGTTTTGATGGCTACGGTTCTTATCCAGAATATATGCAGAACTCCAACATGTTCAAGAACATTGGTCGTATCGGCATTCAGATGTATCTCCTCTTTCAACACCACACTACCGTCGACATCCTTCGAAATGTTAGCACTGACATTGATCTATTTACAATCACCGGAACTGGTTGGCACTTTGTAAAATATCTAGGACCTTCGGTTGTTGTGATAGGCCCAGACTGTCGATCAGAACGTAATCAACGCCAAGTTCTTGCGGGTCCTACTTATCAAGGCATCTTCCCTAAAGTAGCCACGCTACCTCCGAGTGTACAGCATTGTATATGGATGATCTCGGTGCCTGTAGTATACCCACGTCTTGAAGCAGTCGAAAGCCTCGCACATACTATGGCCACGGGTAAGAAGGCGGTCAACAGCACGTACAACTTACTTGGAAAAGTCACGAGTTCCATGGCTGGAGTAGTGGGAGGCAAGGAAGCCGTGGCAACTGGCTTTTCACACGTCAAGAAAGCGGTAGGCAAATCTGGATTGATGGGAGGTGTGCTCAATACATTTGGTGATATTGATATTGCGGATGAGTTGAGAGATATGTGGACACATGAGAGTAAGGATTTGGAGCGAACGTATTTAATACGGACACTGCAGGGAATTGCCCACCAGAAGGGTATTAGGATGACATTCCTGTCCGGCGGTAAGTTATATAAATTCCCGCCCATGTATTTGTTTCGGATTTATAGGTTACTGACACATTACTAGACGTAAACTGTTGCGGCGCTGGTCTTGTCCATGATCCTTCTCATCCATCTGACCATAAGACTATGTATCAAATCATCGCATCCGCGGTCGTCGCAGCTCCCCCTCCATCATACGTCCTCAAAATGCTTCATAATAACAAACCACTTTACGTTCCTCAAAACGGCGTTAAAACAACAAACCAAGTCAGCGATACCAAAGAGGACATGATGGAAATATTCCAAACGGACACCAATGGTGGGCCAAGAGATATGAAGAAATTGATGGGTAGGAGAAATTATGTAGCCTTTGTGGCTTTCGATCCGGACGCGATGATGGGAGGCATGAGTGCTAATGGAAGTATGCACAGTGGCAATGCTGGGTTGGCAAAGTTGAGTCTAGCTGTTGACTTTGTGGTGCAAGGAGATGGAGGATTTAGTCCACCTACCAAGTATGGTCCTGTTATTGTGCCAAGCCTGGAGTTTGGCAGGTGATGTTGAGGACGAAGTAGGAAGTGTTGGTTCGAGATGCTGCATAGCAGATATTGGAAACGTGACATGGCGGATGAATTATCATTTTGACGATTGAGCTCTCTTGATATATCTATTTGGCTACTTTATTCGACCATTTTGAAGCATTTAAACAGGGAGTTGTAAGGGAAGCAAGTGATATTTGACTGCCTATATGAATAATCTAGTCGGATGGGATAGCATAGCTTCTCTTGTGTGTATCATCTTTCAATAGTTTTAGTACTGAATACTCCCAGAGAGAAAAGTCATTTACCTATGAAAGTATATGATATAATACTATTCAATACATGTGGAGTGTTTTGACTTTGACTTTGAGGTGACAAGATTCAATGATATAGTCGAGTGGAATAGTATACCGGTAGCTTCTTTTGTGTTGCATTATTGTTTATAATCTAATTAGTAGATACATTTAGAACGAAATCATTAATCGCTGAATATATGAACTCTTTCAATATATGTGGAAAGATTAGAATTTTAGATGTCTAGATTCAATGATAGTCTATAAAAATGGGGCCGAATCAAAAAACAAGGGACCTCGCTACCCTTAGCGTCTTATCCAGCTTACATCCCTGCCTGACAGTGCCCCTCCTTTCCCCTGTAAAATAACCAGACCGCCAAACTGTCAACTTAACCACGAACTTCAACTTCACATACAATTTTACTTCTCTCGTTTATAATTTATTCTCACTTCCAAACAAGCAGTACTCAAGATGACCGACGCAGTGATTACCACTTTCCCCCCGCTCGCAGAGCGACTCGTCAAAAACACCATCTGTCTTTTCGATGTCGATGGAACACTCTCTCCTGCGCGGCTAGTACGTCACTACCAATTTCTTTACACCTTTCGCTATGCCTCAACTAACAATCTAAATTATAGTCCGCTTCCGCCGAAATGCTCTCCCTCCTTGCCGCTCTCCGCCAAAAATGCGCCATCGGCTACGTAGGTGGCAGCGACATGGCCAAACAACAAGAACAACTCGGCACTGCTGAGATACCCGTTACCTCGATTTTCGATTTCTGTTTCGCCGAAAACGGACTCACAGCTTTCAAGAGCGGCGTTCCCATCCAATCGAATAGCTTCATCAAGTGGATTGGTGAAACTCAGTACAAGGAGTTGGTCAAATTTATCTTGCATTACGTCGCGGATTTGGATATTCCAGTGAAGAGAGGAACATTTATCGAATTCAGAAACGGCATGATCAATGTTAGCCCCATTGGCAGAAATGCGAGCGTGGTGGAGAGAAATGAGTATGAGGTGTATGATAAGCAACATCATATTAGAGAGAAGTTTATCGAGGCTTTGAGGGAGAAGTTTACAGGGGTGGATTTGACGTGAGTTTTGATTGAGGATTCTATGATTTGGATGATGGCTTAGACTAATACCTTTAAACATAGCTATTCGATCGGTGGTCAGATTTCCTTCGATGTCTTCCCTACTGGCTGGGATAAGACATACTGTCTTCAACATCTTGAGAATGACGCAAAGCGCCCAGACGGTATCGAGTATACGACGATTCATTTCTTTGGAGATAAGACATATAAGGGAGGAAATGATTATGAGATTTATGAGGATAAGAGGACAATTGGTCACAGTGTGAAGAACCCGGATGATACCATGAGGGATATTAGACAGATATTTGATCTTTAAGTACATGATATTTGGGATAGAGTATAGAAGTTAATTTTTGGGGGGAAATGGCAAAGTTTTATATCCATACATTCCACCCCCGGTGACCATCTCTTCCGATTTGCGGGTCTGGGCACCCTTTGAAATTTCACTTTTATTTGTCCGATAATCTCTTGAAGAATATCTTTTGACTTTTCAGGACATTATACCCGTATAATACATCGAAACCTGCTTCTAGTGAGGCACTTATAGGTGGTATAAGCCCTATCAGTATTGAGGTTATGCATCAGTCCCCCATGGGCTTTTGATAAGTCTTACTCCTCAAAGCTCTTCAAGGGTTGAGTAGAACTACGAGTATTAGCATCGGGATATATCTGGGAAAATCACACTGATAGACGGAATATCTTCATCGGGGGGTATTTGACTATGTTCATCTCAAGCTAGAAGTACTCGAGTAGTGGATCAAAAACTCCTATAGTATTGTTTTGTTTTGTATAAGATGAGGTAATGTTAAGTTTCATGTAACATGTTAACGCTTCAAGGATCCTCGAGACTCGAGTACGTACAGTACGTACGGTGTAATTGTGATGATATCTTACGCTCTTCTACAATTTAACTCACATACTGGTTTTATAATGCATTACTTACTTATGCTTCAATTTTCCCCAGATCTTTCCTCCTGCATCCTTATCATAACCTCTAGACTTCATATATTCTATCTCCTCTGTCAAGGCAGATGTATAACCTGTGGCCTATGAATGGAATGATACCTAGATTGGAATATTTCATGGCTGGCTTGCTTGTATTCCCCTTCACTACTTATTTATTTACTTATCACCCTATTCGATGCTATACATGTCAAATTGCCAATGGATCTCGATCTATGATGTTTGCACATTATTATAGCTATATAAACTTACTCGAATACCGGTATATCTAAGAAGGTTCTTACAATCTGATGATACAGGTAGTTTGGGGGTTTTTTACATTTTCTAGTAGTGTTCTGATATATATCATGGGTGTAATTTTCAGGGGCTTTGGCCACGGAATCGAGATGGCGATCTTGGCTGATTTATATGTATATATATACTATATGACCATTGGCATTCAGTGAGTATCCTCGAGTATTTCGGAATAGGGTTTTAATGGCAATATATTACTCGTAGAGGGAACATGGGAGCTTTTTCACAGGATATGTATGTATAGCGGGGACGTATAGGTATTTTGCATGAAGCGGATATTGAACATCCATAATCGCGCGAAAAAGCAGGGCTGGATATGCATCGGTTGCTGGTGGAGATCCATTTGATTGGTTGTATTGAAGAGAGAAGGAGAAGGGGAAGGGGAAGTTATCCTTTCTTCTTAAGATATGTCCGCGCTTTCTTTCAGAAATTGGAAATCTCGGCTTGATGAATGGAACTGAGACTGAAACTAAATATTTTTGGGTGCAGCTGCGGTTGGTATGAATGATATGAAAGGTTTGAATGGAATGAGTATAAACTCAGGGTACTTGTTTAGATTACCTCTATTATTCCCTGAGCTTCTCATCCCACCAACTACTTTTCATCGAATGTGTATATAGCTCGTCGGGTAAATTAGGGAGTGACTCGACTTTAATTCCTTGAAATTTCTGATATTCTTCCATTGGCACCCATACCTCAAGAATCTTTGAAATAATCTTTTCATCGCCAAGTACTCGAGTAGGGAAAATGAAATCTTATCAGTTGAGATTTATTAGCCCCCTTTGACAAAGCTTCGCTTGTTTTCCAGTAATTCGAGGTCCTTCAACCTAGTATTGCCAGTGGATAAAGAGACCATAGTACCATATAAATTATATGCATAATATAATACATCTGCATATAGATCGAGCGTCCAGAATGTGAAGTGCCTGGACATGAGCTCTTGGAATGTTATCGGAAACTTGTTTGGAGTCGTGAGTGAGTGAATGAGATCAATGGTTTTTATATCTCTACACTATTTAAATGGCTGCTGAAGCTTGAAGCTTGAAGACCCCCTTCATCATCCTCTGGTGCTGAATCGAGATTAGGTACATTTTCGTATGTTAGGTAAGGTAGAGAGCCACGTGTAGATGTGAGGATAGAGAATACACATATATAAGAATCTGACCTCCGAGGCAATCGAGGCATAGCTAGCTAGCAGAGTACCAATACCATACCATACCATAGAGAATAACATCAATGATCTGTATAATGGTTACAAAAACAGATAGAAACTTATCCTCTTCTTTTCCCATCCCAATTATTTATCACGAGGTGATATTCCAGACAACTCAAATTACTAATTCCTCATATCAGAACAGTACAAAATTCCAATCAATATCAGTATCAATATTGATGATGTGATAATTGGCAAACGAAACAGCTCTCCAATCATCACCTATTGTTACACAAACATGCACTATCCCGCCGTATACTTACATATATGCATACATATACGAAATACCTTCCATATTGGTTGATAATATGGCATTTGCTCATCTGTTACATATCGTATGATCTGGAACATTTATGATGTTGCTTGCTTACTTACTTAGTAGGTGGGTGTACTTGGTATTTGTTTGGGATGGGATATATACATGTATACTCGTACATCCAGCCCCATATTTCCTAATAGTTTTCAGGACAAAAATATCGAACTCAGAAGTGCAACAAATGAATTCATCCCTTTGAGATATTTGTTTAGTTGGATAGAAGTGATGAGGTATATGCAGGAGTCTGCGATAATACGACGTTTTGGAATATCAACATGGCATAACATCTATATGTGTCACGCATTCCGTCGGAATCCATGAAACTAGATGCAATTTTCGTCTGAACTACTGTCTACATTCGTCAAGTGGCGGTTAGATGATAAAGATCAGTGTTTGCATTCATTCTATGGAAAGATGCGGCTAGCCTTTCATTTTGGTATCTCGCGATCGGAAGATATCATATCATATCGAATCTCCCTATTAGTTCCGCTTCCCTCTTACCAACTTGAAGCTACTTGGTTCTCTCTTGTGCACTACTTTGCTTGACTTGATATAAATTGAACTCCTTCGTTAAAACACTACACACTTATACTTCCAAACATTCCTACTTCATCGGGACAAGTACTGTATCTACAACATATACCTCCATCCCCTAGCAAAATAGCCAGCCAACGCCACACACCATCCCTAACTCTGATACTGCAACGCGCCCCTCATCCTAAAATATTCCCCCGCCAAAATCGGTTCATACTTTGCTTTTTCCCCGTCCTTTACACATTCCCCAAGAACCTCTATCAATTTATCCGGATCCGGTCCACAGAAATAGGGGATAGAATAGCGAGCTTGAGTCATTCTTTCTCCTTCATCAATTGCCGTATAGCGAGACGCTAGAGGAGGAATTTGAACGCGATGGAGTGTGGATTTGAGGTCATCTGACACATCTATCAATATACATTTCACACGAAACGACCTGATTACAATACAAGACACCCAATCGAGAAACCAAGGAGTAAGTAATAAGAAAGAGAAACAAACCGTTACTCCACCTCATCAACAAATCCCCCACATTCATTACAATCGCACCTCGAACCGGGTCCGCCCTAATGAACACCCCCGGCCTCCCCGGATCCTCAATCTCCAACCCTCCACACTCATCCTGAAATACCATCGTGATACTTCCCCAATCACTATGCGCCGGCATGCGCACCGCAAGCCCCGACTCTACTTCTGAAGCGCGAATGGGGGGATAATGTAAGAGGCGCAGTTGATTTCCATGCCCCGAATGAAAATTCGCTATGAAGGAGGGATCTCGAAGCTCGAGTCCGGCACCGAGTGCGAGGAGGATTTCGTGGGCGGTGCTGGATAGGAGGTGGTAGAAAGATTGCATGAAGGGGTGGAAATGGGGGAGGGTGGAGTCGGGGAGCCAGATGTTGGGTTGGGAGGGGTTTTGTTCGGAACCGATTTCGTAACTTTCCTGATTGTTTGGTTTTTTGTTAGTTTATCTGTTCGATTTCATGTATTCATTCCATGAAAATCGAGGTATCTCCAGCGGTGACGTCAAAATTAATATGATATAACATAACCAAAGACAAAAACACACCTTAACATCCCTCACTCCTCTCAACTGCTCCCCCAACGCAGCATCATCACTAATCACCTGATACACCTTCTCCAACCCGGGATACGAATATCCTCGATGTACAGTTGGACCTGGCGGATGCTCCGCCTGCATCTTCTCTTCGTGTGAGAGATCAAAGAGTCTTTTCGTTATGGCGAACGCTTCGTCGAGCAATGAGGAGGGGATATCGTGATTTATGATGTATACGAAACCGACCTGGCGACAGGCGTCGACGAGAGCTTTGGCGGTTTGGAGACGGGAGGTGGGGGTTGTGGGGTGCAGGAAGGGGGAGAAGTCGATGATGGGGATTGGGGAGGTGGGATTGGGGTTGGAATTGGAATTGGATGTCATTTTGGAAATTTTGGTTAATGAGAATCAATCTTGATGGAAATGTCGATTTAAATCGATTGTCAACGGCGACTCAATCAAATAGTTAGATTCAATCGAGTGAAGATGTTGATAAACCGTGACAGGGCTGTATATATATCCCACGGTGAATATCAAGACAAATGTCTGATGTTATAGCATTCGTTTTCGCAGTATCGATCGAGATCTATACAATGACCGACTACACGGAATCACTGCGCCGACAAATCCTAAGAATCCATCAGCTTCTTGAACTAATATATATCGTTCATTTTCCAGATTCACTATACCAAGAACAGAGCAGCATATGAAGGGTTAACAATAATAAGAATGGACCTACCTATATCGGAATATATTTCGTAGTTTCTGGCTCCACCGAGTATAAATGAGGGGTAAGCCTTTGTCGTACGTCTTTGGTCACTGGATATACATACTATCTACGAGTATCTAATGGCTAGTGGGAATGCAGATTACTTATTCAGCACTGTGAAACATCGGAACTTGCCAATCACTCAGATTTGATTTGATTTGATTTGATTTGATGCCATTGCATTATTTTGGGGCAGAGTTGTTGGTCAGAATTTGATGTAGAAGCATTGTACTTGCTGTGTGTAGGAATTATTGAATTCGGCAAGTATCGAGTTAGATGCTCTTGCCGTTTTTTTCTTTTTTGGTTACTGTACTCGTATATCTACTTGCATTTTTCTTGTAGTTATTAGATTTTCTGAAAATAGTTGTGTAAATGGGTATGGGGATTTAACTATATACTGTTCTGCTCTATTTCCTGCAGATAAACAGGAATACTGTTTTCGTATATCTCATTTCAAGCCATCATCGCATACACCTTATCCTATGCACAACAAAGCTTCTAGTAAAGCATCCTTTGCAGTCATATATAGCCGGGTACTACATACAACGAAGGATCCGACTTACCCGACCCGGGAGCGATGATACTAATAAGCTGGACAATTACCAGTCTATGGTATAACATAATGTTATCAACCAACGTTCGGATTCAGGATCGGGTGTAGTGACCGGCGGGATATACTAGAAGGTTTTCTTAATCCACTTCCTACATACATGTACGAGTATGAGTCTGGAATGAAAACAGCTTCGGGCATGCTATCCAAGAAACTTCTTATCCAAATAACAAAATGATACAAATACTCGAAACACAATTCAATGTGCAATACATATAAGGCGGAATTACGATTGCTCATGAGAAATGAGACATCTATTGGAAATGTATAGATTGTGTGCAATACTCAGAGTACCATACTGGCATACTGGCATACCAATATAACTAATTGAGTTTTTTCCTTCCCCTAGAATTACAAAGTGATGGAGAAGAGACTGTAGGGTAATCATAATCATGCAGCAACACAGAAGATACCGAAAATTCAATAAAGCCGAATGAACAAGTCATGAGAAGAAAGAAAAGTCAATGAAATAGAGACAAGATTCTTCAGTAAAATAAGGGGAGTTTGAGAGATTCGCTCAATCTGTAAAAGGCAATAGGAAGCACTTGCATGAAGCGGTTGAAAAGAAGATTGGAAGGGGGGAGCGGGAAGAAGATAGGGGGAGACTATACTATACTGACTCCTTCGTGATATGGACTTGGATATTCCGAGACAGATCGAGGCTTGAGCAGAAGGTTCAATGCTTGGGAAGGGTGTTAGGATGATAGCTGAACGATAGACATTCGTTCTTCATGGCATGAGATGATGCATCAGCCATCTTTTGCATTTATGAGATATCTTAATCTCGCTGGCATCCATGGTTTCCCTCTATCATCTTCCCGCTCCCCCCTCAACTCTTTATTGATATGATAGCTCAAAACGGATAACCATCGCGGGCCTAGAATTGGGATCTTCCCAGACAAACAAAAGCACATCCTTTCTTTACGCCCCAGAAGCGCGGGGGTCATCTTGCTGCAACTTGTCTCGCAAACAAGTGTAAGGGATTCCTTTTCAATTCAATCAATATTCTATTTCAGTTTTATCAATAACTATTCGAGAATTCTAAACAAAACAATGAGCCCCATCCCCTCTATAAACAAAAAAAACTACTACCTTCCGGGAAATCACGGCTTGAAAAAAAAACCCCCATTTTAGCCCCCACACACATACATACATACCATACCGCTCGCTTCCAGTGTCGTTTCTAGAACCCTTCCATAAAAAGCGCCGCCCCATAAATCTAATTTCGTACTACCGAGAAGCGGAGCCCCTAAATCATTAGCACATCCCTAGCTCAAAGATAACAAGAAAACGCCAATGTGCGATAAAGAAATTAGAGATTGTGATTGGTGAGTGGTGAATGTCAAGGCTTTTGGTCATGTGGATTCTTATTGGTGGGCTTGGACGACGATAAGGCTAGAGAGGGAACTAGGCTTTTTGAGAGATGATAGTGTGTTTTGGGAGCGAGTGGGAGATAAGAGATTTGGGTTTGTTTGTTTGTTTGTTGACTTTGTTGGTTGATAATTTATAATTTGGAGAGGTCAAGTGTTGATAAGAGCGGGAATTGAATTGGATGAATTTTTGAGGAATGGAAATTTGGGGGAATGGAATGGAAAGGAGAGCATGGATACCAATACATCAGTCATGTCATGGATAAAGGAAGTAATAAATTCAGCTTGAAACTGGGGCTACTGTTGTAGTGTATATTTGAAATTGAAGTACATACAGTAAATCTAATAGCTGGCGATGGATTGAGGTTACAAAAATAACTGAAGATGAAGGAAGGGGTGATTTTAAAGCACTCGTCACGGTACTGCAATACTGTACTGAGATTATTACTCTGCAAGAAGTGAAGTGAAGAAGAAGAAGAAGTGGTATCTAGGCAAGAAAACGTAAAGAAGTAATTTTATATACGAAGGAAAATTCCCATGTTAATCAAAATCGCATCTACCGTATCATACCCTCCCCCGTGCATGCAGGACGAGTAGAAGCCTCAAACTACCGGTATCAACCAGCAGGATAGGGTACCGATACTGTACCTTTTTGCAGGCGCGGGATCGTGATGGAAGGGAGGAAGGAAGGAAGGGGGGGGACAAGCAAGCATGTTGACGACAAACGACAAACTGGGGAGAGGGATGGGTGTGAGTGTGGGTGAAGAGTGGAATCGGGGGGGAGAACTTGTTCTGGATGCTGAACTACCGGTGTTGTATTGTATTGTATGGCCAGCTTATAGCCAGCTGAGGTCGACTCGTATGAATGGAGTGCAAGAGATAGATACTCGGGCGGAAATCACACGTTTTCATGTTACATTGTATTGGGGCTTCTATCTCAGCCTCTATCAGATCAGATCAGATAAACCACAGTACCTACCCACTGGTATCATCTATCCATCGTTCATCATCAATTCCTATCCATCCATCTATCCGCAACTCACCCTCCCCTGCTTACCCACTCACATCGTACCTACATATTCGAATTTCGGAGATATCTCTCCAAAAGTACTTTCCCCCCCCTCGCCCCACCCCGAATCTTCAATTCTCGTGCTTCTCGTGCTTCTACAAGGGACATGCCTGCGAAAAATCCTCAAGTACATGTACCCCATAATTCAAGGGCTGAGCAGTGAGAAGCGTGAGATTATTATTATTGTGGTGAAAAGAAAAAGAAAAGTGCAATTTAGTTTATGGGTGATATCGGAAGGAAGGTAATGTGGAGTGTGAATACTGTTGCTCCGAGTGTCCCCTTTTGTTGAGATTTATATTGTGAAATCTGAATGCTGTACGAGTATTGTACCGGTATTCGTATGTATCATGTATTAAGTAGATGGGAATATAGATAGCCTCATGAATGTTTTTCATGTACTCTAGTACTACTATTATAAATAGTCCTTGATGAAATATATGAGATGAGCCTTGAATAATTCAGCCACGTTCGTTGGATGTGTATCTATGTACCCGGATACAGATACACTTCATTTGTGTCACAAACATCTACTCGTCTCGATATCTTTCATATCTCTTGGCCCAGTTGGCTTACTGGAAAGATAATCAAATCTGGAAGCCGTTCAAACTGCCACTGACTGGTCCACTCATCTACAAGAATATCCCACGTCAAATCCGAATCCAAAGATATGGGTGCGCTGATGCTTGCAGACTTGCTTGCAGACTTGCAGTATGGTAATTTGTACTCGAGTAAATAAGACTGGGTAAAACTTTCGGCCCGTCGATCTAAAAGGATCTACTGGCAGACCTCATCTGAAAATGCCCAAGGACACAATTGTGATTGGGGTGGGATTTTATTAGATGGATCGCTTGTTGGGGACTTACTGTGCAGATAGATAGATGTACAGATGCTTTTACCAATTAGAGGAACCGATACATCGACCCTTTTGGTAGAGTAGGTACCAGTACGCAATACCGGTGCAGTTACTGACTGGGTGCCAGTGGGTGGATATGGGATACGTAGGTACTAGGTAGGTACTGTATCCGTATGTACTTATGGATGACCGATCTCTTGGTATAGGGAAACCAAGGTATCTATATCCGTATTCACATCCATAACCATAACCATAACCATATCCATATCCATATCCATATCCATATCCATATCCATATAGGTATTCGTAGTAGTTTCTCAAATTCTTCGAGATGCTTGTCTGGCGCTACATTGTGGGTATCATAATTATAAGGTTATAGCTGCCACTTGCTATGCGGACATAAATTCCCATGTTCCTGTTCCCGTTCCTGTTCCATACTGAATAAAAAGCGGTAGCTCCACGTCGTGGAGTCTATTCAGTACAGTTAGTGAGAAAACTACTAAAAGGAAAGAACAAGTCCCGATTTCTAGCGACTTTCTGTTCTGGTTTCATTATTTCGGATTCTTTTTCTTTAATCCTTTAGAACTAATTGTGTTTTATTTTATATACATGTATTTTTGATTTGGACTTGCACTTTGAAGAAGTCGCTTTGGAAATACTAATCCTAGGTTTTTATACACTACCTACCTACTAGAGAGAGTAGTATCAGAAAGAAATTTCTTGATTCAACATCTACTATCATCTATCAATCATCAACCCTCGATTACTCCGGATCCGGTACTTAAGTACTTAAGTAAGATAATATCAACATTGTCAAAAACCACCAAACCACCCAATACTTCCTAGTTGTAACCAGAACAACTCCTTCATCACTCGGATTCTCATATCGGCAATTACTACTTTTCCGAAATCACTCTCTCCTATCCTTATTCCAACGAATTTGAAGGGTAAAACCTACGATACATTATTCCTGAAGGCATTCCCTGCCCAAAACCTCTCGGTACCACAAAGGAAATTCCGAGAGAGAAAAAGGTGGGAAGAAAAGCCAATTGAAGGAATATTCGAATCTTTCGAATCTTAAATCACAATGTCAAACAACGAATATCATCCCAATTATGGCTACGTTGGAGCTCCTGCAAATTATAATGGTACTGGGGCCAATGGTGGCGATAGTGGTATGTTTTTTTCACGTTTTCATCTTCTTCTTCAAACCTTCGAGTATCAGATTGTACCCCCCACACCACAATCTGTACATTCTCGCATACCTCTCTTATCCGATTCAGAACCTCATCCTCAAAACACACAAATAACACAAAAGACTAACATCTACCCCCCCAAATACAGCCGTTGTAAATCTAAATCAATGGTTCGACCCCGGCGACCAAGCTTTCATCCTCATAGCATCATGTATGGTCCTCCTTATGCCCCCCGGTCTGGGCTTCCTCTACTCCGGTCTCGCACGTCGAAAATCCGCTCTCTCGATGATATGGGCCTGTATGGGCGCCTTTTCCATAATAGTCTTCCAGTGGTTCTTTTGGGGATATTCTTTGGCTTTTAGTTCGACGGCGACGAATGGGTTTATTGGGAATTTAAGACATTTTGGTTTGATGAATACATTGGGCACGCCGAGTCCAGGAAGTCCGTTGATCCCAGAGTTGTTGTATAGTTTTTATCAGGTATGTGGTTTATTTTGATCTTGGGTTTACAAGGGTAAAGGAGGGGATATATGGCTAATAATTGGGTGTTATCTTACAGTTACAATTCTGCGCAACAACCGCCGCTATTGTCGTGGGAGCGGTTGCCGAACGAGGTCGTTTGGTTCCGATGATGGTATTCATTTTCTTTTGGGCTACTATTGTCTACTGTCCCATCGCATGCTGGGTATGGAATATCAACGGCTGGGGTTTCAAATATGGGGTTCTCGATTATGCGGGTGGTGGACCGGTCGAAATTGCTTCGGGTATGTCTGCGCTGGCTTATTCGATGATCTTGGGCAAGAGACAGGAAAAAATGATGTTGAATTTCAGACCGCATAATGTGTCTCTGATTACCCTGGGTACGATTTTGCTGTGGTTCGGATGGTTGGGATTCAATGGAGGGAGTGCGTTTGGAGCGAATTTGAGAGCTGTCATGGCTTGTTGGAATTCGTGTTTGGCGGCTATGTTTGGAAGTATTACATGGTGTTTGTTGGATTGGAGACTTGCGAGAAAATGGTCAGTCATTTTCTTCTCTATTTCAAAATCTCGAATACTAATATAAAATAGGTCCATGGTAGGTTGGTGCTCAGGCTGTATCTCCGGTCTCGTAGCCGCCACACCCGCATCTGGATTTATTCCTCCCTGGGCGGCCGTTATCCTCGGCATCGTCACCGGTATCGTCTGCAATTACAGCACGAAAATCAAGTTCTGGATCCGCATTGATGATTCTATGGATGTGTTAGCTGAGCACGGCATGGCTGGTGTCGTCGGTCTCATTTTCAACGCTTTATTTGCCGCAGACTATGTGATCGGTCTCGATGGCGTCAATACCGGTCTCATCAACGGTGGATGGCTCAACCACAATTACAAACAACTCTACATCCAAGTCGCCTACATCATCGCATGCACTGCCTATTCCTTTATCGTCTCAGCTCTCCTCGCCGCCATCATAAACATTATTCCCGGCCTCCATCTCCGCGCTTCAGAAGAAGCCGAACTTCTCGGCATGGACGACGATCAACTCGGTGAATTCGCATACGATTACGTGGAAGTGAGACGTGATTATTTGGCATGGACACCAGCGAAAGATGAGCCAGAAAATGTGGAAAGTAACGTCAATCCCGAAGATCGACACGGTATTCCAGAACACTCGGATATGATTACCGGTCACTCGGATATGATTACGGGCCATGCGCCTGGGAGTGGCAGGAACAGTGGAAGTGAAGGAGAAGCGCGAGCGGGAAACGCGCATACGGGAATCATGGGGGATAGACATGGGGTTGCAGTGCAAGATAAAGAGAAAGCTGCCATGTTGAGGGAAGGATAATTAAATGACTTTGGGGGTTTTTTGACGGGATTTTTTTGGGTTGGGATTCACATGATACTATATTGCGAGGAGTTGAGCTTGGGAAAGTTATTTACGAGATATCTATTTTCTTTTCATGTTTATGTTTATGTTCTGGGTCAATGACTAGGGCTGGGGTCAGGGTTGGGGTTGGAAAATGCATTTAAAATGCGTCTGCTGGGGGGAATATCTGATTCAAAAGATTTGAAACGTCAAGCGTTGGTTTGTTGTTAGTGAGGGGGATTTATTGTATATAGGATGTTTGAGATGAGGATGTATGAGATGAGCCTCAGGAGATGAGATGTAAAGAGATGTAAGAGATGTAAGTATTGATGGATGAGGAGATGAATATAAATATGATATACATAGATATAGATATAGAGATGCTCAAAACCACATCAACGACGTCGACGTCGGGTTTTGTTTCGACTTCTAAGAACTAAGATTGAAACATAAGATTTACTTGTGATTACATGTATACACACTTACAAGTAGTAAGGTCAGCTGTCTACATTATGATGGGATGGGATGTGGTGGATGTGGATGTGGATGGGATGTGGGTTATGGAGTATAATGCAAGTGTTATGGTTTCATTGGTATGGTTTCATTGGTATGGTCCCAATGGTATGGTCCCAATGGTACTGAGTATCGGAGAGGTGGGTCTAGGGTGAGGGTGAGGGTGAGGGTGGAAGAGGGATAGAGCGGAGAGGTAAGAGTGATAGAGGGATGGAAGGAAGGAAAGAAAGACAAGGTATACAATTAAAATGATAAGGTGTAGAGATAAGTAGTAGCATGATGCGATGGATAAGTGGGTATGAAGTATGGAGATTGGGATTGGGATTGGGATGTGGGATGTGGGATGTGGGATGTGGGATGGAAGATGGAAGATGGAAGATGGAAATTGGGGAATCTGAGATTTATTTGATGGGCAGGATTGGATGTGATAAGGGACTAGATTGGATTTGACTGGATTTGTGAGGAGGATTAGATGGGTAAGATGGGTAAGATAGATGAAAGGATTGGAGGGATGAAAACTTAGAAAGGTATTCATTTCATCAGAAAGAAAAAGGAAGGCTACTCAGTATGTATTTACTGTATATGCAAAGTATTGAGATGGGATGGGATGGGATGGGATGATGAAATATGAATCTTAGGTTAGGTTACGGGGATCTTGTTCTTGATCTTGGTTTGATGGGGGATTTCTTGGGGGGTTTTGTATTTAGATTGAGATTGAGATTGAGATTGAGATTGAGATTGAGATTGAGATGGATTGTATGGGGGTGTGAGTTTTGATGGGATGGGATTTTATAAACGGGATAGTGTTGTTTATTGCTAGGTAGTAGACAGGTACTAGGTAGCAGGTAATGAAAGTGTGGAAATGGCTTGGAAATAGCTTAGACATAGCTTGGAGATGTTAGATGAGGGGTAGTTCTCGGTAAGCATATGGATAGGAAGTGTACTGTATTGCCCAAGAAACTGAGACGAGATAAATTTTTAGATCGTTTGACACTATACTATGTCGAAGTATGATTTTGTGTCTTTTTTTATGATATATGATATTCAAATGGTTCAAGCAATACTGACTTTATTGTCGCTTAGAGTTGAATAGAGGTATGTATGATATGCTCAGGATTCGGCAATAATGTTGTATGTTGTTTGATGGACACTAATCGCAATATTGACCGAGTTGATGAAGATGGTGAGAGATAGATGGTATGCAGGTTGGATTCGAGTTTGTAGTGTCTATGAAGAGAGATGGATGGTATGTACTCTGAGTAGGTTGAAGCTAGTGTGTACTCGATTTTATGGTATATAAAAAGTGACAGCGATATAAAAGTGCTACTTGGAATCATTCGGTAGAGGGAACAGTATGAATGCCACGTAAATCTACACACAAGACACTCTCAACAGATAATATCTGTAAGATACAGGAGAGATCATGAAAACCTTGGGGTTTAGCTAGTTTGACACCGGGAAGCCTCATCCGGGCATGTCTTTTATTGGAAATACTGTTTGATTGTAACCATTTTGATTTGGTAGCTGGCCTTTATAAAACTTGGAAATCTGGTGTACTATAAATATAAAGAATGACCACTAATGAATGTAATGGGTACTAGACTGTTCAAGCCCTATATTCTCTTAATATGAGCTCCTTTTTGATTGGCTAAGTGTCTGATTATTACCCCTATACTCAAGGCAAAGAATGCTCACCAAAATCGGGTCTAGAACTTCGAGGAGAATAGAATACCTTGTGTGATTCCACAAGTTTTCTATCCTAAAAAATTTATCACTCCCGTGTCAACATCAACATGCTAACTAGATACTGATGTTAACAGTTGAGCCTTGTCAGTCCCATGCAATATCTCCGCGTGGTTCTGTAAATGCTGTCGATACTCGAGCCTAGCATTGAAAACTTAAGATGCTTGCTTCCATCCATATTATGCAATCATCTTTCATTCTTAAGATATCTAATAAATGAGCAAGCCTACTTTTGATATCCAGCGAGCAGATGCCAGAAATCACTCCACCTAGAGATGCTCTTTGATCCTCTGCAACCCTTCTAAATCTCCTTCGACAGATTCCATCTTGTCTTTGCTAACCCAATCAGAGGTATAACCTCCCCCGAAATCGATCATCCACGCTTCATTTTTGTCATCAATAAGAATATTATCTGCTTTCGCGTCTCCCTAGACAATATCTGCTTCATGTAGTAACTTGAGCATATGTTCAATATCAAGGAACCGTTTTTCCCATAGAGCGATATCGGGCTTTTGGCGAACAATTCCCTGCAAAGTACATTGATACTCAACACATGTCAATAACAACCCCATAAATTTGTTCTGTCCATTAACCTTCAAATCTCCGCAAAGCCTTGGTACACGAATTTTCGTTGTCAATCCTGCTCCTTCTAAGCGTAGCAAAACCTCAATCTCACGTTCGATAGCTACAGATCTTCCGTGACTAGTAGCTTTGTAGAAATACGGCATGTGTTTATCTCCAAACACTCGGTAGGAAATTGCGCCCCCTCAGATCGCAGATCCCAATGTACATGAATATTCGAAGGATTGAAGGTCGGCACGTCTGCATCGAGCAAAACCTGCGGCAGTTCCATGCTCGGCGTCAGGAACTCGAGGGAATGAGAATTTTCCGGTGTTTCTGTTGGGAGTTGAGATCAGTTTTCCGTCAGCAACTTTAAGCGTGAAGAAGAATGTAGGAGGATAGAAATATTCGTGCAAGGTCTGCATCTGCAGAGTCGATGAAAGCTGCGCTGCTATTGCTTGGAAGACAGGAAAAAATGGGGTCACAACCCAGTCAAATATCGCCCAAGAGGATCCAGGTTTTCAGGAACCTACTCTATCTGATCCTCGAATCGGAGTGCATGGAGAAGTTAGAGGTATTCTCGTTCATATTTCGAGGCTTCTGTTTGTTCGGGGTCACGCAAATTTTGTGCTGACAAAGTGACGTAGAAGCGCTCGGCGCGACAGATGACAGTCAGATGGGCGTATGAAGTGACACTAAATCCGAAGTCGACAACAAATTACCGGGGTAGATTGCCGTCCATAGCTACTGATTGAAAGATGATGAAAGGAGTGGTTGTGATAGATATTGTTGTCTTGAATGATTGCAAGTGTAGATGGAGCTCTGATGTAATTGATATAGACAATAAGCGCTTGCTGAAACAGAGCCATTCGACTTAAGTGTTGTGTACAAACATGATGATCGGCCGTAACTTGTAACATGTTGATTATGGACAAAGTGATTCATTGAATTGACAAAGTCCTTTTTATGTTGACAATGGTGATCCTTGGTTCTTTCGTAAGTTCGGTATATCAGCATTATTTTACCCCGTATTTCATAGATCAGCAACCCGTCTCCCGTTTCTTGGTGCCCGAAATAGCTCCTTCAAGATGTGACAGAAAAATGATAAATCTAATAACCTTGCGCTATCCCACCTTGCCCTAAGGACTAGATCCCCGACCTTAAACCATCATATATAGCTCCACGTGCTTCTGTGACCAAGTGAATTGAACAGTTGATGCCAACTAATCTCGATCGAGTGTAGGTTTAAAGGCTATGAAAATGATATACAAGGGAAATTTGATACAAAAAGCGATGAGAGACTTTGTTTGTAGATAACACCTCACAAAGGGAAAGCTGTACCTTTATTTGCTGTGGAGGACTCTCTATATGTCCCAGTTGCTATCTTTTCCAAGCCACTGGCCAGAAAGCTCGATGAGATCTCTCAGTATTGGCCCATTACAGGTTTTGATATACCCAACATCAAATGGCATTGTAAGACGCATTGGTATCTTTTGTTGCGCATCACCTTAGAACCTTGTCATACATAACAAAAAAAGGGAAACATGATTCCGTTTGTCACGAATACATGTATCAATTGATGTATGCGTTTTATGCAATCTTGGAATCCCATGATTAAACCTCAAACTCGGACTAGAGACCGGGTGCGGGCTCCCGGACAACTCGTTAGGTGGCCACTGAAACAGTGAAGGTGCTGATGAAATGAGCTGTATACATGTACAAACGACGGCTTTTATATGATATGAGATTGTAAAGATAGCTAGACTGGCTTGAAGATATACTTGCCAATGACTATATGGCATTAATGGAGCACACTTGGGAAATGTAATGCAGCTTTGCTTTTTTCCCCTTTCTTATATGTACTTAGTGCAAAGATAAGGCTGATGGCAGTAAGACCAGTAATATACTCGATATAAAACTCTTCTTTCGGCTTCATGAACTATGAATGATCATAAAATGCCAGATTCAAAGATCGTAATCTCCGTTTGTTCTTCCTTGGTGAGTTCAACTCAAGGCCGAGATGTATATGAAGCTGGCGTCGGTCAGTATCCTTGCTGGTACGGTACAGCTCGAATCGGTGCAAACGGAATCAGAATCGTTGATAGCCCTCTTTTCTATCAAAAAGCAAGAACCCGAAGGAAGGTATCATATGACTTATTGGTGTCGCTGTAGAAAAGCAAATACATCTGCAAGAAGCTAGGTCTTATCTGACTCAAGACCAATGATATGATGGGTAGGGAAAGAATTTGAGCTTAATCGCATTCGCTCTACTCTTACCAAATTTAAGCTTTTACGGCTTGTCACATGATGGCGCTAAACTTCGACGCGTCAAATCGCGTTTGTGGTCGCGATGTCGCAAAAAGCCTATGATGTTCCATTATTGACATCTACTGCTACGCCTAACAAATTTCTAATCATCGACTCTCTACAGCGACTTGGCATCAGATACTCGAGTACCACCAAATGGATTCACCAAACAATCGGTACTTTATTCTCTCCTCATGACTCGACATAATCTTCAAGGTCATATTTCTTGGTTAGTACAAAACAAAGTTACTACCCCCGGTGGTGTTCAAATTAGCGCATTCACAACCTTGCCAGTTACGGGTGAAGCTGGATTTGGGGATTTTAGCAATTTTGATGGGGAAAGAATTGAGCACGAAATAAGGAATACACAACTTGCACCAATTCGAAATCGCCGAGTCGAAGAAATCTCCAATATTGTGGCAACTTCACGCCCACCTCGTCCTCGTATCCTCACCCCGACAATACAATCTACATCAGTTCCTGGGGACGAATTGGCAGATCCGGAAATGGGAAAACTCACATCGGCACGAAAACCGACTAGACCAAGTCTCATAAGTCAGAATCAGCAACTTGGGACCCCTTCTTCCACAGCCAGTTCGTCCCTTACGAGAAGCTATAAATTACAATGTAATGAAAATGGTATGTGGATGCAATATGACTTGGTTTTGTCCCTTAACTGACATTTTAGGCACTCCTTTGAGACCCATATCAACAAGAGAACCGAGAGGCCTGACACCTCGCCCGACACCTCGTCCGACACCCTTACCCCAGAAAAGAATCAATTTTGAGAATGTCGAATCCGTAGATCTTACCGGCGATGATTTGGCTGGAATTCCACCCATCCATTCCTCCAGTACGGTGGAAGCCTTCGAAGATGCTTCTGTTGTATTGTGGACGGAGGGCTCAGCGTCTCGACCGGAACCTTTACAGAAAACAAAGAAAAGGAAGAGCGAGGAAATATCCAAGACACGGTCCCCTCGGAATTCCAAGAAGCTACCGATACGTGCGACAGAATTGCAAGATGAGCAAGATGATTCGTTTGTTGACATCGACGAATTGGCAATGCCGGGGCCATTACTTCGAGATAGTCTTCCCGACTCTCAACGGACAATCGTTCCACGCAGAACAGTGGAGGAGTATCCTGATCCGAATTTCTTGGAAGAGGTTGATATGGTAGGGGAAACGGTGTCTCAGAGTAGGCAAACGGAATCAAGCATACGAAGCAGACAAATTTCAGAGGATATCATAATGGACAGAAGATCAATTTTCAGAACGACCCCCGCTCCCACCATTAGTTATCAAAAACGCGTTACTCCTCGTAGTGTGCGTGTGCGAAATGTGTCACCGGTTCAAGTACAGGCTTCTCCTACTGTTCAATCTCGTGAAAATCGGGCAACCCAAACCCCGTCGCCACTCAAACGTAGGAGGCTCAAGCAAGAAATACTGGACTCGGATGATGAAGATATCCTATCGGAGGTAGAGGCGAGAGTGAGCTGCTCTCCTTGCCCTTCACCAGTGAAGGTACCGAAAAACATCTGTAGCACACCAGACATGCATGCAATTCCCGCGAATAATAAGTACGAGAGCGATGAAGTGACACCCGCAAAGAAGAGATACACTAGCCCGTTGAAGTCAATATCACATAATGCTTCATTTCGTCAGGAGAATGAGCCGTCTCCATTTCAGCACGATTCTCCCACCAATCGCATGACTTCACAGACATTGCCACAACGAGGCTCAAGCCAAGCTTCATCGGTCTCTCTGAGCCTCGAGGGAAAAAGGATTGTAGGTTTGTACATGAAAAATCCGTCGGCACTCATGCCTTTTCAAAATCACCTTGAAACTCTTCTCAAACAGAACCACGAGGCACTTCAAGTCTATCTTGAGGACGGCGAGCACCCTCCAAAAGAGATGGTATCCGAGCGAAAAGCTATGCTAGACCAGAGAAAGGCCCTAAAAGTTCTTGCGGATAACTTGCAAGGTCTCCAGGATCTAGCTTCAAAAACAACAACTGCATTACAAAGGGTGATGGCCCTTCTAGAGGAAGATAATGAGGACAGTGAGGAAGAAGCGCAGTCTCGTGTGCTAACCCAAGAGCTCTCAGAGAAAAAGAAAGAGTGTTGGCGTTTACTAGATGCTTCTGGCGCAATAACCCATGGATTCGGGGCTATTTCATCAACCAAGACTCCGCTTTCCACTCATGCATCAAGTGCAAATGCGAGTGGACAAATTGTTCTTCCGACTCAAATTCCGCCTCTCAGGCATCAATCATCAAGTGTGGCGAGGAGCTTTGTTAGGCAGGACTATACAACATCTGATTTTCCGAGCCCCAGGAACTCAAGGGCACAAGAACCTCGTTATGCTCCACTGTCTCCTCTGAGACATACATCACCTCCCAGATCGATGATGATTCCTGGTAGTAACTACTCGAGGCCTGACAGCCCCGTAAAACAACCGAACTTTTACAGACAACCATCACCAACAGAGTATGGTGATGATGAAGAGTTGTTTAATGATCTGCTTCAAGACGAGCAGCAGATTATGAGAGAGACTTATGTAGCTGACGAGAAATCAGATGAACAAATAGAGGAGGAAGATTACGGGGATTTCGATGATGATGAAGCTATGATAGACTATGCGCAACAAGTTGAGCAAAGTAACTCTCTCAAGCCCTCCTCATCAAAACCGCTTTTCAATATAAATCTGCAGGATGCATCAAGAAACTCATCTAAAAACTCAAAGCGAAGCACCTCGAACTCGGACAAAACGAAAAATATGTATTCGACTGTGGAGCCATCACATGATATGTTCCGATTTGCATGGTCTAATGATGTCAAAAAGGGATTGAAAGATCGCTTTCGCTTAAAAGGCTTTCGACAGAACCAGCTGGAAGCAATCAATGCTACCTTGGGGGGCCGCGACGCATTCATATTGATGCCAACCGGTGGCGGGAAATCTCTGTGTTATCAGTTACCTGCCATTATCCAATCGGGTAAGACTAAAGGCGTTACAATTGTGATTTCTCCGCTTTTGGCTCTCATGCATGATCAGGTCGATCATCTCAAGAAGCTTAATATTCAAGCATCCTTGTTAAATGGCGAGATAAGTTCTGAGGCAAAGCAGAATTTATTCAGCGCTCTGAGCGAAAGAAATCCAGAGCAATATGTTCAGCTACTATACGTCACCCCAGAAATGATCACCAAAAGCAATGCTATCCTATCGAAATTAGATGACCTCTATGCCAAGGAGCGACTTGCTCGTATTGTTATTGACGAGGCTCATTGTGTCAGCCAATGGGGTCATGACTTCCGTCCAGACTACAAAAGCCTTCATACGCTTCGTCAGAGATATCCTGGTGTACCGTTTATTGCCCTAACAGCCACTGCAACAGAAAGGGTAAAGAAAGACGTAATTCACAACCTTGGAATGCATGACTGTGAGCAACTCAAACAGAGTTTCAACCGCCCTAACATATACTATGAGGTCCGACAAAAGAAAGGCAAGGGGTCAACGGCGGTAATGCTTGACGAGATAACGACCATGCTTACCGTCAACTACAAAAACCAAAGCGGAATCATATACTGCCTTTCTCGACAGAATTGCGAAGATGTGGCGAAGCAGCTACGAGAAAAAAGAATAAAGGCTCATCATTTCCATGCCGGGATGACGCCTGAAGAGAAGAAATCCACCCAACACCAGTGGCAGATAGGAGATATTCAAGTCGTAGTTGCAACGATAGCATTTGGTATGGGCATCGACAAACAAGACGTGCGATTTGTCATTCATTATTGCCTTCCCAAAACTTTGGAAGGTTATTACCAGGAAACTGGGCGAGCTGGTCGAGATGGCAAGCCAGCCGCTTGTTTTCTTTACTATGGGTTCCAGGATACTCAAATCTACAAACGCATGATTGACAAAGGAGATGGCAGTTCAGATGTCAAAAACGAGCAGCGTCAAATGTTGGATGCGATGGTGCGATTTTGTGACAATCGCATTGATTGCCGCCGAGTGCGGCTCCTACGATACTTTGGCGAGACTTTCAAAAAAGAGGACTGCGTTAATTGTGATACATGCAATTCCAATGACACCTACGAGGAACGCGACTACAGTAGTGAGGCCCGTAAAGTCATCAGTGTTGTCAGTCAAGTACAAGGGAATTTTGCTATTGGTCACTTTTCCGCTATTTTGGAAGGCAAGGCAGTAGCAAAGGTCAAGTCGGAGAAGCATAACGAACTTCATGAATTTGCCTCACTGAAAGGCATGGGGAAAACGGAGATTGAGCGACTCATGGAGAAACTCATACAGTTTGGCGGTCTGCAGTTCCGCGCTGTTAAGAACAGGGGTGGATTCCATAATGATTTTGTATATGTAAGAAAAATTCCTCTAGATAATGTGCAACCGCTAACGAATTCCCAAGCTCGGGCCGAAACATAGGCAGTACATGTCGAGACACTTGAAACTTCCCCTGCAGATCAGAGTTTCGACATCACCACCCCCGGCTTCACGTACGGCCACAAAAGGCAAGGCCAAAAAGCAAACACAGCCGTCATCAACGTTGCTCACTTCACCAATAACTCAGACTCGACAGGATCAAAAGGGCAAAGAACGATACATCCAAGAGGACATCGACGTTAGTGAAGATGACTTTCATCCAAGCACCTACCCTCAGCATGACCCTCTTGCTTCGGACAGTGTTGAAAGTTCCGAGGATGATGCTTTCGAGCCCTTGAAATACAGAAGTAGGGGTAGACGCGGTAGCAGACAAGCTGAACACATTGGGCCACCCATCACGGTTGATGATGAAATGGCGAATCTGCACCCCGTGCATCGAGATCTTGTTATTGATTTTGTTAGGAAGGCCAGGGCACTAGAAGAGTCGACTAGGAACAATAATGGTCATAGAAAACCTTATTTTACAGAGTCCGAGTTCAGACAAATGGCGATTCACTGGACGACAAGCATCACTCTGATGTCACAAATACCCGAGATTAACCAAGAAAACATAGCTTTATATGGCACGCGATTTCTAAAGTTATTGGAGGGGAGCAAGTTGCATTATCAGCAGATGATGGATCCAAACTTCAGGCCAGATAAAAACCATTTGATAGTCAATTTAGTGAGCGAAGATGATGATAGTGGAATGGAAGATGAATACGGAGACCAATTGGAAGAACCTTCTCCATATTTTTCATTGAACCCAGAAGTGCAAGCATTTAATGAGCGAATGGAGATGGCAGCACAAGTTCCAAGGACACAACCCGCAGAAGCCGATTCGTCAAAGAAGCCATATCGAAAAGGCGCCACTGGTTATAAATCAAAACCTCGTGGAGAGTTCAAAAATTACAGGCGAAAGAGTGGTGGTTCGACTTCAAGCAAGGCGGGGTCAGGTAGTGGTGTAACGAAGAAGCGAGCATCTGCGGGTAGCAGGAAAACCAGTACGGCATCCAAAGGATCAAATATCATGTCACAATTTGGCAGAAGTGCTGGAGGTGGTGGTAGTGGTAGTGGCATAAATCCCATGCCGACATGACATGGTGGATATGCAAACCGTCAGTGGCGCAGCGGTTTTTATCTTCTTGAAGATTTTCTTTTATTTCTTTACTTTCCGTCAAGGCCTTAAATGCATGTGCATATGGATAGGTTCGGAGTTGCAAGGGCCTGGGTTCGACTTGCTTTTCAGCATAGCGGTTAGCATTTTTGGGGACTTTTGGCTGGGGCTGGCTAGGTTTACGACGTATTTTTCATGAGTTATAGATTAATGATGATTCTAGAGATATTGTTATTGATACTGCACAAGGGCTTTGATGGGTGCTTTTCAGGACAACCCGAGTGGAGAGGGGTGGGGACGGCATGGCATAGCTTGGCGTAACCTGAGATTTATATCCCAATGTTAAATATTCACTCCATCGGAGCTCGTTTACGTGATGATGTTTGACGCAAACATGCCATCTTAGTGTGAAGAAACTCGCAATATTGCTATGCATCATCCATTAATCCCAGATCCCAGGAGAAGAACACGCCATCCTCACACATTTTTATATCCTGTTCCCTGGCGTCCATCAGTCTCTCTGTACTACTGACCACCATACACTTATCAGGCATTAGAAGTCACGTCCTCAAAACCCAAAGATATATCTTGTACTCGAGTAGATGTCGCGAAATTTGATACGATTACTCTATCCATCACCAATCCCTCTCGTCTCTTCTATACGAGTTCATCTAGCATCACTAAGGAGCGACTTCAAGGTCAACGCTAACACCTCGTTTACCTTTTCGATTCTAGTACCGACTGAAACGCGTACGCCCCCTCCCCCCCTCATACTTTTTCCTTGTCGAATTATGTATGCATACCAACATTGAACAGACCAAAATGCAGGGCTGTGAGATATCGAGAACTATATCAGAAATCCTTGAGTTGTCTTTCAAGGTATATGGTTCTGATGTACAATATTACAAGTGACCTTGATGGATGGCATTATCAAGCCCGACACTATGATGCTATGGTGCTATCGATGGGCCCGGTAGGAAAGTAGTCAGTAGTTAGTGGTTAATTCTATGTATGGTGCTGGTTTTGGTTCATGATAATATGATATCGGTGGTATGTAATGGTATGTATGGATGGATGGCCATGTACCTTTACCTATACCTATACCGGTACTATAGTTCATGTATGGATCGGGGAGTTTGCGGTTGCGAGAGTGGGGATATGGCCCGGGGCTGTTTTTGAAATTTGAATGGCAAGATGAAGGAGTGGTTGTGGAGGGAGTATTTGGTGGATCGGGGATGGGGATGGGGTTTATTTGGTGAAGCTTGAAGGGAATGTTGAAGATGGTGATTCGGGGATGATGAGAGGGTGAGAGGGTGTTGATAATTTAGTTCTAGTTCTAATTATTCTTAGGGATTCGGAACTTAACTTGAAGGCTGGGATGGTTTAGATGAGATGAGATGGCATGAAAAGAGATAGGAAGATTAGATGGAGTTTTGGGGGATAAATTATGGTGAGAACATATATATGGACAGTAAGCAAATTTTTTATTTAGGAAGTGAAAAGGTGGTGATTGTCGGTAGGTAAGTAAGTAAGTAAGCAAGTAAGTAGTTCAGAATCCTAGAACTTGGACGCACAAGATAAATCATTAGACTCGAATGGATTAGCGAGCATTCTCTCAGAGTATCGGATATGCTAGGTGGTAAGTGATATCCATAGTATTTGAGTTAGGCGCAGAGAATATGTAAGTGGGAATATATATCTATGTGACACGAACTCGGTGTCTGATATTCGATGATGAAGAACCTGATATAACTACCTTGAACATTCAGCTCTTATTCTCAACCTAATATTATGACATTTAGTGACCTCATCCGATTATACTTGTACTAAAGTCTTTATTTTTTTCGAAACTGCCTTGTACAGTATAGTCAGCGTTTGTTCTCTGACTTGATACTGCGGGGATGAGAGGGGGGTGGGGGCTAATAAGATTTTGTGATTTGAGGGGTTGGTTGTGAGGTTTGGGTTGTGAGGTTTAAGTTATGGGTTACTGGATGGAGTAGTGATTGTTATTCCATCTAAAGATACTCGTCCCCATGTCTTGCATTGCAAATTACAAACTTGCATATGTGCTGTACGGAGGTACTATACTTTACGATGCAGGGTCAATCTAAAGAAAGGCTTATTCTGAAGTTGATCCGAAGAGGTTGGTGCTTCGTGTTAATTCAATGGGATTATGTGCTATTTTAGCTTTAACGAATCCATTCAAGTTTGAATTCGAGATTCTAACATCTCCTCGCTCTACAAATCATACCAAAAGAAATCTCTTGGTTCCACTCAGTCTTCAACTCCCCTATCCCAGTAGGCTTTTCCGTAGAATACGAGGTCGCCAATTCCCCATCCACATTCACATGCACATCCACATACACATACGAGATACGAGATACTAGTATAAACTTTCGGCTATGCAGATTGTCCGCTGTGCAGCAATCCACACAATGGCATACATACAAGTGGATTTGGACAAAAGGATATATCCATTTTGGAAGATGACATGACTACATTTGATATCTTCATAGACGTAGAACAACGAAGCTCGAGTATCTGAATCGATACAGGACGGATGATGAGGTCTGAGTGTCCGAATCGATATGGTATAATTAGAATTCGTTGGAGGGAGCTAAGCCTGGAAACCGATGATTGATGAAACAACCAAGCCACCCATATCAGATGATTTATCTCAATCTTCACTGGATAAACTTTTGCAAATTACCCCATCTTTGTGTGCCAGTAACATGACTCATTTTTACATTGCAAACCCCCATGAGTGCAAAAGCAACCTACCAGTGCCATACAACCATGAGATATATCAAATCATTCCCAAAGCGCGTCAAGTATAACTTTTCGTACTGCGCACGGAATAGTACTATGCTTTTAGTCTCGTTCCTCAGAAATGTCTTGTGTATTGAGCTCTTTTTTCAGCACCACTTTGTATATATAGGGTTATTTTCCTTTTAGACATCAATTTCATAATCAGGATAACGGGAATTTCTAGCTCATGACACAAAAACAAATCAATTGCATTAGCTCCTGCAGATGTCAATCACTGGAATGACTTATGCACAGTGGTATCCAACGTTGATTTGTTTGTCTGTAATGACTCTCAACTTCTCAAGACTAAACTCTCAAATTTAGAGCGTGCAATTTTTGTAATAGATATATTTGGACAGGTAAGAAATTCAGATGATAGTAGTAGTTTGATCCTAGTAGGACGAGAAATCTTCTATCATTGAAAACCCCGTTGAAGTCGAACATTATCAAAATACCTTTTAAACCTTAGGTTCTTACGGGAGAATAAGAACATTGACTATACCCCGAAATATCTGTGTTACGAAACGCTAGCAATACTCCGCGTAAACTCTTGATTCAAATGCTCAAGCTATGTATATGGAAGTGTTGGACAACTTCAGTAAGATAATCGTAGTTTAGATGGGAGAAGGAGGAGTGCAGAGCTTGCTCTTCTCGTCACCGAAAATTCACGAAATCGTGATCACCTGGCGACGCGACCGAGCGATGAGCTTATATTGCGACTTCTCTAGCCGGAAATCCTTACAGGCGCGAAACAGTATAGAGCGTGTCAAAATCATAGAACGCACATATAGCTTGTCAGCTCGATCAAATACTGGAGGAGACGGAGACTGAGAAGTATCTGGTGACAGATTCTGAATGGAGAACTTTCGTCTTCATTGTAATGAGACTGAAAGATTATAGGGGTGTAGGTAGTTGGTTTACATCCCTCGATGTCAACCGATTTGCGTCGCTGGTACTGTAGATCTTTTAATGTGGAAAAAATTAGATCTCCCTTCCAAACATTCAAGGATAATCTCTCCTGGAGTCCTAGCTTCGCAATCGTACCGGAGTTCGAAATTTATAGCACAATAGAAGCTGTGCAAACACGTGGTATTAGACAAATCATGAAGATCACCTCCGGCTTTATACAGCTTCTTCGTAGGGGTTTGATTAGGACGACAAGGTGGATGCTCGAATATCTTCTTTCACAGTGCCCCTTCAAAAGTAGCTGAAGTAAAAGCAACAAAGTGGACTTCACACATGAAGCCAAACTCAGTATTAACACATATTACATTACTGGTTTCGAATGCGAAGCTCAGTTATGGACAATGGCTTCATGCTCTCTTCCTAACTTTAGAACACTGTCATCAGAAGATAGTCGAACTTCAACACTGGTATTTATTTTTGACATTCTGCCGTTTTTCAGTACCACCCGTCCTAAATTGGGAGCTGTTGCGATTTTGAAGACATATTCATCAGAATGCTTCACAATTTGGACTTTAAGAATAAGGTGTAGAAAATTTCGTCCATTGTATGTCTCAAATGCAGTCCTGTAGAAGTAGGCGCTGGTATCGTGAATGTTGAGGCAGGTGAGTTGTCATAAAGTGTGGATTAGCAATGCCAAGACAAAGACTAATTCAGGGTCTTTAGGATTCCCTCGCTTCTTTCGCAACCGCCCCTTCATTATGAGTGACAAAGAATTAGTCACTAAAGGATAGAAATTACCCGTTGCTTAAAAAACCAATTGGCACTCTTGATCGCCAGATAATAGTTAAGCTTAAAAGACAGACTCCAATGCTCAAGAGTAAACACAGGGTGTCCACGGTCATTTTCAGACGGCACTCGGGCTACAAAGAGCTTAGGCCAAATCTTGTTACTGAAATGAAACCTTTTTCCGCACTGTTGCCCCGAAGACCCTTATAGTTTTTCATAAGTGATATCGTATTATTGAACAGTTATGAAGCGCCTGAGACATGCCGAGGACAATTGTTGCAAGGGACGGTGGTTGAGTGTGTGTGTGATCATCCCCGCAGAGAAAGGGGTGATAATAATAATACGAAGGCAGTAAGAGTACCGTAGTTCTTCTTTTGAGATATTTGACCGTTGTCTCTTTGGGTGGAGACCTAACGATGATCATCGATGATGGCTGGCATGTCAGAACTAAATAAAGACAACGGGAACAACCTCCAGAAATTATCTTGGAGACTTAAGGTATTGCTGCTGGTGATGATGATAATGGGCAGTACTCCAGCGTGAATAGAAGAGGAAAAAAAAAGTAACCAAGAATTTAAGGTTTAGTACGGTTTATGTGAGTAATCGTCAGCAGCTTACGTCTTAACACGAAAACCATTAAGAAATGGAGTCTTCGACGCAACAAGAAGCGTAATATCGGTCTATTATGCAATGTGCAATATGCATAACGATATATATATACTTATCGTCGGTACCGATAACTATTCGTATCTCAAAGGTATCCATTTCTTTCGGCAAGAATGGCAGTGACCGAGACACTGAATCAATTTTCGGTTTACTAAAGGTGGCATAGCCGAAACTAATTCTTCGAATTCTTAAGACATTTTCTCGCATTTCTCAAATACTCTCTTTAGCTTCCTTATACTCAGCCGCCACCCTAATGCCATTACAGGATGAACACGCCGAACCAATCAGATCAATCTTGTTCCTTAAATCCTTCTTTAGAACTTAGAAGTACCTAGGGTCCACCTCAAAATCTGCAGCCCAATAAGCCGTGGCATTTTGCTGGAACCCCTAAAATTTGACCCTCTGTTTCACTACATGACCGTCATTAAGAATAACGAACGCTGAGTGGTTGAATTCGACAAGAATCCAACAAGCCAAGCCAAACACAAATGTTTGAGTAAATTGTCATCTAATCTTCCCACAGGATCAAATCAAGTACCGGTATTAATATAGTTTGTACAGTGTGCAGGCTACCTGTAACTTATCACCAAATGACACCAATTGACTAGGGTAACTGTCACAACCGTCGGTACCACAACACAAACATGGTGATTCTACCAAAAACCACTTTTTTGAGCGACAAAACTATCGAATGCGACAAAAACACGAGGAGAATAACGTGCATGCACCTCCGTTGGTTGCCCCATCATTGATACGGTCGATCATGTATCCCAAGCATTTTATTTGGTACTTATTAGTACTCCGTAGTCTGTACCTGCATCATTACAACAAATAATCCTTACAAATCCCATAATTAATCATCTATTCACTCTCCAAGAGGACCAATACGATAACGTCTTGCCCTTAGTAGGAATGGTATGGAATTACTCGTGTCAGCCTCCCCTGCCTCCTTCATAGGCAATGCTGAAAAAGCTTCGCTTAACCAATTAAATAAGGAATTAGCTTCTGATACAAGGATTGTTTGACCACGCCCCCGCCCCTCGTTACTCACAGAGACAAGGCTGTGTTCGGAATTCGACACACCAGTGACCTTAGACCAGCCCACCCAACGTGCAGGAGGAAGAGCAAAAAGGCAAAGGAAGTTATTGAAATAGGTCGAATCCCCAAAATTAGTTACTTTTCCTAATCGTTCCCATTTATTTTTGGTTCTACTTATTCAACTCTCATCCCCCCTCCTCATAAATTTCTAGAACTCCTCTCCACATCTTGGCATTGAATCTCTATTTCATCATCTATCTTTCTAATAAGTGGTTCTTCCTATCGAACGGTTCATCTTTCGTTTGAACGTTCTTAACTCGACTTACATTCGCTTTGTGCCTTACATTGTTTCGTACTTGAAGTCTTATACTTGGACTTTATACTCTAATCAGCATACCTCCTCATCCTCGCACATCATATACACAAGATGCGTTCCTCGATAGTATCGGCATCAGCTGCTGTCCTCCTCTCGGGACTTGCCAGCGCTCAGACATTTACTGATTGTGACCCAACCAAAAAATGTAAGTTGGATAAATTGCTGTCTATCACATGAGACTAATAATGCTACAGCCAACTGCCCTTCAAATGCGGCCATTGGAGGCCTTCAAGTGACCGACTTCACTGCCGGCAAGAGTAGCAACTGGCTGGATGAAGCTGGAACCACTATGACATACGACACCTCTCTTGGTGCCAAATTTGTCATCAGCTCAACTACAGATGCACCCACCATCGAGAATGTCGGATATATCATGTTTGGTAGAATTGAGGTGTGGGCCAGGGCTTCGGCAGGAAGTGGAATCGTCAGCAGTTTCATCCTCGAATCCGATGATCTCGATGAAATCGATTGGGAATGGCTCGGCTATGACAACACCCATGCCGAGAACAACTTTTTCGGCAAGGGAAACACCACTACCTACAACCGTGCCCAATACCCAAGTGTCGTCACACCCATTGATACCTTCCACAACTATACCATTGACTGGACATCCGCATCAACCATCTGGTACATCGACGGAGTCAACGTCCGAACCCTCGCCTTCAACGACCCACTTACCGTCGGCGGAACGAACTATCCCCAAACCCCCATGAAAGTCAAGATGGGAAGCTGGATCGGATGTGCCAGCGTCGCAGCTCAAAGCGCCACCGCCACTGCAGGTACTTGTGAGTGGGCAGGAGGAGCCGCTGATTTCTCAAAGGGCCCTTTCACCATGTATGTCAAGAACGTCACGATTCAAGACTACGGATGTGCCACCGAATATACCTATGGCGACATGACCGGTGACTTTTCATCCATCAAGAGCACCGGTGGCTGCAGCGGCGGAAAGAGTTTGTTGTCTTCATCATCCCCACCCTCATCTGCTTCCGGAACCTCATCATCCATCTCCTCGACCTCCTCCGGCTCCTCGACTAAACCCTCCAGCGGAGGCTTGTCAGATGGCACTTCAACTGGAATCGCAACACTTTCCGTAGGTATCAAAGCTACTGCTTCGGCCTCTGCATCGGGTTCTGCATCTTCGTCGACAACAACTACCGGTTCGTCCACCTTAGCTCAAGTATCGAGTTCGGACGCCAACTCTATCAAGAAACCCAAACACGAATATGGCATGATTGATCTCGGTGTCATGGTTTTGGGTCTTGGACTTGGTTATCTCGTCATGTAAAGATGCATAACATGACCTTGTCTTTGACTCTTATTTCTTATTTGCTTCTAGATGAATGAGTGTACAGTACGACTCGGAAGAATGTATGAGTTTTCCGCGGGAGGGTACATTGGGATATGGATGCATAGATTTGGGCGAATCATATCATGTTCTAAGCATACTAGTAGGTTACGATGAATGTATTGTAGATGATGATATACCCGAACCATGAAAGGGCGGACGGATTGGCTATTATCATTTTCATTTTCTTTTGGCTTGGATCACTGTTTTACAAAAGAAAAAAGAAATGGGTTGAAAGGAGTATAGCATAGCATAACATGTCATTGCATGACGGGGCCCGGGGAGTTCTTGACTGATACTTTCGATGTTTATACCATTTAGCGTTCACTGCGTATTTACTTTAAAGCGATTTAATGACAGATAGATAGAGAAGAAAGATAAAAATATTTATAAACTCATATGTCTGTATAAACCCCTTGTATTGAACACTTGATCAGCTTATTTCCATCCTATCTCATCAAATCCATCACGATCCTTCAAATCTGCAAACTAAATCTCATCCCAACCATCCCATCCTGTCCCATCTCAATCCCATCTCAATCCATCCTATCCATCTCACCCCATCTCATCTCATCTCATCTCATCTCCCCCTTTCATTCTTTCCAACCACTCACTAATAATAACTCCCAATCCAAGTCCCCAAATAACTCCATTCATCCATTAATCCAGAATTCCTAATTCCAGACCAAATCATATCAGGATTCCCCACCCACATCCCCATCCCTTCAAATTCTCTAATTCCCTCATACTCGAGTACATATTACATATAAATCCACGCACCTTTCCATCACAACCCCTCACTTTCTTCAAACTCTCTACATATATCGATCTATCTATATCCATACTCATAGTGTCATCTCCAAATAACCTGGCCATAGATACAACATTACCTCTACTCCCTATCCCCTATTCGCTCCCCGCATCCATTGTCCAACTCTCCAATTCTCCACAATGTCAAACTACGAATATCAACTTCTCGCTACATTCTACTCATACATACCGGTCGGTATATACTACTTGAGCTATACACTCAATATATTTACACGCGTCCTCCCACCTTCTCCCACCACCACCAGCCCTTCCCTCTCCACCATTCCCCCTCCACCATTCTCTTTCCACCATTTCCCCTCCACCATAACCCCTCCATCACATCATCCAATTACCAACAAACCATCACCAAACCCACCTACCCATAAAACCGGTACCATAAGGTTACTCAAGTAGATAGAACTTAACTAACCACCATACCTCAATACCCATCCCTATTCCTATTCCTATCCTATCAATACCCCTCCTATTCCTATTCCCATCCCTCTTCCTCTTCCTTCTTCCTATCCCCCCCGTACTTAATTCTCCACCACATGGCATCGAAACAAAGTCCAAGTCCAAGTCCAAGTCCAAGTCCAAGTCCGAGTTCAAGTCTGAGTCCGAGTCCGCCCAAGGAACTTAACTTGAGACCAACGAATCTATCTATTTTCAGGTTCGAAAATATACTCGAGTAGATGGCTATCCTCTATGCAGTATATACAGTAACAGTAACAGTAACTACATACGACTATACACATGTAATCATTCACTCCCTCTCCCAACTAGATCTCGGACCGACATACCAAAAGTCCTCTCCCACTCTCCCACTATCATTACTCGTATATTTCACGCTACACACTACACTTTACACTGCACACTGCTTAGCATGACCATCTAACAAATCACCTACATATTGCCCCCTCTCAAAAAGGCTATACATCACAAACACAAACACAACTCCGCATCAATATAAAATCTGGTATCATTACTCTCCAGTATCTACTTTATTTCTCTGATCATGCTGGATATACTATTTTGCGATATTCCTGATACTTTGGGTATCTGGCCATCATCTTCCCCCACAAGCTAGGCCACGAGGCTATTTACTATTCGAACCTAGCTTCCCCATGCCATCCCAGAAACTCCACCAAAGGCTTTTCCATTATTCACCTAACCATCCATCCATCCATAAGTAATACATATCCCATCATAAGTTCTTTTCCTCTTCCCACCCTCCCACCTCCCATCCTTCCATTCTTCATACCCTCGTATCATATAAACACCCCCCTTCCAATCCTCAAGTCCCAATTCTCGCATAATCCAACCACGCATGCTAAAATTCGATTCGGCCATGACATTGTAATCGGATGTGCATGGTAAAATCTTTAAAAGTAAGAAAAAAGTTGGTATTGAAAAACCTATCAAGAATGAATCCAATGCAAAATGTAATATGAAAAAAAAAGCTTGAGTATAACCTCCTTTCCTTCCTTCCTCTGATATGCTAAACGAGTTGACTCAATGCCTATAAAGTTACGAATCGAGATTGGTAGATGATTCGTTCGTACTCTTGAGATCGCTGATATTGATGCAAGGCAATATACAAAAGGTCATAAGGCTTTGAAGAATTGCCTGTTACTGGCGCAACTGAAATTGAAAGATGAAGCAGATAAGGTCGTTATTATGATTACAGTCGTGTTGTTTTGTGTGTATTCGTCTTGGTGATTATAAGTACGTCTAGGGCACCTGTCCGAAGTCGTCTATGTTTTCGTTGTTCAATCGTCGATGTTCGTCTAATCAAAGAATGATTCTTCATCAACTAATCCTGCAATCGTTTCGTCAGTATAAGATATTATGTCAAAAGTGCCTATCTTACTTACGAGGATCATTCTCCTTTAATTTATTGGTAGACTTTTTCTGTCCTAGCCCCATGCCCATATTGAACATGCTACTTTCTCTCCTCTTCGTCTTAGGAACTGAGTGTTGCTGGTCATACGATGGCCCTCCTAGTGTATTTGCTCGACCACGATACTCAGGTCCAGCCATTGTATTAAATCCGGTAAAACCTGGGCCTTGTTGACCGAAAGATTGCTGGTTAAAGGATGGTGTCGGGAGATCCTGCTGAAATTTTTGGCGTCGGGGGGAGCGAATATCTTCGGGTGACAAAGCGGGCGCAGTGACAATTACCTCAACGGGGCGATGTTCATGGTCGTCGGGCTCCTGTTCGAAGATACCATCATATTGTTGCAAGAAGAGCGCAAACACAGGAGCTGGGATATTGAGGGTTGGTGAAAACACAATACCGACATTTCGAACAGTCATCTTATTTGTATCCGAGTGATTTATAATGTTGATAAGAAAACCTGCAAGATATCTGAGCAGAATATTGTTTGCTCGTGGTAACCTGTGAACCAAACCGTTGAGAGCGCTAATTTTTTCGTTTACGTTTTGAAGCTCCGTGACTGCGATAAATTCGAGATGTAGTTCGCGGGTCAGAATAGTGGATGGCAACTCTCTCAGATACAACTTCAATAGAGAGGCTACAGCATGGATGTCATAGTACTGATCATCAGTAACTAAGTTGACATCTCCCTCGACATTGAAGCGTTCCCGAAGCTGTCTAATGACAATGTTGGATCCACTCAATCTGAAAATTCCTTCTTCGCCTGCAGCATTCTTCGCGTCTAAGTATTCGATACATCGGTATATGACTGCTGGGAGCTCAACTTGTACATCAGCCGGGTGATTGAACCTCACAGCTTCTGTTAAGGGGGTCCCAAAAACAGGTCTAATCGGACCATGCTGATCGTATGCCAGTTGTGACAAATTATGATTTGACATGTTGACTGACATATCTGCCAACTCCGCAGATGGCCTTGGTTTTGAGCCAAATCCAAAGAAGCTTCGCTTCTTTTGTTTAAGTTTTTCGTCTGGAGCCAATAGTCCTGGTTTGTTTCCCCATGAACCAGCATCCTGGATTGGATGAGCATTCTTCGGACCAGAGATAGTTTTCATTGATTGAGACTGTGGCAGTGACGTCGGATCTCTTTCGTGGCCGTGGATCGGAGGCGATGGAGTGCCCGAGTTCTTCAATCTTGATCCATGGGGAACAGCGCCTGGTTTTGTTGTATCATAACCAACAGCGCGCAGATCATTACTGCTCTCACCCAGCTTTCCCTGGGCACTTCCCTTTCTCCTCCCTTGGGAATGGGAGCCGCCTGAGCCAGAGCGAGTATGACTTGAATGATGATGATGCTCATTCTCCTCCTTGTAATCAACATATCGAAGAAGAGCCTCGACCCATTCATCACGCTCCTTGTCGCTTTCAGCGCACAAAACATGCCGGACGAGGCTTGAAGAATCCTTTCTCTTTGGCTCGAGAATCAAAAAAGCATGGCGGTATTGATTGTCGACATCCTCAGTGTCTCCCGAGGAAGGAGATGAGCCATCAGTCTGCTGCGATTGCTTTCCAATTTGTGCACTTTGAAGTTTGATAGTTCCTAGATGTGGCCCGCCAGGTGACTCGTAATATTTGAATACTGGGCCGTCCAACACAAAGAATCGTGCCTTCCATCCTCCAAAGTTTTTGCCCTTCTTAGTTAGATAACCATTCTTGAGAGGCCTACCACCCGGTCCAGTTTTCACAGGACTTTCGGAACCTGTATCACTACTTGGAGTTAGGTTATCGGCGTGTGGCTCCATTGTGTTCGAGGACAAATATCGACATATTTCTAACGCAGTTTCCGTATCCAGCTCGGTATTAAGAAGTTCGTCAAGGTAGTTATCTAATGCGGTACGCCTAGCATCTATTTTAGCTGGGGAGTGACCGCTGAAAAGATATTTATCGGGCGTTCTGGCTGTGAACGCTGGGCATTGCTTCAAAATTTGGTCCAAATTTACTAACGACGCGGAGTCTTTTTCCACCCGCCATAGCTCTTTGCCGTCTGACCTTGCGAACACTGCAAGAGTGAAGACAGGATCAGTCTCGAGGTTTGCCGGGAACAGGAGACTAGCTCTCGATGGCCTCAAGCGTGACGAAGCCACCCTCACGTCTATTGAAGGCAAGGCATTTGGGGGTAAAAGCAGGTCTGGGTATTCTTCGGTAACAAGGCCTTTATAGATCACATTTCCAGACTGACCTGGGGTTGGAGAATTATTACTCGGACGTCTCCCGTGAATGCTCTCATCAACGAGAGTTTCCTCGGATCTGAGTGTGTTGAGAGTTTCCTCAGATTTCTTAGTGATAATCAATGGCTGTGGGGAATTGAGAACTAAAGGCTCCGCTCGGGGCGCACGAGGAGAAGCTATTGACATTGGAGTACCAGGAGGAAGAGGAATTGGCTGTCGTGGAGCTCGCGGCGATAATGATATAGCACCTGGAAAAGCGCCCATACTTCGAGGAGACAATGGAGGTGAAGCCATTGATGAATGAGATGAATTGGTCCTCGAAGACAGACCCATTGGTCTTGGACTTTGTGGGAGACCAGGACTCATTAGTGGGGGTGACATCATCCCTGTCTTCGGGGGAGGTGATCTTGATGCACTTAACATTCCCGCCAAGGAGCCGGTACTCTCATCTGGTGGGGAAAGAGCCCGCAAATGAGCGTCTGGTGGCGAGATTGGGACAGTTGGCCGTGGACTGAGAGGCATTGCTGGTGCTGATTCCTTCGGTGTGACTGATGTCGATTTTGGCGTTCCTTTAACGCTGCCTTTCGAACTTTTCTTGGAGCTACTTCTCGCCTCTGCGTCTTGAGCCGCTGCAACCTCTCGTACCCTATCGTCCTCTTCCCTAGTCTTTCGTCGGCCTCTTTCGGTGAACGTCGGGATCTCATCAACCTCCAATATATCATCATAGTCTGAATCAGACTCTTCTTTCGTCTCCGAGGCCTGGCGTAGATGAGTACTGGGCCCAGTCTTTTTGCCAAGATTCAGTGGTGCTGGAGGGGCTTTCCTTGGTGGTGGAAACTTCGGGGATCCACGATCAACCTTTGGCAATGATTCCACAATAGCGAGCGAAGGTCCCTGCGAAGACATAGGCGGAGGGAGTGGCGAGGCCGGAGGTGGTCCGCGTGGGGCATCAGAGGGAAGATTCCTTGAAGGTGGTACGGTTGCGTTATATGGCATATCGGCGGCTACTGCTTGGTTCTTCCGCTGAAGTTGAGATGCCTCAAATCCAAGAGGTGGAGAGTCCGGATTGTATTGCTGAAATGCATGCTTAGTTGGCGAAGGCATCGTGTGCTCCGCTACTACCATATTAGACAGTGCCGGCGTTCTCATCGCGGGAGGGGTGATTGGATAGGGAGCCAAAGCACAATCTATGGGCGAATGTTGCGCATGGGAACCATCCTTTGATCCATCAGAGTTTAAATGCCCGCCAATAGTTTTTTGGGCCAAGATTTCGGTGACCCTTGATTCTGAGGTTATCGACCCTGATTCCGACGTTGGACCTTGTGTCGAATCTACAGGTGACGGATTCGCATGTTGTGTGAGGTTATCCTTCAACTTTTTTCTGTATCGTTCTTTATCCTTTAGGGTTCGCTCAAGGTCCTTATTTAATCCCAAAATCATAGCTCTTTGTTTATCTACCAGACGCCATAATTGTGAATTCTGTGCGGTTTGTGATTGCTTTTCCTTGATCAAATATTGTATAGCGGATTCCGGTGATCCTGCTGCTTGAATGAGCTGTGCTACATCGAATTGGGCACTCGAGCCTTTAGAGTCCTGCGAATTCTTGTATGAATGTCCACCGCTCGATATCGAGGAAATGGCGGAATCAATTGAGGAAGTTCGGGGAGGTGGTCGACCCATTTCGACACGATGGGCAGGTGTAGTAGTTGCCATCGTAGGTGAAATACCTGTAGGTGAGGTCTGGCCTACGTTTGGCAGGATAGAATCAGAAACGCTTCGTATCGGGGCATTTAAATTTGCTTCCTGTAATGGTGGGCCGTATCTGTTGACGAGTGAGTGAATTGATTATAGACACGAATTTAATAAATACCTCAAATTGCCCTGTATCTGCAATGGTTTGGCAATCTGTTGAGAGGTATAGAAGCTCCTCTCGGTTGCTAATAAATCATTAAGGCGCTCTTTTGGTGATCGAGGCTCCTCCAGAGGACTTTGACTTTCTTTCGTACTCATGAATGGATGTTGATCGTCAGAACCTTCCGTAGGAAATGATGCGCTTCTTGTTGGAGTGATACTGCCTGAACGTGAAGGCGATGTAGGAGTAGTACTTGATTGTAGGGGACTAGGAGCAGCCTTGCGCAGGGACCTAGGACAAGCAAGTATGTAAGTGCCCGTAACGAGAAGCGGCTCAATATTGAATTGAATGGAGGTAGCGTACCTATTGCGCGTTTCCAAGACAGGTAAAGAGTTGTTTCCTGAGTGAAGAAGCTGAGTGTAACTACCTGTGGGACTTTCCTGTGGCAGGTAATGGAGCTGCGTATCAATGACAAAAGGTCTTTCGGCCTGTTGCGAAAGCTGTGACATGGCCAGGTACACTCGTCGGCTGCTGACACGTCCTCAGGCTCGTTATGCATTCATAGTCTGGATTTAGCCACCAATTGGTTGTGGAGTTGGGACAAGGAAGAAGGGTCGTCGGTCCTCTGTAATTTTTGGTGGCGCCTGTCGTTTCGAAATGACTTGAACGAGTCGATTGACGTCGCACGTTTACTATAATCCGTTCAAGCAATCATGGTCGAACACGGAATAGTCTATAAATAAGAAACTCGAGACCAGGTTGATAATGTATCGAATTGGGTCCGGGCACCGGAGATAATCATTAGAAGATTATTACTCGAATAGATATTGAGCTGTTGCGAACTTGTGAGTCGTGAGTTGTGACTGGTTGTAGACAATTTATTTGGTACAATTGTGAATCTGCTACCAAATAAGATTCGAAAATGATAATTTTAAAGTTTAGGATTGATCGCTTTCGATATATGCGTAGGTATGGGTACGTGTATGTACAGAAAAAGTAGGAATACCGATACTGATACCGTATTAGAAATTAATAATAGAAGTTGCATTCATTTTTATTTGGTGATAAGTTCATAGAACCTCACGTCAGCGAGTTCTGCGCGAATGAGTAGAAAAAGGGTGATGACTTGAATGAGATAGGATTAGTTTGTATGAATAGATAGATAGATACAACTGTAGATAAGGTAGAGAATAGATGGACGGGGCGGCGAGGAGTATGTTAGAGTGTGATAAAAAGCTGCCTGTCGATGTATAGGTGATGGATAGATGGATGACTGGATATTTTATTTTCTTCTTGCAGTTGATAATCAAAATCCCTTGCAAAATTGCTTATTGATCAGCTTGAACCGAGAACCTCGGATTATACAATAGATACCAGAGAAGGAAAGATGATAGCAAGTCTATTAATTAGATATACTGAGTATATACGAGTAAGTTCTTATTATATTCGATCAATCCACCAACCGAATCATATACATCGATAATGTACAATGTGAAGTATCAACTACAATAATAATAGTATTTGAGGATATCTAGAAATAGTATCTTCAATGTTTTATATATCCGACTAGAACCTAGAACTTCATACATACCCCTTCATCATTCGGCTGTTATCTAATCTTGTTACCCGACTGCGACACACTGATATTGTATATAAGATCTTACCTAAATATATACCGGCACTCAAATAATCAAATTCATCAATACATTATGATTGAGGCAAAGTATTTCAACATATTTTTAACTCCTTTACCTCACAGATCGATTTAAAGTGAATATCTTCAATGCTTATGCAGTTCGTTCGTTCTACTTGCGCACATATCACGACACATGCGGGTCTTATCAACGGACCACCTTAATTTTGTCTCTAAATTCAGGCCTTGCAGAAAAGTAATAGAGAATTAAGTATATTGAAACCTTACCTTCCCATTCCAACTTCCCCTCTATTGTACCGTATTATTGATATATACCGATACTCGCTAACAAATAACAGCACTTCATCCATCCATCTCTTCCTACTTCTCTCCCTTCTCCCTCCCCCCAACTCCACTTCCCTTTCGCTCCATTTACCCCTCAGATCTTATCGAGAATCAATAGTGATTACCGGGTATCCCCCAAGCCTCGTGTTCACGGCGTCTTCTGCAACCTGTGTCACTGCCCCGTGCACAGAGCTTGGGGTAGAACGAAGCACTCAAGCTTTCCTCCCATTTGCCAGAAAGGATATTAGTTTCACAAAATTTGAGTCATGGAGATAAATTTCATCTCCGGAAGGAGGTCCATGCCTCGGTACTTGTAGATTCCTCCATTATTACTGTGAACCTAGGCAAAATATAAATTGCCATGTCTGTTGATTGTCCTGAACTAAGAGCTGTTCATCTATCTATAAGAAGACTGTCCTGGCCCTAACGTTAAGGGAAGAACTGATAAATTCGTGCGAAAGACATGTACTTACTGTACGGTATTATCAATGGCTTCTATAATACAGATCTATATACATTAACGCTTGTAGAAACGTGCCTGAAACATTAGAAACCCCCAAGTTCTATTTTCGGCTAAAAGGAAAACTCATCTACCCCAGACCATCAATCCAATCCATTCGATGGTTGCTCAGTAGTACAGCGTGAGTATACCTCCTTAAATATTAAGCACAAATCCAAATTGGAACAATCAGGAAGTCGAGTTCTTATTTCTTATTTGTATCTGTTAGTGTCATGTATTCTTTGGCTTTGCGGAAGTACCGGTACGAAATACTTGCAAGTTAATATCAAGATCTCATGCCCCTTGAATGGGAGTTAATAGACTAGCATTATCGAGCCCCCAAGACTTAGGTACTAAAGTCCATCGAACCTTAATATGACATACAGTAATCAATTTTAAAATCTAATCATGTACTTTGCAGTGTGCACGCCATTAATCCACACAACAAGCACATGGCTTGACAGCGGGCCAAGCATATCCACCCAAGAAGGAAGCACTAGAGCAGATAGTCGGTGTGATAAACAAACTACCGGTACAGTAAACTAATTCGCTGACTTCACTCAGTCACTTCACACAAGTTCACAGAAGGAAGGGGGGATCATTTACCATATTAGGAAAACCTTCCTACCACATGTCGAATCTCGATACATATCTGTGTGCAGAGTCATCTTCCCCTGCTTGGGGCTTTGAAACGAGCCGGGCTGGTATGAATAGCGATGCCGATGCGGATGCGAAGGTACCGTTCGAGGCGCAGGATATTATAATAATAATAATAATAATATAATAATACATACCTTGAATGATATATATATTGAGTTTGTCGATATGATACCTAATATACTCGAGTACAAATTTGAAGAACACCGCATTACATTTCTCCAATTTTCAACGGCTGTGCAGCAGTTTAGCAGTGTAGTGCAGTCCAGACAGAAATACATTGCAGATGCGTTCGCCCTTTCAATTGGCCAACAGCAATTGGACATTTAGGCTTGTGCCAATGTTCCAAAAGATTCGAATCAAAGGTAAAGATCTCAAAATATCACATATGAAACATTAGCAATCACATCTCATATCTTGTTATCTTGTATCCTATAGGCCATACCGGTATCTCCATCTGAGAATTTCTCCCTCATCATCACCACACTCGAAATTTTACAGCATAACCAATCAACATCAAATTTGAAATTTTCATCATAAGATACTTTTTCAGCTCAACCTCAAGTGAGGCTCAAATGAAGTCCCATGATGGTAATACTAGGTATTACTTCAGATTTCACATGCTCTAGTCAATTAGACGCAACCAATAGAATGATTGGAATGGTTGAAACTTCCTCGCTGCTATCAATTGAAGCCAAGAGGAAGCAGGGGATGACCAATTTACCGGTATTCTTCAGGAGATTCCAGATTTTTCAACGTTTTTATTCAACCAATATTATCTTTAGATTCATCCACCCAGTTTCCAGGATACCTGCAGTGGTTTTTCTTCATGTATTTTTCAAGGTGCATCAGGTGCTATCTTCCTACCTATAACATCTTCAATGATGAAACATTCTCTCCCTGTTTGGATTGAGATGACTTCCCCAACCAGTCATACTACCGTTCTGTATTCCACCATCAAGATTATACATGAATTCGTCATTTCATTCTCATCTCATTCTCATCTCAACCACCACTGAGCACTCTTAAGCGGACATGAAGAACATTCAGCTTACTCATATGCCTCCCAGTCAAACCATAATCTGGCTCGTGTTCGCACTTCTTACTGTACTATCCCATAGTCTTTACACCATCAATACCGGTATTCAATCATTATACTTCTCACATTCACACATCATAATCACAGTATTCCATCTCCATCTCAGCCTGACTACAGTACTGTACTGCAACACATACTTCTCCATAACCTCAGAATAAACATACATGCAACCCTCATATTCCCATCAAACCTATACCAGTCCATAGTTCATAGTTCACACCTAGATTCTTATCACAAATGTCCAGTGCATATACAAACTAAAATCCCACTAGGAATCTCGAGTCCATCGTGGCACCTCCACAGCATCTCATATCATGCATCTCATATCACGCATCTTGCTTGCATTTATCTCCACCCCCCATCTCATTTCGCTAATCATCTTATACATATACTCAGTACTGAAACTACAGAACCATACTACACCATCTCCATCACCCCAACCCCAACCCCAAATCACCGATTCGCCAGCCTCAACCTAATCAACTTAACTCAACTCAATACAACACAACACAACACATACACACAAACTGCCATATTTCTTCCCCCCTCCCCAAAAAATGCACCAACCCATAACCCCAAAAGAGACATGCAACAAAATCTCCCCTCCCCTAGCCAACCACCAATCTCAACCACCAATCCCAATCCCAATCGCAGTCGAGATTCCGGGATCCTGCACAGAGAACACATGATTAAAAATTAAATCACCAGGTACTTACTGTACTACATCATAGATACCAATGTCGAGTTCATATCATATCAAATCATATCATATCACAGCAGCTGCATCGCATTGCTGCTGCATATACTGTACTGTATTTTTTGTTCGCCTTGTTTATACCGCATACCCGTTTTTGCGTTTTTCGATGCTGGTATTTATAATTATGTTCATCTACTACTCGAGTATATTCATCTATATTCACAATTGCTGTGTATATGTTTTTGGGTTTTTAGAAATTGTTGTTGTAATTGTCTTTGTAATTGTAATTGTAATTAAAATTATACTCGAGTATTTAAATCCGCAATGGATTCGGTTAGATTTGAATTTAATAGGAAATACAAAAGAAATCTCAAAAACACTCGAGTATACAGTAAGATTACAACAATTACAAAATGTAATAATAATAATAATAATAATATAATCGATATCATAGTGTAACGAACTTCTTTCCTCTCTCACCCTTACACCCTCTCTCTATTGTGATAAGATAAGTACTGTAGATCTATTCGAGTATACTGTAGTATAGGTACTCAATCCGCAAAATCTATATCTCTACGAGTACAAATATTATGTATTTCTCTACACATTTCTCATACTACACTACACTAGAGAACATGTACCAAGACTCCATACTCCTACCATCCTCATCACCATCCACCAGCCCTCCTCGCCTAATCTCCACAACCTCCTACCCACAACCTCCAACCTTCTAACTCGCACCTCCCATCCTCCTCTTACCCATCATATAAGACTTCCTCGCCAATTTCCAATATCAATACCAATACCAATTCCAATTCTTAAACCATCAATGGAGACGTACATATCCGTAGGTACTAGGTAACACCCGCATATATCCAAAAATACCTACCACAACCATCTAACCATTCTCATCTCGTTTCATCTCTAACCCTCTAACCCCATTCTATCTTATATCTTCCCCTCCTATCTAACCATTCCCATCTCTCACCACCTCTTCCCATCTCACCTCTTCCCATCCAATCTCATCTCATCTTTCCCCTCCCCACCTCCCCACCTCTTCCATCTCTTCCCATCTCACCTCTTCCCATTCTATCCCATCACTTCCCCTCCCATCTAACCATTCCCATCTTTTCCCTCCTCACCTCCCCATATTTCCCCTCCCCACCTCTTCCCACCTCCCTACCATTTCCCTTTACCCATCTTTCCTCGCTAAACATCACAACATCACAATATCACAATATCACAACATAACAACAAACCGACGGAACCTCACATACATCCATGCATGCATGCAAACATCAGATACCCGGTTACGTACCGCCCACTTTCCCTTTTCCTTCCACTTTTATTTTTACCTACAATTTTACTTACACTCTCACCTACAATTTTACTTACACAAATCGTTCAGTTATTTCGCCCACTTTTGTAACCTTACTCGCGTCTCCTTCATGTTGTGCGACTGTGCTTTTTATTCATTCACGTTGTAGTACATGTAACGTGCCAATCACGCTATGTGAAGTAGTACGAATCTAATCGGTGTGCAAATGGATAGATAGGTGAACCTCGTGTATACTTGAATCATGTCTCATGGGTGCATTCCTTAGGTATACATAGGTAGAGTCTACAGTAGACTATCATCCAACATAGCATCCTGTACTCAATAACGAGAATCCATCTATCAATCCTCTCTCGCACTTGCCTCATAGAACATGGCTTCCGCCTCCTCTCTCATTCTAACTCCCTGGTCCCCCGCCACTAATCCCAAAGCTCTATCTCTAGACGGTTTCTCCGCACTTCTGATATTCTTGCGCTTCTCCCCAGACTGGCTCCTGGGTAACTTTCCCCGTTCTTTCTCTATCATCCTAGCTACTTCTTCCAATCCATCTTTCCACGTCCCATCACCATCACCATCGCGAAATCCCAACCCCCGTTCAAAATTTCCCTCCCTGCCTTCTACTTTAGTTATCGGAGTCATCTGTAATCTCCTAAGGTCCCCCCTCCTCTTCTTAGCAGTCTGTCTTGCAACATTCGCCAAGGTGTTCACACCAAGTCCATCCAATGCACCTAAATCCATAAGCATTTTTCTGACCTTGTATCCTGTGATCTCTTCAATGAATGTGTCGACTCCCTCTTCACAAGCAGCTGCAGTAGCAACTCTCAACCCCTTGAATAGTTTCTTCGTATCTCTTTCCTGTCTAGTCTGTCTTTCTAATGAGGCAAGTTGGTTTTGTAGATCTCCTACAGATTCAGAAACCGATAATTTAGGGTTGATATCCAACAATATAGGGATATCAGGCAGCTTTGCATAAGCAAGGACTTGGCCTTGAACGTATCCAGGTCTTGTTGATTGATTTGACTCAGTAGCTTGGATGGGTACTGGTATAGAGGTAGTACTTGACTGTGACGGTAGTACCCGCTCTGGTATTAACCTTTTCTTGGTAGGATCAGGAAGCGGTGTTGATATCTTTTCTGACCTTGCTTTTCCTTCACATGGGCGAACATCAGATTGACGAGCATAGTGTCCTTCATCCGCTGAAACATCTAGATTTTTCCGTTCCTCCCTCGAACCAGTGTCCGGTTTTCTTATATCACCATATTCATGTGAGTGGATATCTCTTTGCACGTATCGCTTGGAAGATTGACTTGCAACTGTCGTTGTATCCGTGTCTGTATTGGCCGTAGATAGTTTGCACCCTGCACAATGTACTGTCTCAGGAATCTCACACGTATTGATGTTATTCATCTTCGAATTTGATTCAAACCCAACGGATGGTCCTGGCGCCGATGCCTTTTTCGGATGAACCTTTAAACTCGGAATGGTGTTCAACTCTACATTACACTGAGTACAACAGAGTGGAGATGGAGGATCACATGAAGCTGCCATAGTAGAAGCGGCGCGTGAGATTTGATGTGGAGGCGCAGGTTCTGGGGTATTGACAGCCTTTGCTTTTGGGGGTGTCTGTCGCCTTTGAGTTTCGCCGATTATAGACGATTTGAGAATAAGACCTCGGCGTTGTTGACTTTGAACTGTAACGGGGATTTGAGTGGTAAAATGTGGAGCTCGGGTGATGAATGATGGAGCAGGACTTGTTTGAGTGGCATGATTCTTGAGCAGACGTGTATCCTTTTGTGCTATGGTGTCCCCATTGGTGGGCGCAGCACGAGTTTGGTTAGGAAGTTGTTCTAGACTGGCAAAATCTCCCATGTCAATATTATCACCTTCTCCGGGACCGGTGAATGACTGTGGATAAGGGGTCGTGGTAGGTGGCACGGGTGTCGTGGCGGAGGTGATGCTAGTGGGATTTTGGGAGATCTGAGTTGGAATATAACGTTTATGCTCCGGTGGAGTATCAAGATGTAATACTATAGAAGAAGACTGCGAATTCACTTGACTCGTGAAGTCTGAGTACGGGGGTGATGCCGTTGCGTCTCCAGCTAAATTGCTCATCCTGTTGTTTTTCGTGGGCTTGTCAAGTACAGAAGGACTTCCGGCTATATTTTGCGGCTTACGGAGCCAAGGTAAGGGTTTCTTAGCAGGAGACGTCGTACGTTTAGGTGGGTCAACAGGATCTACACGTTTTGACTTTGCAGGCGACGGGGCTCGCATGACAGGAGGTGCTAGATCGCAACATGGGGGGCTATCAAGACGATTGATTGGATCTTTCCGCTCATATACCGGTGTCCACTCAATGACAGTTTCCTCTGAAGCATTACTCATTGCCGACAATTCTCTTTCTGGGTTCACACGGTCAGGTACCGATTTCTTGGTCAGCACATTTGAACCTTTCATACCCATTCTGTCGTCAGGTGAACTATCTTGTGGCGGCTCTACAATATCGGAGAGGGATCTTCTTCGTTGGATTTCTAATTTCGCTAGCAGTCCCGCACCACTAAGCTCGTATGGCAGTGGCTGGACTTCCGGAACAGTGTTTCTGCGTTCGTGTAGGTAGACGTACGGAACCGACTGCCTACGTTGTTCCGCCGATGTCACCGCTAATCCAGCAGCTTGAAACTCGGCGTGATAAGGCTTAAACTCATGTAGGGTCTGTATCGTTTGCGTGGAAAAGCTAATCGAGGGTACGGATGAGATAGGCGATTGCTTTGGTGCTTGCTTCACGATTTGAAGATATAACTCAAGTTCCCTAGTGAAGCGCTTCAAAGCTCGTCTTTGACTAGGACTACGAGAAGAAGGATTTGAAGCAATACTCTGCACAATGGAACGAACAGAAGAGGAAAACGAATCTCTTTGAGCCAAGCTTGCGAGTCTTGATGCTCCAATAAATGCCGTTCCACCTCTCGAAATCTCTTTTTTGGAAGGGTCGCCTGATATAGGTGCTCCTGACTGTGTAATTTTCCGAGAATTGGCACCTTGTTCTTCGTAAAGACTTGCGAGCGTAGATGCAGCCAAGAAAGCTTTGCTTCTGGCTGGGGAGGCAAAGCCAGTACGGATGGATGGATTATATTTCTTATACAAAGCCCTGGAATCTTGAACACGACTGCTTTGTGTTACAGTCGTTTCAGGATTTGCTTGATAGCGACGGGCTTGACCAACGGATCCTCCAGCCAACTGTCTCGAATTAATGGAGTTGACTCGAGTTCCCTTTTGAGATTTTTTATTCTTATTCGTAAGGCAAGTTTTGATTCTATTGGGAATCGAACATGCAGCGCCGTCTACGGAATGAATATGAGGAGTCTCGTGGATGATTTTACCAGAATGATATGGTTTCGATTCGACGATAGTTTCGACAAGTGGAAAATAAATATCGCTCTCCTGATCCTGCCTTGTAGTATTCGAGCAAGGTGACTCCCTTCCAAAAACTTCTTGTATAGCCTGCTTCGAAGCACGTCTTTTCGAGCGAGTAACAGTAGAGACCTTAGAAGTTTTCGAACTTCGATTACGAGCCTCAATCTTTTGTTTTCTTCGAGCCTGTTCTAGCGCTCGACAATTGTGTATTCCGCAAGTGCCTCTGTTGGCGTGAGAGGCACAAGGAGTGAGGTCGGTTTGAGGACGACTCGAGATAGTTTCTATTCGTGGGAATGTTCGATGAGGACGGCCCTTCCAATGAATTTTGAGATTGACCATTATTAGCTATAACAATAGAGTCGTGAAGAACGCATGTTTTAGGAAATGTTTGAGGATTTCGAAATTGACGGCACTCGAGATGAGGGAGCTCCTCAATGTGCACTGCTCTTGCCCTTTCAAACTGAAGCTCCAAACCCGATCTGCGATCTGCCGACCTCAAAGTATATAATCCTCCCATCCCCCACATGTGGTTTCTCATCGAATATCTTTAATACCAGGAGAAGAATACATATCGACCTGTCGCTGACCTTTCCGCAAAAGGTACTCAATCGCACTGAAATTTTTCTTATCTAAAGATATATTCTTATTGAATTCGACTCTGAATATACCAAGAAATGTTAGATTCGTGCAAAGACAGACAGGGAAATTTAATAAGTCAACACTGAACATACCGTGCAAATGCTTCAAAATGCTTCCTCGCCCCCTTCATCTCATTAGTATCTTACCTACCTTGAATTCTCACAGGAAAGAGCACTCACATCCGGTTTCTTTCTACTCTCTCTCAAACATTTTCTATAGAGAGCGAGAACGTCCTTCTGAAGTCCTGATAACCTCGCCATTTTTCGTTCGATATACTAACTATTGTTTAAAGAAGATGTCTACTGACGGAAGTAAAAATGATAACAATGAGTTTGGTGGTTGGATGAGCTCCGAGGTGGGGGATTATGTAAGCGAAAGGAGCTTCGACAACTAAGGGTTGTCGTCGTCATATCATCTCGAGTAATTCTAATTCCATTTCAATCCGTTTCAAATATGGAATAAACAACACATTTGGACAGTCATCATCATCAATGCTCTTCTGTACCTCACCTACTCGTAATTGGCAACGATTGATTCTCATGCCTGCTACTATTCATACTAAAAAGTTACATTTTACTCATTCACGATTAACTTTTACGAGCCAGTCTAGCGAGATCATTAGCAATACGCCCGAGCAGCTTCTCCTTACTCTTTAGGGCCTACCGAAGGTTGCCTTTTGCTTCTTGGAGCCGATCTAACTTTTTAGAAGCCTTTCTAAAATTGCTTATACCGGTACTCTAAGGGTGATCTAGTCCTAGCATACTCTTCCTTCTTTCTAATACTATTTTTAGTGTAGTTCAATTGGTTCAAGTGAACACTACCAAATTTTTAATCCCTATCACAAGTGGTTTGGATGTTATCCTCTGTTATTCTATCGTTTCAAAAAATCTGTTGGTCGAATGGACCCCCCCGTCTATCTAGTAAATCACCTATACCAGATTTCGCAATATATTAATAAGATCTATAATTGTATCTATTATTTCAAATCGAATATAAAGATTATAAATCTTTAAAGGAAATCTTGTGACGAGCAACAACGGTGGATTTACTGGTATGTCGCTTCTTGTCCTTGGCAGCCCCTAAACAGAGACCAAAACCTGACGAAGCTAATGACGGACTATATATACTCGTAGGCATTTCATATTCCATCTCCGATCCTCGAGGCGCCGATTTCTCGGGGGTGTCTGTTTCTGTAAAGAGCCCAGAGCAATATGGCTAGTGTATGGTGGCCACCACTCAAGTTTGAAGACCCAAAGAGCAATATGGCTGGTATACAGTGGCCACCACCCAAGCTACAAGCCCCAAGAGTTGTCAAGATAGCTCCCATTTTGCCCTCGTGATAGCCACTCAATCCCGACTTGATTGGAGAGTCTTGCAACTTTCAGCACATGGCGAATCCTCATTCGACTCTCTGGCTTCAAGGAACCCCTCCTTATTGTCCCTTTCGACACTCACAATCATCCGCAATACACATCGCCCAGAAGACAACTAATCACAAGGGCTTGATACTCGTGAGATTCGCTATAATCATTAGACGGTCCCTCTGTCAACAATTAATCCATGAAAGCCAGAACTTTCTGATCATAGAACTCTTTTGGCAATCTTCGGGTCTTGAGCGGATGCTGAAGCGACTGTAACCCCGATCGCAGATCGCAGATCCTAGATAAACATGGCTGAGAATCTATACCTGCTTTCTCAATGTATTCCAGCATTTACTCACCAATCAAAATGTTGAGATAGTCCATGTCTGTCGATGTATTCCATCGTTTAGCGGGTCTTCAATCCAATTTCAACATTGATTCATCAATATTTCAATTTAACTTGAACATATTCAGGAAATCACAGAATCTCAAACACTCCCAAAAAGTAATATCTCTACATACAATTTTGGCCATCCTTCCCGCAGCTATAGAGAGAAAGTATTTCGAGAGATGTACCGTCCTTTTGAGCCATCAGTAGTAAGGGGTACCGGTAACACGCCTCCGTTTAGTCGTGACATGTCAAAATATACTAGTACTATCTTTGATATATCAAAACAATCACAAACTATTTGTAGTTCAAGATTGTATATTTCAGTAGATAGATACCTTCTCTCCTTCTCTCCTTCTCTCCTTCTCTCCTTCTTTTCTTATAATCCAATTTAATATGATAGATTTCAATCGATTTGAAGTTGTGCCTCTTTGACTTGCTTGATGAGATTCGCTAATTTGGCTCCGCTAATTCGGCTGATTGGGTATGCGTGGGATTGAGCTCCAGAAAGGTGGACTAATAAGGTGGGGAACTGAGCTTCACCTCGGAGCTTGAGCGATAACGGAGATTCCTAATCTTGCCTGGTCAGTGGTACAAGTATCTTATCGTGAATGTGAACTCCTATCTACTTGAGTAGAATACCTTCACTTCACTCAATCTACCTCACCACCACTCGATCTCTACACAATGACATCTCCATCATTCTCCGTAAGTTCTACATCACCCTACAACCAGCATTCCAGAATCATAACACAGTGCTAATCTTCCCTCCCAGCGACTCGTCCGCTTCCTAGCCAAAAATGGCCGCACATACTACGGCGATGCCATCCTACCCCAAGGAGTATCAGATATCGCCAAAGCTACCCAAGCTAAAGTGATTACGGGGGAAATATTCGGGAAGCATGAGGTTACAGATCAGATACAAGATATTAGGCTACTACTTGCGCCGTTGGCAATTGAAGATGTGAAGACGGTGAGGTGCTTGGGTTTGAATTATGAGCAACATGCTAAGGAGGTCAGTGTTAATAATTATGAATGAAATGAGATGAGAAGCTAATGCTAACCATGGTAATCACAGACCAACATGCCAATTCCGAAATTTCCCATTCTATTTGTAAGTCCATGATATGATATGATCACCATGCACCCCAAAATCCCACAACAATTAACCCAACCCACCACCCAAAAGTACAAACCCACCACATCCCTCTCCGGCCCCACCGACTCCATCCCAATCCACCCCATGGCCCAAGAAGGCACCGGCCTCGACTACGAATGTGAACTCGTCGCCATAATCGGCAAACCATGTTTCGACGTCTCCGAATCCAACGCCTTAGATTATATACTCGGCTACACGGTCGGTAACGACGTCTCACATCGAGAATGGCAGATTCAACGCGGAGGCGGGCAGTGGGCGCTCGGAAAGGGGTTTGATGGATGGGCTCCTTGGGGGCCCGGAATCGTGTCGAGTCGGTTGATTACCGATCCGCAGAATCTCGGGATTTTTACGAAAGTTAATGGGGTGATGGTGCAGGAGAGTAGTACGAGGGATATGATATTTGGCGTGGCGAAAACGATTGCGTTTTTGAGTCGGGGTACGACGCTGTTGCCGGGAGATTTGATTTTTACTGGAACGTGAGTTTTGTTTTGTTTTTCCCAATCCTGCTTGTAATTTCTGTTTCTGGAATGAGCTCAACTAATACTAATCATTAAATAGTCCCCAAGGAGTAGGAATGGGGCGAAAACCACAGGTATGGTTGAAAGATGGAGATGTGGTGGAGGTAGGGTTAGAAGGGGTAGGGAGTTGTATTAATAAGGTTGAGTTTACGAGTACTCAAATGAAGGAGAAAGCGAAGTTGTAAGCGAAGTTATAAGCGAAGTTGTAAATATACATGTCAGACTTTGTATATACACATCGAGCATATACGACGAGATAGGGATGGAAGATTGGAATAAGTTTTAATCTACTGAGTATAACCACTCTAATCCAATATAAGCTCTAACCTTGCCTTCAGCACAGGCACAGGCACAGGCACAAATGTTCAGATGAATGTGTGGGTACTCGATATTGAGGAATGAGCATTCATATTTCATTATTAGTTAAGAAAGAAAGAAGGGAAAGTAGATGTATTTGACTCTAATTCCAATTCCAATTCCCTGCCCATTTATACACAATTCATCTTGTAGTATCATACGAGTATTATAGCTCAACCCGTAGTACTCTACTTACTTACTTAATCCATAATTCCCAAGGTTCACCCATCTATCATAATACATCATCGGCTTGCAATACAATCTACAATCTGCAATCTGTATCATCAACTTCGTCATAATCATCAACTTCCTATTCAACCAAAACCATAATTCATTTCATAGAAGCCACAAAACAACATTATTAATCGATAATCAAAGCATCAAAGCTCCTCCCTTCCAATCCCTATCCCTATCCCATCCTCCATTTCCTTCTCCATTTCCGTTTCCTCCCCCGTAAAATTATAACGCGGTCTCCTCCAATCCAGCGGATCTCCACCCGGCAAACAAACCCCCAACCTCCAAAAATAATCTCGATGTGCAAAGAATAATTGCCAGAGTTTATATCTTGTTGGGATGGGCAGTGTTGGCCATCTCCTCTGGATACTCTCCAATTTCTCCGCTTCCTCCCCTGCAGCTTCTTGTTTAATATCCCATTTCCCTGTCCGAAGTTCGTCTAGGAAATCTACGGGGATGATGGTTGATAAGTCCTCTCCTCGAAACCATAAATTGTCACTATCGCTCCCTGTGATACAATTCGTGTCTTCATCGCCGTAACATGGACGGACATCTTGAGCTTCGGGTTGCAAATCCTCCTTCCCGATGTATATCTCTCCAGCATGACTTCTATACCCCCACTCTCTCAATGGAAGGAGTGGGACCGGATCTCCTATGTGTGTTACCCTTCTGTATCTCCTATTCATATCCTCGTGCATTCCCTCATTCAATTCGAATGCTCCATCAATAAAATCCATTAGCCCCTGGTTCCCAATCATCGGCTCTCCAAAGGTTGTAACGATAGTCCTCCATCCACCTCCCTCGAGTTCCAATGCAGCAAGAGCGGCGACTGCTCCACCAAGTGAATGTCCCACAAAATGCAGCTGATAATTTGGATATTTCTGTTTCAACACATTGAGATGAGGTAGGATACATGGACGCGTGTTGAGCCATGAAGAGTAAAATCCAGTGTGGACTGTGCAATTTGTACACTTTCTCTCCGTCCCCCCCGATTTATGCCCTGATGTTACAGTTCCCAATTTGTGTGTCCACCAAAAAGACCAAGGTCGAGGAATTCGGTCGATAAATGGTTGTATAGTATTTCTCTCAAAAGCTTCGGTAGAAGTGTCAGGGTTGTCAGGACTCTCCGGATATGGTATATATTCCTGCGGCACCGTACTCAAATCTGCAATCGTATTCGCAATAGAATAAGTACCCCTAAACGCCACAATGATCCTGCCTTTTCCATCTCCAACAAAACTCCCTTCACTCCCTTCACTCTCTTCACTCGACAATCCATGATCCAGCACAATATATCCCGAACTATCGCTTTTTGCCACCCCAGTATTAAAAGTATCCACCAACTCGTACCCCGGAAATTCATCACAGCGGCTGGCGCAATGAAACGGTTTCGCGATACCGCTTGTGCCGACACAGTAGGATATATCGACAAGGCGAGCTAATTCTTCTAGAGAGTGGAAGAGAGATAAGGATATTAGGGAATCGTCGTGGGTCGAGGATTGTGGCGCATAGATGGAGGAGGCGGGGGATTGAATAGGAGAGGTAGAGGCAGAGATAGATTGGTCGAGAATCTGGGATGCGGAAGAATCAACATGATGCAATGTCGTTTTTGCAGATGCTGGGTGTGCAGATACCGTTGAGGCAAAATCCAGGAAGGTAATAAAGGTTATAGTATTGATGCTTGAACTTAGAAAGCGCATCTTGTGTCGTATTATCTTACATATTCAAGTTTGATTATTCGTGTGAAGCAAGAAGAGGAAATAGTAGGTAAAAAGGAATAGGCAGGGTTAGTTGGTAAGGTAGACAGAATGTTTCTGAATGTATGTTGAAAGTTGGATGTCGCGTGGTGATGCCTGTAACAGTATCATTGTCCTGAGTGAGCTAAGCTAGCGAACTTTAAATTTCCCCAGATTTCCTTTTTAAGTTTAGCCTGTCTATATCTAGATCTTGCACATTCGAATATAGCCAATCATACTCGTTTAGCCAATTCAACAGACTCATTCCTCATTCCTTATAACATGAACATAAATATCTAACCATATTTTACAAATCACGAATATATTTGAAGTGAGTTGTATAACAATGATAATATCTTGGCTATACGAGGTACTCGAGTATAATGACTACTCACCCAGGAGCAGGTTTCTCCTCGATAATCAGCCCGCAATTACCAACTCTGTCATGTAGCCCAATCCACCTGATATCTTTCCCATATATTGTTTCATACATAAAACCGCCTGTTCCTGTTCCTGTTCCCGTTCCTGTCCTTATTCCTATTCCTGTAATAGACCTCCCCGTCTCATAAATCATCTGAACTCCCATCCTAAGCATCATAATAACTCCAAGATCTCCCAAAAACATCCAAAAAAAAAACGCCGTTATGCCACGCTGAATGCTCCCAACCCGGCTAGATTTTGATCTTAGTCCCCTGATATTTTGACATCTACCAAACGCCATGAAGCCCTAACCCGCTAAGTTGTCCAAGCCCAAAATCCCAAATGCAAATTATACAAAATAAAACAACTAAATAAATTAACTGCCTCAGTATTCTGAACAGCAGAATAGCTCCTGCTGAAAGTTCCCAATAATGAGTCTCTCGATATCAATAACCCTATACGGCTTTGCTAAGAAACTTTGCATACCCGCTTCCTTCGCCCTAATCGAACAGTCGTCTGTGATATCAGCTGTAACCGCCACAATCGTTGCAGTCTCCCCATGAGCTTCAGCCAATTTCAAGATCTCTTTTGTGGCTTGGTAGCCATCCATATTCGGCATCCATATGTCCATCAAAATGATGTTATAGCGACCAGATGGTTTCGATAAGGAGGCTTTGTAAGAACGAACAGCATCTGCTCCATCAAACGCCAGTGTAATGTTATTTGCGCTGTAGCCGAGCCTGCTGAGAGCTGTGAAGGCTACATTTCGATTGATTACGTTGTCTTCTGCAACGAGGAAATTGAGGGGATAATCTTTGGCGAGGTTAGCGTTGGGAATTCCTCTTCGGCGTGAATTCTTCGTTGGAACGTTTGCGTAAGAAGGTATCACGGCGTCCCGAGTGATTCGTGGATGACTAGGCGATGAGCCTACGAGGGGAGTCACGGCCCTTTTCATATCCAGAGCTGAGATCGGGAGACGTATCAGGAATTCTGATCCTTTAGTCGGACCATCCGTTGCAGATCTTTCCAATGTGACATCGCCACCTAGGTATTTCCTCACACGAGCTTTAGCATTAAACAGACTAAGTCCTAGTCCATCTTTCGCGCGGCTGATCGAGGCGTTTTCTTGGAAATGTGGCTCGAATAGACGGGATTTTGATTCTTCGGTAATGCCGCATCCTGTATCAACCACCCATATCTCAACCATGTGTCCAGTATTATTGAGGCTGACCGTTATGGTAATGCTGCCTTCATCTGTAAATTTGATAGCATTATCGATGACCTTTGAAATCGAGAATTGCAAATGCTGCTCTTCGGTAAGGATGGCCTCGGGAACATCAGGTTGGATCACCAATTCGATTAGACGCTCTTGTATTTCGCCCCTTGAGCTTTGTGTCTTCACTTCGATTATCTCGCTGGAGTCCGTTGTCGTAGGGTGTTCGCTATATGAATGGTCGCTTGTAAGAGCATCACTAATGAGATTTCGCATAAAATCGCGAGTGACGATACGCTGGTGGGTTGGATTCATGGAAGCCGGGGATGTAAGCGGACTGGGGTTTGAGTCGAAAGGAAAACCATTTGACTTCGTTTGTACTTCTGAAATTATTGCTGAGACTGGAGACTGAAGAACCATCTCAGGGCTGAAAATTTCTGTAGAAACTATCGTGGAACCGATGTCCTGTAAATGATGTGAAATTTCTCGCTCTAAGAAAGTGGACATACGCTTCGGAGGAGATTCTAAATTGAGCTCGAGGTCTTCAGGACGCCTTCTTTTCACCAAGATTGGAGAAGAAAATGCCTTTCGTAAATGGCCATCGCCAGGTGGGGAATAAGTTGGCATGATGAGTGCAAAAGATTTCTTTCGGTCATCTTCAGGCGTTAAAGGAACATCTGGCATTTGCATGTTGAGATCATATGCGTGGACGACATTATCGGCTGCTTCTATCGCTCTTCTAGAGCTTTCTGTGCAAGATGAGTATCGAATATGTAACCATGATTATAGGGTTCACTTACCTTGCACAATCTCAACATTGGCCTTCAGATCTGCAAAGACAGATCGAACCCGCTCATTCTCTTCATTTACAATAGCATCAAGTATGGTTGAGTACATGATGTCCAGCATCCCCACCACTCCCTGCATAGGCGTCCTTAGTTCGTGCGACAGGCTTCGAGCATATGGTTTAAGTGACTGTGAAGCGGTGATAGCAGAGAGAGGTATGATCTTTGCCGAATTAGACTCTGGGAAATTACTTCCCTTAGCGAAGCCCAGTCCCTCCACTATACGCTGAAGAATCATGTCTTCGAGGGAATGCATGAACATTTCTATGAAACTCCAACTTAGCCTCCTCTTTTGAGCGCCCTCTTCGGACCATATTAATGTAAAGTGAGCAAAAGATTTGTCTTCCACAAATAACGGTACACCAATAAAGGCCTCTGATTGACCCCATGGCATGATATTTGGATTGTTAGGTGCAACCTCCTTCATTCTCTCTGGTACAATGACCACTTTGTCGTATTTCATATAAGCGCAAGGTGTACCAAAAGCTGTATATTTATAATCCCTTTCAAGTTTAGATTCCTTACCTCCACTTTTGGTATAGAAAGCAACACCCATCAGACATGAGCCTTCTTCCCCAAGTTCTGGAAGTTCAACAGCGGTGTCCTGATCGTCCACCAACATTCGTTTAGCAACCAATCCACATTGAGCTCCTGTTATATCGCACATTTCCTCCATCAGCAGTCTCCAGAAGTCGTAGGTGTCGGCTTTGCGAAGTTGAGCCTTCAATTGAACCAAGCGTTCCGAAGCATTGCTTTCCGCAGCAGGAAAATATCGACCCAATAGTTCTGAAAAGCCTTCATCGCCACTATGCAGTATGGTATCCTCGGAGAAGTCTGGCAAGCACAATGTCTGTCTGTCTATAAGATCAAATGGTATTTGTGTCCCTGATCCCATTCCACCCGTCATTTCCTCCCCCGTCCTTTGGAGAAGTTGATGTTTTATCGGAGTTTTGGTAGGAAGTCGTCGAGTTTTTTGACGGTGGGGTTTATATATCCTCGAAGTGCAGGGCTTTCCGTCGAAAATCTCACGATAATATCGTGGGTCTTGCATTCCACTTTGTGGTTCAGATGTGGGCATGGGTGCATCAAACATTTGGTCAGGGCCTTTCGCAAACTGCATACCCAAGCCAAAATTATTTAATCAAAGGTCTCGACAATATACAATGGAATTGGTGGTAGGTATGCTTTCGAGAAAGCATAAGAGTTGCCAAATTATTGGTATGAAATTGGACTCTCATCCAGCCGCGGGGCTCCCTGTATCGATCGACGAGAAAATGACGGTACTGGTGAATGATAAACTGAGTGACAGTACTGATTAGAAGGGAAACCCCGGCCGGCAACTTATTAGAATTATGCGCGAAGTAATTCTAGACTCCTGCTCGATGACAGACTATTAGAAAATGATCTTACTAACATAGTGATAGAAGAGGGGGAGTGCTTGTGATTGGGGACGAGCGAACGGATAGAGGATCGATCTTAATGCAAAAACTTAAAACAAACATTAAAATATGGAAGGGGGGAGGGAACTGGATGAGTCTGGATCGGGTTACTAGCAGTTTCCACCCTGGGGCCCTATAGTAGTGGACGCTGTAGGCCAAGAAGCATTGAAGCTCGACTGGAAAGAGTTAGGGTGGTGAGGAAGAGACTAGGTAGATAGATATCGGTGCGGGTAATATGGTAATGTGTACTGTAAGATGAAGACGATATGAAAGTAATAAGCAAATGAATATATCTGTAATTAAGGTTCAAATTTTAAAGTCTAGAGTAGTGAGTGTAGAGAGTAGAGAAGTGTAGTTTGTAGTGAGGCAGTGAGTGCGGGTAGTGAAGAGAGAAACCGAAAATGAAATACGAGTGCTGTAGAATAGTATACTATTTACTCAGTATTATTGGGCAGGTATGTAATAGTGAAGAGTGAAGAGTTGAAGAAAATACTCGGAGTAGAATAATAAGAGAAGAGAGTAAGTAGGTTATTCAGGGTAATGCGGGTACAAGAAGAGATGGGCTTCTGGGGTCTAAAAGGTCTAAAAGGTCTAAAGATTATATGGGAAAGGTCTAGCCAGGTCTAATTTGGCTATTTTGTGGGGCGCCATGGAGTTAAAAGCGGATAGTCACTGGATATTAGTGGATAAGCAAGCCTTGCGATGATCTTTTTCCCTTTTTCCTTGCGTAAGGATTGTGATGACTTAGGGATAATATTTAATATTTATATAACTTATATCCTATTATCCGGGAATGAAAGAAGAATAATTTTTATATCAATACAGTATCTAATTACTATTTAGATAGTAAGTACAATATACAATACTAAGTAGTTGATTGTCAAAGTAGTCCTGTCGATTTCAATAGCAGTAATAAGATTAGATACAGCTTCGTTTTTTTGACTAGAGGCTAGAGGCTAGAGTATCCGAAATCCGAGCCTTTTCCGTTTGATCGTTCCACTCATGAAGAACTCTTCCTCTTCAGTAAATCATGAATATAGAATATACTAGGTATCTACACTCTTTACTGTATATAACATTCTCTATAACGTTCTGTTGTTATAATAGATAATAAGTGATCAAATTCAATTTCATAAAAGTACTGCAAAAAGAACAAGCAGTTCGCTGAGTTCGGTTATTTGCATTGATAAGACATCTAGAACGACCTCTTTCTGAATGGAAATAAGATAAGGGCCACTTAACTCTTTGGGTTATGATTTGCTGGGTTACACTACTTGCACACCCAAGAATTAAAACTTCTCCACTATTCATTATTCGGTTCTAGAATCTAATAAACATCTTTCACAATTCTCCGAAAGATCAATTGATTGGCGAAATTCGATAAGAAATAAACCTTGGATTAAAAAGGATTCATATAACATATAAATAGAACATTACCAGAACTAGCATTCTTATTCTGTGATATTCAAGGCAGGAATAAGACAGTACTCGAAAATTATCAAGTATAAGAAATCTTTAAAAAAGTTGTAAAAGAGAAATACGAGATCATATCTAACATCTATCACGAAATGAAGGAGTACAACCTAGGCTTCCTTGATAACCTTGGGACAGATCTAATTGCCACTTTTATAAATCGTAAATTGTGCAATGCTGAAAGAGATATTGAATTCATAGTTGATATTGATCTCACAGTTACTCACTTTACGAAAACCCTCCATATCTACACATCTACTCGAGTACTCAAGTACTCAAGTAGTTAGTTATATTTGCATCTGGTGCGCCAACTAACCTGGGTAAGATGTGGATTATATATTTCACAACGTCTCTCCAGTCCATCCCTATTGAAGAGATATGCAGAAAATGTCCTCACAAATAACATTCCTACGTCGTCAGCAAGTGTCAGCATTACAGCGGTAATTACAGCCACCAAAACGCCTCTTCCATTCTGTTTCTTACGATTAAGTATCAAGAATTCGATCGTCATACCGGTAATAGTGATGGATGAATACTTCTTTTAAACAAGATCTCCTCTCCTCTCCAGCTCTCTTTTAGTACAGTATTATTCAAATTGGTTTATTCCTCTTATAACAACTCTTTAACGGCTCGGCATTAAGGATTCCAAAGGAGTCATGGCTGAGAACTTGTCAATGGCTTGAGGCTATCAAGTTCAGATCATACTTGGAATAAATGTTTCACTTCATCTCTTGTGACCTACGACGAGTATAGCAATAATGCTGTACTATCTCTTACAATACGTAAAGTTTCTCCTTTTCGTCTCAACATACTCGTGCTGTGAAATCATAGACAAGATGTTGCTTTCTTTCCGAGCCTCGATACCACTGAACATGGATACTCGTACTCTCAAGCACTACCTACCTAGTCCCTTCAGCCACCGTTTTTCCATGGCGGGATTGGACAAGCAGGGACGTTTTATTTACTTTTCCCCAATATGCACCCCCACGAATGGTTTCAAAGCACAGCTCACAATGATCTCCGAGTGAAATGGACGATCGTGCAGCTCCACCACATCAAAACGATAGCCATGTTTGAGAGGGCGCCCGGGGCAGCAGGGCTACACTCTTCTGCCTTCAGAAATTTGTGCATTATGTTCCGTCTCTGGTTGATACACAACAGTGTATTGAAGATGAAGTGGGCGCGGAGGGCGCAATACAGTCCGGTAGCAGAGCTGTATGTATGACGAAGCGGACGAGGGGTTTGGTTTGCTTGTGCTCGTCAGGTGGCTTGGAGTACTTATTGTCAATGGATCGGTATTGAGTTCAGCCCAAACACAAGACTCGGTGAATTCCAAACTCTCGGGCATCACAGCTCGTACAAACTCCATAAGCTCCCACTTTGTGTACTACACTCATGCACGTGGATACAAATTCTATCACATGTCGGTGAGCCATGTAACTCGACATTCCAAATTTATCTAGGTGATCTAGGTAAGTGGAAGCGAACGGGAGGTTTATAGGTCGTAGAAATACCTATATTACTACCTAGGTAGTATCACAACTTCGAACTTGAATTGTGTATCAAATAAAAGAAAAAAAGACTTCCCAATATCCATAAAGAAGTATGGTTGGACTGGACTTGCTTGCACAGGTGGTTCTACGAAGTAAAATAATGAAACGGTCAAAATGAATTTCCAGCTCCGAATTCGATATGTTATGCCTTAAATATGAGGCATCAATAAAGAATGAGTTTTAAAAGCGGTGAGACTTGAAGTAGTTATGAGTTAGAGTGTACGTACTCAGTATTTGGCAGAATAATTAATGGCAGCAAGCGCAACACAAAAACACAAAATCGCAGACAGCGAAGTCCTTCTTGCCGTATCACACAATCAAATAAATAGCAATGCTTTTATAACATGGCCAGATATCATAATGCTACCTACTCAATAGTAATATTACTTCAATCAATTTCATTATCTTAGTCTTAAGTCATGTCTATTCGCGTTCTTCTCCGCGAATATCCCCACCGCTCAATTGCTCTTGTGACGCCTACCCACACTCTCATCTTTCGCCATTCTCCATCCACAAACGATTCTTTGACCAATGGGTCACTCAACCCGATTTATCCAGTATATCCCCGTGTATCTGTCGATGGAGTTACAGTTCCTAAGTGCATGGTAGAGTTCGCAGATGTCTCTTCTGTTGATCTCAGCGATTACCGGACTTTGAGTCCTATGCCCGTCCACGGTACACTCGGATTGATCACTGTCAGCAATGATATATTCCTTTGCGTGATAACAGGCACGACAAGAGTGGCACAGGTGAGGCCTGGAGAGACGGTTGAAAAGATTCTAGGGGTAGAATTCCATTGTTTGAACAATGCCGAGTACGACAATACCTTCACGGACAATTTGGATCCTTACAATGTTGAAGATTCATATGGCCAGAACTTGAGCCGACGGGATCCAATAGTAGAACACCCCTGCATTGAGCTGCAGAAGTTGCTGGGCAATGGAAGCTTCTATTATAGCACAAACTTTGATCTCACGAATCGACTACAAGACCGGTAAGTAAAGTTGACTTGCCCACCATGCCAGGAACTTATATACGTTGTAGATCTACAGATGCAACAACGAATGATGTTGAGAGTTTCGACGACTCATTCCTATGGAACTCTTATATGATTGGTCCCTTGGGGAAATTTCGATCTCGTCTTGCGCTACATGAAAGAGAGGCTTTAGACAAGTCTGGAATCCTTACATCTGCAATTCGTGGCTTTGTCCTCACAATCACTATACCTCCGGCTTCTGATCCTTTAAGAACTTCGAAATCAGGCCTTCCATCATCTCTCACTTTGATATCTCGATTATCTTGTCGACGAGCCGGAACGAGATTTAATAGTCGAGGAATCGACGATGATGGAAATGTGGCAAACTTCGTTGAATCAGAAACAGTATACTGGAGTCCCTCAGCCAATGTACAATATTCATCGGAACAAGCGGGGGAGAAACCAGCTAGTGTCTGTTTCTCATACGCCCAAATAAGAGGAAGTGTCCCAATATTTTTCGAGCAGGCCCCTGGTTTGATTCCAGGTCAACAAAAGATCAGTGTAACCAGATCTCCCGAGGGCACTCAACCAGCCTTTGACAAACATTTTGAAGAATTAGAGCGAAACTACGGCGCAGTTCATGTAGTCAATCTGCTTAGTGAAACGAAACCAGGTGAAGCTGAAATCACTAGATCTTACCAATATGGAATCCGCCATTCGTCATTAAACAAAACAGAAGAGAAAAATTACAAAGACCATCAACTGCTAAGGGTCACAGAATATGATTTTCACGCCGAGACGAAGGGCCCTCAAGGGTATGAGGCAGCTAGTATGATTCGAAGAATCATTGAGAACTCAGCAGATGGTTTTGCATATTATTTGTCCGAAGATATTGAAGATACTGAAGATAGTCCTGCAATACAAACCCGAAGAACAGTTGTCGTATTACAACAAGAGGGTGTATTTAGAACCAATTGTCTCGATTGCTTGGATAGGACAAATCTTATTCAGACCATCATATCGCAAATGGCAATAGAGTCGTTTCTCGTGCATAGGGGAGCTAGAGGTACTTCAGATTTCTGGATGCGTCATTCAACCATGTGGGCTGATAATGGTGATGCTCTTTCAAAAATTTATGCAGGCACAGGAGCTCTGAAGTCGTCATTTACGAGACATGGCAAGATGTCAATCGCTGGCGCAATTGCTGATGCACGGAAGAGTGCTACCCGATTATATATAAACAATTTTGCGGACAAGGGACGACAGAATACTATTGATGTGCTCTTGGGTAGACTTGTGGGACAAGTGCCTGTGCATTTGTTCGATCCTATTAATGACTACGTGACGGCTGAGCTTAATAAGCGTAGCTCAGAGTTCCAATCTTCTGAGATGATAAATATGTAAGACTGCTTTCCTTTTACTCGTCACCAACATGCTGACTTGATGTTTTAGATGGGCTGGGAGTTTCAATCTTAATGGACGTACAAACGGTATAGAAGAAGATTTGTCAGGATGGTTATGTCCTGAGCTTGAGAAGTCACAGCAACAGCCCGAAATAGTAGTGGTCGGTTTCCAAGAAATAGTGGAACTTAGCCCTCAACAAATTATGAATAGTGATCCAACAAGAAAGCAAGCATGGGAAAAGGCCGTGCGAAAAACTTTGAATAGACATGCTCGTGCAGCTGGTTCAGATCACTATGTACTTCTTCGAAGTGGCCAGCTTGTTGGGGCTGCTCTGTGTGTCTTTGTAAGAGCTTCTGTTCTCCCTAATATTAAGAATGTCGAAGGTAGTGTCAAAAAGACTGGGATGTCCGGGATGGCTGGCAATAAAGGCGCTGTTTCGATTCGCATGGATTATGCAGATACTCAGATTTGCTTTGTAACAGCGCATCTAGCTGCTGGATTTAGTAATTACGAGGAACGGAATAGGGATTATCATACCATTCATCACGGATTGAGATTTCAAAGGAATCGAGGTATTGATGATCACGGTAAGTAGGCCCACATGATTTCCAAGATCGTTCACCAACGGAATTACAGATACGGTTATTTGGATGGGAGACTTCAATTATCGCATTGGACTTGGACCCGAGCGGGTAAGTAGACTTCTGTCAAATTTGATGTTGGATTTTGACGTTCTTCTAGGTCAAGCAACTTATAAAAATGGGTGACTTGGAGACTCTATACGAAAACGATCAGGTGAGTCTTCACAACACAGAACCACATGAGAAGCCCTCTAACAAAAGCTTAGCTAAACCTCCAAATGGTAGCTGGTCTAACATTCCAATACTATTCTGAGTCAAGAATTACCTTCATGCCGACGTACAAATTTGACGTAGGTGAAGATACTTACGATACTAGTGAAAAGGCCAGAATTCCTGCCTGGACCGACCGAATCCTCCGCAAAGGTAGTAATCTGCGCCAAATAAATTACAACGCCGCGCCCCTTCGCTTCTCTGACCACAGGCCTGTCTATGCAACCTTTCAATGCACTGTGAGCATCATCGATGAATCTGTCCGTGATTCTCTCAGCAGAAGTATTTACGACAGAAGGAGAGAGGAAATTGGCGGTGCGACGGCTAGTTCAAAAATGGATGGAACGGATGACGAGGATTTGATTGGATTTGAGAGCATCGAACCCGGTTTACCACCAGCAAGCTCGGATCAGAGGAAGTGGTGGCTTGATGGAGGAAAGCTCGCGAAAAGTCATGTCCAACCGCCAAGCAATTTGAAGGACGCGGTATTAAATCCAAAGAGGCCGAGTAATCCATGGACTTTGAGCGATGAACCTGACTGGGTCAATGTGCCAAGACCGGGCATGTCTTCGCGAAATAATTCACAGCAAATGCCCCCACAGACTCCTATGACAAGGAATGGCACGGTACCACGAAAGCTTCCGCCGCCTTTTGACCCTTCGGCTCTCCCGAGCTCCCAACACCGACTTGGAAATCCAACTACAAACAATTCATCAACTCCAAGCCTGCCAACAAAAACAGTACTTCCTCCACCACAAATATTAGCGAGCAATTCTATGACTCCAGGCCCGGCCACAACAACGAAATCAGTCCTTCCTCCACCACAACTCACACGCCGTGCATCTACCGAAACAACACGCTCCTCATACAAGAAAGCCCCACCTCTTCCGAGAAAACCTGTACATTTAGCTTCTACTTCTGTTTCACCTACACTTTCGACTACTTCGTTGGCTTCAAGATCGAAAGAAAGCCCAGCCCCGGTATCGGGAGAGTATAGAGATTTCTCACCGCCTGTCAGAAGAGCGACTTCTGGTTTAGATAAAAGCAATCTAGGACCACCCCCACCGCCGCAATCTCGAAGACCAGGAAGAACGGCGGATGATGAGGGACCGAAGCCAGAGTTGCCAAAGAGACCCGCAGATTTGTTGGGCGATAGTGATGATATGGGGGGATGGGAGACCTTGAAACCATCTAGATGATTGATGAGTGCTGGGATCAGAGCGAGGAGTTACAAAAGTGACGAGGGGAGATATATAGCTAGAGTGAAAATCTTGGTAGATGAGAAGAAAAGGGGCTATTGCCCCGGATGGAATGGAATAACAGCGATCAGCGAAGTATTTTACTAATTTTAGCGAAAATAAGAAATTTACTTTATAGCGTCAGTAAGGGTTTGTAAAGGACCCTTTTCATTTTGCATGTGATTATTTTTTCTCAAGGCGACATTCCGTCCCAGAATTGGGAGTCTGGGAGTTATGTAGATATAGGTAGGGGATTGTTAGTGGCCATTTATTGTCCAGATAATATGAAATATAAGCTTGAGTTAATTCCCATGCTTTGCTTTGATAGGTTTCGTTGATAGGTTTCGTTGGCAGTGAGAAGTGATAGGTGATAGGTGATAGGTGATATCCAAGTGGTGAATGACTGTCTAATTTTTATGTTGATATCTACTGTAAAGAGTTTTTGAGTTGGGTTGGGTTGTATTCAAATTCACTTCCTCTCTGTGTTGCGATTTTATAGCGTTTGTTTTTTGGTTGACTGGTTCAACCTCAGAATGCCCAAGTGGCCATATGTTGGTACCTACCAAGCCTTTGAATTAGATTATATTCACTTCTCCTTTGTCTTACGATTTTACTGTGTTCCGCTCTTAGTTTCTTGGGTTAAGGAAAGTGGAAGGTTTGAGAGAGTTTTGTTTTTATTCTCTGGGTTTTGATACTGAATCTAGCATCACACAATCAACAATATCTGAAGCATACAGTTCACAACTATGGATTCTTCTTCAGTTCAACAGTCTATGGCGGGTCCTGGCGATTCGTCACTTTCTCCATTAACTACTTCCCCAACTCCTCTCCCCACCCCCACCTCTGTCATTACGGGCTCCCCCTTTCTTAATGTGGCAAAAGAATATAGCTACTTAATGTTCGTTCTGACTTTTTTCGAGATGAAAACTCACGAGAGTTACACGGACGAAATGGTTGATGCAATGAGCAGCCTGACCATCGGCCTACTTGGGACAACAAGAGATAACATTGACCGAGACAATTTCGGAGCCTCTACTCGAACAATGCAGATCTTTGCTAAAAGATATCAAAAGTTTGATACAGGAGATTGAGGTTGCCGAGGAAGAACAAACAGGAGTCGTCGACCAAGAATACGTGGAAGAACTTTTGGTGAAATTGGAAAGGGCGGGCGAGTTGTGCCTCGATTTGGTTATGGGGATTTATTACCTAAAATATTCTGGGTACGGCTCTTTTTTTTCCTTCCCTTTTTTTTTCAAAAAGACATGGCTGGTTACTAGTATCGCATCGTATCGTAATGACTATTATAGACAAGTATAAATAGCACGGCTCACGAAACCAACCCGCACGGTGCGAAAATATGGGATTCAGGCCAAGTAGCGAGATCGATGAGGCTCTTACGAGAGACTTATGAATATCTGGACCCGGTCGGTTATCGGTAATACTATCTTTTGATGGAGCCGTCAAGAGCGAGAGCTAGGATCTTCACAAAATGCTTCTGATGGGGTTTGTAGGGATGACTTGTTCGCGGTTCGCTCTTTGGGGGTGGAAGCTAAAGATGAAGTGAAAAGTATGTGTTCGGTGGCGGATTTATCAACGGTGGTTGATGATGCAGGTTCGATTGGCTCGGGAATGGGAAAGGAAAAGGAAAAGGAAAAGGAAAAGAAAAAGAAAAAGGAAACGCGTTATGAAGCGTGGGTTCTTCGCTATGTACCTGCTCACGTACGAGTTGAATCGTGTTACAAATGGTTGGGCATTCGGTACTTCAGCCGGACAAAGGAGGTTCCTGAAGAATGGTCATTCGAGCCTCTAGCATCGCATCCTGCTGAGATTCAAGGGTTGAGACATAGGTTCATGGATGCGGCGAGGAATAAATTTCATGCATGTGGCTTGCAGGTGGAAATTATGGCTGGTGGTGAATTAGAAAAGCGGATGCAAGAGAATTATTTGAAGGAGGTTGTGAGGAGATTGGGGGAGGTGGCTGAGAGGCGGCTTTTGAGATTGTGTGTAGAGAGGGAAGGGGGTACATGTACGGGTAGTGGGGTTGAAGATGTGGATGTGGATGTGAATGTGAGGAGGAAGTGGGGGGTAGTGTCCATTGAGGCGAGGGTGCCGAGGGGGCTTTTTGAAGAAACGAGAAGGGTGGGGTTGGAGGAGAGTTTGAAGATGAAGAAGAATATGGAGTTTGAGGGAAGGAAGGGCTGGAGAAGGTAGATGCGGGTGAAGGGCTGGGGAGGGAGGAAGGGCTTGGCTGGGAGGGAGAGGGTGGAGTGGGTTGTTGTGGTTGGTGGGAGTAAGAGGGATGTGGTGGGTTTGGATGGGGATTCTTGGGAAGAGGAGAAGAAGTTTGGGGGTGGGAGTGCGGAAAGAGGAGGTGAAGAGAGGGATAAGGGAATAAATAAGGAAGTAAAGAAAGATGAAAAGAAAAGAGAAAATAAGAAGAGAGAGGAAGAGGAAACAACAGGAAAGGAGGAGGCGGAAAGAAGAATCAAGGTTTTGATGGAAAAGCTCTATGTTGTAGGAAATAGCAAAGAGAAAAAAGAGAGAGCCGGGGAAATCAATTAAAGGGGTAGGTATTGGGAGTATCATATCATATCCTCCATCAAGCAACAAAGTTTCTTCAAGAACAGCTTATACTTCGACGCAGAATTGGAGTACAAAGCTGAGAATGATGAATACGTTGACTTTTGGGGTGGGATCATGTGGAGAATGAGGGGATGGATATCTTTTGTATGAGTATGGTAGTACTTGAGTAGAAGAATTATGAGCGATGATTTTTAATTTTCTATTTTCGTATTGTTTTCTATTAGATGGCATTTATTGATTTACTGATTGACTGGTGGTTGTAGATAGATTTGGGGTTTGTGCTCTTATGTAATGTTTACAGGAGGATTGTAGTGTAGTGTATAGCGTAGTGTAAGTTCAAATTCGAGGAAAAGGTCGGATTTGATTTGATTATTCGAGTATATACTCGAGTACTATATCTTTGATATCCAATTTGACATCAAATTTTGACCGACCGACACAATGTCTCCTCGGAATGCAAGTTTCATCTACGACTATTCGAATGTATGACTACTCGACTCTGCGAATCTGCAACTCTACAGCTCTACAGCTCTACGCCAACCCCTCCTTACTCTCAAAACTATTCGTCACCACAATCCCACTCTGACTCTTCAAATTCAAATTTACGCCCTCTCTCCCCTGCACCCCCATCTCTCTTCCCTCCTCCAACTCTCCTTCGCGCTCATACCTCGCCGGCCCTTCCGCATGCGCCGTGATATGCTGCGTTTCGCTTCCATACGTATGACCCGATGTCCAGGGTTCTAATTTCGATTCTGAGGCTCCACTATAGTACATTTTATTTGCATTTCCATTTCCGTTTCCATTAGCAAATGCGTTTCTCGGATCCCCATGCACAGCAAATTCATGACTGTGGTTAGGACTGTGGTTGGGGTGCTGACTACTACTTCGCATGGAACGCAAGGAGATGGCGGATTGAACGCTGGCGACGAGGGACTGGACGCCGGGCGTGTTGAGGAGACCGTATTGTGCGGGGAGACAGGCGGCGATGATGCCGAGGGCGGATTCGATGAGGGACCAGTAGAGACCCGAGGTGCAGATGACTGTTGGGGGGAGGGGCTTAGTGGGGGGAGGAGGGGAATAAGGGGGAAGGGGACACACATTCAAAGTCGGCGTGGGGATCGTAGTTTACGGCCGTGGCTTCGATGAATACTATCATTCGTACGATGGAGGCGGCAATGGTACTTTGGAAGTTGATGTGAGCTTGGGGGTGTAGAAATAAGGAGGTAGTGAGGTAGTGAAAGTGGTGGAAGTGTAGATGGGTGCGTGCAACTTACAGAGCTCCGAGGGAGAAGATGGCTAGAATACCGATTTTACGGGCAACGGTGAGATGGAGACCGAAGATCTGAGTGTAGAGTTAGTGATTGATATTGCAGTATATTCTAGAGAAAGTTTGAGAAGAAAATCATGGAAATCTGTTGAATGCGACAAAAATGTGATAAATGCGATAGGAATCAACTGGAAACTTCAATTGAACAAAAATTCAAAATTCACGATAATTAATTTTTCAGACGTGCAACAGAAACTTCTGATTTTTCGGAACAGTCGGCCGCTTTGCGGGTGCGGAATAAAGGTGTGAAGGATACAGTGAAGTGAAATGAAGTGAAATGTGAAAGAAATCCACGCTTCACTTCTCCCATCCATCATTTATCGCTTCACTCTCAGGGGGTCGGGGCTCAAAAGAAAATCAACACAACACAACATAACAAACATACCATCGGAACCGGCAAACTTATAATGACAAAATCCGTCACCACATCACTAATCGCAAACGCATTATGCAATTTATCCGTATCGACACAATGAGCCTTTTCCACAATCGTACTAGTCCAATAAGCCGAGAAATCCGTGCCGCAAATAAAGAGGATGGAGAAGAAGAAGGAAAGAGTCCAGATGATGATGATGCATATCATAAACCAAGTGACGATGTTGAAGCGGGGAGCGGCGTTGCGGCTGAAGACGCGGCGGTAGAAGAATATTAGGGAGAGTTTGACGAGGCCGAGGGCGGGTATTTGGAGAAGCTCGCCGGGCCAGAATGCCTAGGGTGGTTGGGGTGTGAGGTTTTGGGGTGTGAGTGGGAGGATGAGGGGAGATGGGAGAGAATTATGAAGGGAGGAGAAAAGACATACGACGTTCGAATTAGGTTTCCCGATTTGTGTGGATGGAGCCGGTGCTGGATATCCCAATTGTTTGAGTCCGACCTCTTTTCAAATTTTCAACATCAGTTTCTCTTCTCTGCAGTGCCGCACAAAATAACACAATGGTTTCTCACCAGCCATTATAGCGACGCCCATGCCGATTACAAAAACCTTGATACCATTGTCAACATTTGTAATGTACCGCCTGATCCTCCGCTTCGCACGAGTATCTATTCACGTACCAATGCACCCATGATCAGATAATCATCCGCGCCCAATCCCACCTTTTTCAAATGTCGAGCGTAGATTCGTAGGCCTACTGTTGCGAAACATACTGGGATGAAAACGGCTGCGGCGGCGATGGCCAAATTTGCATGGATTTGGAGATCTGCCATTTTTTTGGATGGGGATGGGGATATTGGGTGGGTATTTGGCTTTTCAACGAGATGGGACGAAAACTAGAAATAATAAAAGGAACGTGGAAAATGAAAAGAGAAGATGAAAAGAGAAGATGAAGTGTGTAGAGATCAATAAGAAAACACAGATACCGAAAAAATCAACGGGATGAGAAGTTCATATAAACCTCAAGTGACCCCGTGGGGAAATTCATCGGGATATATTTCCACGATTCACACCTCCAGTATCAGCTCCTGTAAACCTTAATTCCTAATTCTACCCTGATCCTTATGAGGATATGAATTGAGGTAACATGTACTATAACATGTACTATAATACGCACTATAACAAGAGCTAAATTGAGCGAGCCGAAGGAACTATTCCTCAATGTAGACAATGCAGACTACAAGTTACAAGTCTAGAGGCATCCTTACAACAACGTTTTTTTCGCTCTTTTCAATGCGGTGGTGTTAAGGTTACTGGACTTGAATCATGCGGAAAGATACATTAGTGACTTTTCAGGTGGGTTGTGTTGGGGTATTCTGGCGAATTAGCATTGTGTTGTGAGTTGTACAGTGAGGTACAATAAGTCCCAATGTATCCAAGTATCAACGCACGATAATCCTTTGTGTGGATTTTCTGATATACATATGTAATCTGATATCTCCGTTGTACACAAAAGTATCTGTGGACGCTCATGAAGCAGACTGAGATTGTGTACGAATTGAAGCAAGCATCCCAACATAAAAGCAATGTTCGAATATGGAAATGAAATCTATCCATACCGCAAAGTCAAATTTGCAATGGCATATAGAAGGTGTGTGTCGTGCGCTGAAATAATGGATGGATGTACATAGTACAACCGGCCGTACTACTTGCAACACCGGAATCGCCACTTGTGACACGATGCTAACATGATAATATGGGGATGGATGGGCTGATTCCCTACCCACGAGTGGCAGGTAAGGGTACACAGAAATAATAATATCGAGTATGGGAAAGGGATATATCCGTGTGATATTGCTGATGTCCATGAATAACATGAAGGTTTACATCGATCAGTCATGAAGAAAGACCAGAATTATGGGACTGGCGAGCATTGTGGGGAAGATTGCTTCCTTCCGTCTTACAGTCTCAGTGGTATTGTACCACAAGGTTTCGGCGGTCAACATAAACTCGTGGTTGTATACCCGTTCACTATTGAAAGCCATGGAGTCCCGACCGAGGACAGAGAATCCTGGCCGGATGCGCCACCACATGTACTTTCCTCGACCCTGCTTACCATGCAATTTCCATGCAAGCAAGCTGCAGATAACGTTCTGCTGGCTGTAGTTGTGTACCTTCTCCGCCGTAATATGAGGTAGATCTCGACGTTGTACTAATACGTACAACGGTATTTCTAGGTCTTCTGGTTTCCCCGTAAGAAGATATCAAAGCCATGGATCTGAGGATCTGAGGATCTGAAACTATGTGTTGGTACTAAGCGGTTTGTGAAAAGCATGGCTAATGAGTAGGTATCCGTAAAGGCGTTGACAGCGGCGTGAGATGTACGGAGAGATCCATCAAGGTATCGAGGGAACAGCTTTAGTTGTATGGAATGTAAGATTATAGCTTGTATTTTATTTTCTCAAGCATGAATTTAATATTCATTCTCCTCAAGCCCTGTAGACGGAGACTGAGAAGTACCAGAAGTACCAAATAGGTACAAGAGTGTAAGTTATCAAACTGGTCCTGAAGGTCAAACCCTTGGTTTCACTCACTATCTCGGCATATTCCCATGCCAAGATGCTTCGATCAGGAAAAAAGCCCCAAACGTTTGATTTCATTCTTTCTATTCCCGCTTTCGATTTAAGAGGCTTGCCTTCGTGTGTTGTTCTATTGTAGAGATGAGTGACCATCAAGTCTGGGATGAAATCCCCAAAGGAAGTTACTCATATAGTAGAAGCTCATGCCACATCGCTCTATGTCATCATAATTAGATTAGATCATGTTAGGTTAAAGTTTTCCTATTGAATCCCAATCAGTGATCTACGATCGATTGTGATTTGTTGGAGCAAATCTCACCACCAAGTATACACTAGCAAGCTTCTGCTCAGTCTCAGGATTGGTGACGTCGACTCATATCATGGTGAAGCTATTGGGATTACACCTTCAGCTTATTATCACATGAGATCATGCTTGGAAAGCACGCTCTCCTCGAAACGACTGATTGTAGATATAAGCTAAAGTAGTTGAGCGGTGATGGTTATAGAGGAGACATTGGGTTGTGCGGCGGTAGTGTGTATGCTTTGTACACACCCAACACTGATGTGCCATTGAAGGCCGTGAGAAAGGGAAAGCTCGAAAAAACTTAGAGCCTTGAAGCATGCGACGGAACAGCCAAATGCGATTATCTCAACCCTCATGGGGTCATCACAAAAATATTGAGATTATCTCACAACTTTTGAGATGACAGCAATATTTTGTAGTGTGTTCCCGGCAAAAGTTGAGACTCATCCTGTTCCTGTGAGGTGGAAGCTATAACGCGGTAAGTTGATAGCCACTCATGTGTGATCATTTTATCTTATCTTATCCCATCCCTCAACATGGACGGACTCTTTGACGGAAACTTTGCAAGGTGGTGGGACACTGAATTTTCAAAATGGCCAACACGGATTGCGACAGCGACCATTCAATGGTCATTCCTCAACCGAAAAATTTAAATCGCGAGAAATTTCCTTGCCGATCCATACTAAATGAAATTATTAGCCCAGAATGGTAGCGGACGCAGATGTTGAAGCTATTCACCTCATCATCTTATTACTAACTACTCTACTCTACTGATAAGCCGGAACTCCTGGGCAGGGAAAGAAAGTCTGTCCTATGTATCTAACTTGGTGGTAGATCAAATCATATGAGAGTGCAAGGTGAGTAATAGAGGATTTTATATTCCAGTATAATATTATCTAATCTTACCATCTTTGTATTGCAATATCAAGTATGAAGAAAGCTTCTGAACAGCATTATCCATTCTTCCATCTTTCATTATTCAACTTTGGTGAGGATCGATGTGATGTCTTTATCAAGAAAAAAGAAAGACTTTCAAACCGCTTGCTAAAGAAGGATGTATAAGACATTCTTTAATTAAAGATTCTCTCGATAAATAGAATTTGGAAGGTCTTATAAGTTACTTGATTTGATATCAACAGGTTGAACAGGTGTATATACGAGTATATAGGTATGTATATTGCAATATTAATATAAAAACACATTATTTAAAAACGACTAAAATAACACTTTTTGAAAAAAATAAAACGACTGAAATAACACAATGTGTTAATTCAGGCCTAATTAGAAAGTTTATATGCTATTTCGGGTATCAAAGTTCAAAATGATGCTATTCCAGGTATTTACCGTAATATATATAATTGATGTTCACGACATAGAAATTAACAACCTACTACCTACTTACTCGGTAGATATCTCTAGGAATAGTTCAATTCTTTTCGGCTTGGAGGCTTGGAGCAACCCTATCGAAACTTCTTTGCACAAGCAGACCAGAGGATTTATGATGAATATTGGATTCTCAGCCACAAAAATACTATTTATTCTTTGTGCTTAGCTTAGAGAAGGAAGGACCTGTCTTTGTCTTGTCTTGTCTTATCTTCTCTCTCTTCATTTAATTATTCGAAGCTATGAATGCGAATTCCCCAGTAAATTAATTTACTGATGCTAGCTATGCTATGCAGAAAGAAAACTTATTATTGAAACTATTTATAAAGGTACTCGTCGAGTAGATGTGGACAGAACTATTCTTTGCATAAAAACACTCAGTACTCTAAGTAGTTCTTCGCGAGCTTCGCGAGCTTCGCGGCTTATGAATACCATCCATCTATTCCTTAAGGAGATTAAAGAGACAAGTCAAGTAGCTGCCTGCCCATAGAGATTGATGATATATAATATATACAGTACTTGTATAAAAGTCGTCTTTAGAAAGAAGGTGGTAAAGATCGAACTTAATGGGAATAGCGAGATTAAATTGGATGATATAGGTATATGAGTACAGTATGTTTATTCACCACTTACTCATCTTTGAGGAACTAGAGAGTGCACTTGCTATTGATATGATTGACTAAAAATGCAAAAATGCAGAAAGATAGAAAGACGATGGAGAAGAAAATATTATATTGAATATCGAATTTATTCAATCAAACCAATTCTAGGCAGCCTGGTAGATGGATGTAACAATATTGGTGAGACAAACCTTTCTCCTAATCCATCAGACATTAAGGTTACGCGATTATTTACGAGTACAGTGAAAAGTTCCGGTAATTATCTGGAACGAAGTAGAAATATCAAATTAATTTGAAGTTTAAATGATTAAAGATATTTCTTGCTATATCTTATTTGTCTAATAAAGACTTTGAAGAAGATACTTCTCCAGCTATACAAGTAGAAGATAGAAAATATCTTTGATTATGCTACTCGAGTACAAACTTCCGGCATGAGCAAGCAAGCACATCAGTAGTAGTTTAAAAGAAGCGTAAGACAATAGAGAACAAGTAGAATGATTAAAGTTTCTTTTAAATGTAAAAGGTTAAGAGTATAGTATTTCGTTATTTCGTTATTTTCATATGCGAAGACCCACCGACGCGGCGGAAATGTCTTATAACTTGGCGGCACTTGCTTGTTGATGAAGTTTTCACAGAATGGTTCCCCCAGGGATCATACCGAATCCATAAATAAATTATATCAACTTGCTTTTTATTTCTTATTTCTTGGGATTTTTCCCCTTTCCACATCCAAAATGAGCTATGATAGATGGGTATTCAGCCCCTTGCAAACTTGTGGGAATCGATACGAAATTGAGAAATTGAGTCTCGAGCTGGCTGCCAAATATTTCACGGTGTGACAAAACGGCTCACCGTGAGTGAGCAAAGACACATTCTTCGAGAACCAGTTCGTTTGATAAAATAACCTTAATATTATACTGGAGCATTTTCGGCACGGATATTTGTACTGTATCCAAGCTGCTTCTCTATGTTTGTTACATTCCCATTCCGACGGCTGTGAGCCTGTGATGGATATCAGATGCAATATCTATCTCACTTATTATTATTTGAGTATTCCTTATCTATTTACAAAATGCTGCCAATAATGCATCCATCATCAAAGACTCAAGAACTCAACACAGTGCCAGTGAAGTGTTCCAATCTTCAACCAGGTCGAGAAAGAAAGTCAAATATAGTTATCCGGGGAACCAAACACCCACGAATGAATTAGCTTTACAGTTAAAAGGTGGGACTACCCGAACCCCACTCCTCTCCTCTCCTCTCCTCTCGTCTCCCCTGTATCACATGGGAATAAGATTTGACAATTGAGATTTTTTATGGTTAGCTTAATAATGGAATGGGATAAAGTGGAATACTAGAATATCAGTAAATGGTTAAATGACTGGTTGGTTCATTGCGGACTTTTATCATTTTCCTATATCCGAAAGAATCAATTTGTTCGAGTCATAAAGTTGAGGAGGCTATTATCAGCATGACAGACAATAATATTCATTGGTTCCTCATTCATGAACCAACCTCGAGTTTAGACAAGTATCTAACTAATAAGGTTAAAGGTTAAGTTTTTGTTTGTCTGAATCTTCAAGGGTTCTTGACTGCCGCACTACTCGAGTATTTGTACCGGCAAAACAAATATTCATGCTGCTTTTATGAAACCTGAGTCGAAAAAAAAAAGAACTTCAAACATTTATACGATATACCGATACTGATATATTCATATACCGTTAGCTATAAAAGAAGGTAAAAGTGGTACCTATTATTTATTTTCACAACTAGACCCTTTCTTTCACGACTAGCTGGCTTCCTTTTGGGGGGAGGGGGGAGAGGGGGGCAAATTTCTTTTTTTCGTTGCTACAGTACGTACTCGAGTTTTGAGTATACAATTCTCATCAATGGGAATAATGTTAGTTCAGCACTTATCTCGACATTACTCATATTTATTCATATTAACCACACAAAGAAGGAACGACGTACGCGTCCCAAAGGGATCAATGCTCAGTCAGAGTAGTAGGTATCAGACCAGACCGACCATCAGAGAATTGACAATGAAGTGAAGTGCGATAAGCATTCACACTCAGCTCAGAGCTCTTGCCGCTGCAGCTCTGCTCTGCTCCAATAATGCCCCGGTGAGGAATACCTTTTTGTTGTATATTACCCCTCTGTCACATATCCACCAAGGGGGTTATATTGCAAAAGATCTACAAGGATTTAAAAACGACAGAGTCGGACGCGCCCTTCAAGCTTCCATGCAGAAAGCGCTAAATGGTAGGTACCGACAATTCGATATTAAATCCGAGTGGCACTTTTTTTTATTGATAAAGGTACTTGAAAGACCCCGACCCTGCGAGATTTCAGGAAAGTTTCCTGAGCTTCGATTTTTGATTGTCTCTTCTTTCTTCAACGGTTGTATACATTCCTTAATATTGGTAATTTGATCTTTTTCATACACTTGGTCCATCCGCGGACACACCAGCATCACCGTTAGGCTTGGCGATTGCCTTTTAATTATATATACTTTTATTATACACTGAGAGCTTCACAATTCGCACACCACCATGGAGAGAGTCAGGGGGGAAACGCCGTCCATAGGCACAACCACAAAAACCGCTCGTGCATCAATCGAAGATGTCGAGACCAAACGAGAAAATGCGCGGAACGCCAACCCTAAAGGTTTCGTCAGTACCAATCAAGGGATTGATATCAAAGCTGCCGAAGCTGAGTTCGCGGAGCTTCAGCGAGAGTTGACGGGTATCAGTACGAAGAGCAAGGCGTTATCTAAAACGCGAACGAAGTCTAAAACCGCCGGCGAAAAGGATGTAGAGATGTCGGCAGATTCAGTTGCTGACACCGAGGCGGAGCAATTTGATTTGGAGAATACCCTCCGAGGTAACAGACAAGCCGAAGAAGACTCTGGCATTCGTTCAAAACATATTGGAGTGTTATGGGATGGGCTTACGGTGCGCGGAACCGGAGGCGTGACAAACTTTGTCAAGACATTTCCAGATGCATTTGTCAGTTTCTTCAATGTGGTTGAAACTGCGATGAATATATTTGGTGTAGGCAAGAAAGGTAGAGAAACAAATATCTTGGAGAATTTCAGGGGTGTGATGAAGCCTGGAGAGATGGTTCTTGTGCTGGGCAGGCCTGGGTCTGGTTGCACAACTTTCTTGAAAGTCATCGCAAATCAAAGATTTGGTTACACAGGTGTGGACGGGTAAGTCTACATATTTTTCCATTGTTTAAGTTTCAATCACTAACAATGACATATAGAGAGGTACTTTACGGCCCTTTCGACGCTCATGAATTTTCCAAAAAATACAGGGGAGAAGCTGTCTACAATCAAGAGGACGATGTCCATCATCCCACTCTGACTGTAGGCCAAACCTTAGGTTTCGCGCTTGATACCAAAACTCCGGGAAAGCGCCCACATGGAATGTCAAAGGCGGACTTTAAGGAAAAAGTAATCGACACACTTCTTCGCATGTTCAACATCAGTCACACTCGTAATACGATTGTGGGCAATGCTTTTGTCAGAGGTGTGTCTGGAGGAGAAAGAAAGCGTGTCTCCATCGCGGAAATGATGGTCACAAGTGGTACGGTATGCGCTTGGGATAACAGTACAAGAGGACTCGACGCTTCGACCGCCCTTGATTATGCAAAATCTCTGCGTGTTATGACAAACATCTATAACACAACGACTTTTGTTTCATTATACCAAGCAAGTGAGAACATTTACAAGCAATTCGACAAAGTCTTGGTCATCGATGACGGAAGAGAGGTCTTCTTTGGACCGACAACTGAAGCGAGAGCCTATTTTGAAGGTCTCGGCTTTAAGGAGAAGCCCCGTCAAACGACTCCTGATTTCTTGACTGGTTGTACAGATGAGTTCGAGCGCGAGTATGCAACTGGTCGCTCTGCTGCAGATGCACCACACAGCCCTGAGACATTAGCTCAAGCCTTTTCGAACTCAAAGTTCTCAACTCGCTTGAGCCAGGAAATGGACGACTACAAAAAGCAAGTCACCACCGACAAGAAAATCCATGATGACTTTGAGGTCGCAATTCATGACAGCAAACGAAAGGGGGCATCGAACTCTTCCGTGTACTCGATTCCTTACCACTTGCAAATATGGGCTTTGATGCAGCGACAATATTTGATTAAGTGGCAAGACAAATTCTCTTTGGTCGTCAGTTGGGCTACTAGTATCACTGTCGCCATTGTCTTAGGTACCGTGTGGCTTAATTTACCCCAAACTTCTGCCGGAGCATTTACTAGAGGTGGTCTTCTCTTCATTTCACTATTGTTCAATGCCTTCCAAGCGTTTTCCGAATTGGCATCCACCATGTTGGGTAGACCAATTGTGAACAAGCATAGATCATACACCTTCCATCGTCCGTCCGCCCTCTGGATCGCTCAAATTATAGTTGACACTGCGTTCTCTGCAGCCCAGATTCTATTGTTCTCGATCATTGTCTACTTTATGTGCGGATTAGTGAGAGATGCTGGAGCATTCTTCACTTTCTACTTGATCATCCTCAGTGGTTATCTGGCCATGACTCTCTTTTTCCGAACAGTCGGATGTCTTTGCCCTGACTTCGATTACGCAATCAAGTTTGCCGCTACCATCATTACCTTTTTCGTCATTACATCCGGTTATCTTATTCAATATCAGAGCGAGAAGGTCTGGATTAGATGGATCTACTGGATCAATGCACTTGGTCTTGGATTCTCCGCGTTGATGGAGAATGAGTTCAGTCGTCTTAATTTGACTTGTACAGGCGCATATCTTGTCCCATCCGGTCCAGGTTACAATAACATCGAAAACCAAGTTTGTACGCTTGCCGGCAGTGTTGCTGGATCTAACATCGTCTCTGGTAGCGACTATATCACACAAGGATATGGCTACAAACCTTCTGACCTCTGGAGAAACTTTGGTATTATCGTGGTTTTGATCGCTGCTTTCTTATTTACCAACGCAACACTTGGCGAATGGGTTTCATTCGGAGCTGGCGGTAACGCTGCCAAAGTGTATCAGAAACCCAACAAGGAGCGTGAGGACCTCAATAAAGCATTGACCACCAAGCGCGATCAACGCCGTGCCACCAAGAGTGAAGAAGAAGGTTCAGAAATCAACATCAACTCGAAGGCTATCTTGACCTGGGAAGGATTGAATTACGATGTCCCAACTCCGGCTGGAGAATTACGTCTTTTGAACAACATTTTCGGTTATGTTCAACCAGGTGAATTGACAGCGCTTATGGGAGCATCTGGTGCTGGAAAAACAACATTGCTTGATGTTCTGGCCTCAAGAAAGAATATTGGTGTTATTTCTGGTGATGTTCTCGTTGATGGTATCAAGCCAGGTAACTCTTTCCAAAGAGGAACTTCATACGCTGAACAACTCGATGTCCACGAAGGTACTGCAACTGTCCGAGAGGCACTTCGATTTTCCGCCGATCTCCGTCAACCTTTCGATGTTCCACAGTCTGAAAAATACGCATATGTTGAGGAAATTCTCAGTCTCCTTGAGATGGAAGATATGGCTGATGCAATCATTGGAGATCCTGAAAATGGTCTTGCAGTTGAACAACGAAAACGTGTGACTATTGGAGTCGAACTCGCGGCCAAGCCTGAGCTGTTACTCTTCTTGGATGAACCCACTTCTGGTCTTGACTCTCAAAGTGCATTCAACATCGTCCGTTTCTTGAAAAAGTTGGCAAATGCTGGACAAGCTATTCTCTGTACCATCCATCAGCCTAACGCAGCATTATTCGAGAACTTCGACCGATTGCTCCTTCTCCAACGTGGAGGAAGATGTGTCTATTTCGGTGACATTGGAAAAGATGCTCACGTACTCCTTGACTACTTCCACAAACACGGAGCGGACTGTCCATCGGATGCTAACCCTGCTGAATGGATGCTCGATGCCATTGGTGCCGGTCAAGCCCCAAGAATCGGAGATCGCGATTGGTCCGATATCTTCGCAGACTCCCCGGAACTCGCCAACATCAAGGATAACATTTCCCAAATGAAGACACGACGTCTCGCCGATGTAGGCAACAATGCCCCGGTTGACGAGAGAGAATTCGCGACGCCTTTACTACACCAACTGAGAGTTGTTCAAGCACGTACCAACTTGGCTTTCTGGAGATCCCCCAATTATGGTTTCACTCGTCTCTTCAATCACGTTATCATCGCCATCATCACCGGTCTAGCCTATTTAAATCTCGACGATTCCAAGGTTTCCCTACAATATCGTGTCTTCGTCATCTTCCAAGTGACTGTTCTCCCCGCACTCATTCTTGCTCAAGTCGAACCTAAATATGCTTTATCTCGCATGATCTACTACCGAGAAGCCTCTTCGAAAATGTACAGTCAATTCGCCTTTGCATCATCACTAGTCGTGGCCGAAATGCCCTACTCCATTCTCTGCGCCGTCGGTTTCTTCCTCCCGCTCTACTACATGCCCGGATTCCAATCGATGTCCACGCGCGCCGGCTACCAATTCTTCATGGTGCTCATCACCGAGCTCTTCTCGGTCACCCTCGGCCAAATGGTAGCAGCCCTCACCCCTTCCCCCTTCATCTCGGCACTCGTCAACCCCTTCATCATCATCACCTTTGCCCTCTTCTGCGGCGTCACAATCCCCAAACCCCAAATTCCCAAGTTTTGGCGCGCCTGGCTCTACCAACTCGATCCCTTCACTCGTCTCATTGGCGGCATGGTCGTGACGGAACTTCAAGGTCGAGAAGTTAAATGTACTTCGTCGGAACTCAACCGTTTCAATGCCCCTGCCGGTCAAACTTGCGGTGAATACATGGAAAACTATTTCTCCGGCGGCGGTATTGGATATATTGTCAACAACGCCACCAGCGCCTGCGAGTATTGTGCGTATAAATACGGAGAGGAATTTTATGAGCCCCTGGGCTTGGAATTCAATAATCGATGGAGGGATCTGGGTATCTTTTTGGCGTTTATTGGGAGCAATTTGATTATTCTTTTATTGGCGGTAAGTAACAAGTTCCTCGTCATCTTTCGTTGCTTGAGAATTTTTACTAATATTCTTTATAGTCGAGATACCTCAACTTTAACCGTCGTTAAAGTATTACTTTGCTTTGCTTTGCAGTAAGCAGCGCCGCGCCGAGTTGTATTAAATTTTTTGATACCAAATACGCATTTCATAGTACGGTCGGTTCCTAAAATTAGCCCAGCTTTTGGCTATAAAATATCAACAATACCAGTAACACCAACAAACAAATACCCCTTCACTTTACTTCTTGCACAAAAATTCATAAGTTATCTTTCGAGATTTTCACAGCGTTTATTCTATTCATATAGACAGACCGCTAAGACCGCTAAGACGAGCGGGATTCAGAGGATTCAGATTACTTGGTTATAGATTAGATGAAGTATGAGAGGGAATGTTTCATGTTTTCATGAGGGATTTTGCGAGGGGTTTCATGAGGGGTTTTATGATTTATATGTATGTTTGTGGGTGGTAGGGAGGGCTTGTTTTTGGTATATGAGGAAAGGAGGGAATGAAGGAAGGAAAGGGAGGGAAGGGAAGGGAGGGAGGAAAAGTTTTTTTTATGATAGGGGGCGGGAATGTGTGGGTGAAGATGTTGGATGGTATACCGGTAATGTTGATGATGGTATGGTGTTGTTGCGGTGGATGTGGAGGGTAGAAGTATATATGGGGGGATGAGAGGAGATGGGTTGAGGGGGGGAGATGAGATGAAATGAAGTTGTGTGCCTATATACCGGGTTTAGTTATATTTTTTTAATGATTAGATTTTCTTTCATTATGATTAATGGTGGTTTTGATCTTATTATCTCGTATCATAGTATATCATATCTGATCTACTACCGTATTCATCCCTTTGCTAGTACTAAATTGATACAAATATACTTAGTAGTAGTAGTAGAAGTTGTACTAGACTGCGATTTCCGGTATTTTCATCATTTTCATTACTATACATAGAACTTACTTTTTACTTTTATTTCTACTTTTACGTTTACTTTTTGAAAATAGAAATCCCTTATTTTTCCTTCTACATCTTAGCTCTTAGATCTTAGCTCCGCAACAACTTCGCAACTTCGGTTCGAAGATAATTTATGAATTTATGAATTTATATATGTATAGATCTATAGATCGATGAATCTTTACTTATATTTCATATCTTATACCTTGTATCTTATACTTCCCTCCTCCCTCCTTATATCTATAGAGGTGACCTTATATAACCTCCTTATACTCGTATATTATATATATTATGTATTGATTATATGTCATGTATTATGTATTTTGTATTACGTACTGGTACTAATACGAGTATGAGTACGAGTACAGTTAAGGTTAAGGTTATATTGTACTGGTATACTCGATTATATAAATAACCTCGCTTGTCTGGATTGCCTGGATTGCCTGGATTGTCTGATTTGCATAGCGTGGTGTGACGTAACGTAACGTGGTGATACTTTTAATTTAATTTAATTGGGAATTCTTTTGTACTCGAGTCTTCTCGAGTAACTACTCATTACTATTGGTTTGGGTTGGTTTGGTTTGGTTTGGTATAATTAGTAAGAGGAAGTATGGTGTGAGGAAACTTGAAGAAAGGAATTATGAGGTACTATGGAGAATTAGTAGGAGTGCGTACTGTACTCGAGTAGTTGTGGTTTTTAAATAACTTTTAGGAACTTTTCAAGTTGTTAGTGGGGATTTGTTTGGAATTTGTGAGGGGGGGGAGGGGGGGAGAGGGATGGTTGGATGGAGGGAGGGACGGATAGATACTCGCAAATAACACTGGATTGATTCATTTTGAATTAAAGATAGTATTACTCGACTATTCGCAATAACACTTGTGACGGTGTTGGGGGGTTTGAATTTTGCCGGTGCCGAGTGGTGCGGTGCGGGTGTTTGGTTTATGGGGAAGGGAATGAGGGGATGAGAATGAAGGGATGAGAATGGAGATGGAGATGGAGACGAGGATGAGGATAGAAGAAAGAATGCAAATGAGAATAAGAGAATCTAAATATTTGAATAACGATGTAATGATGAGAATATATGCTAGAAGACTGAAAAATTACAATAATAATAATAATAACAAATAAGAATAACTACTCAATATTCACTACGAATACAAGAATGATAACATCAATCTAGATGCAAAGTCAGAATAAAAATCAAGATTGGTGGAATACTTAATAACTGGAGAATAAAAATGAGCTGGCTATTTATTATACTTGAGTATAAGTATATACAGCCTGAGAACTTTCTTCTCGTTCATGATCCGGTCCGGTCCGGTCCGGTCATTTGTGAATTTGGAAGTTAAGGAAGACTGTGAAAATAAATGGATGATTTGGTGAATACCGTGACGAGATGTTTAAGGGGAAGTAAATCCGAATTTGAGACTGAAAATTGAAATTTGGAAGTAGATGTTGAAGGAGAAGGAGAAGAATTTGATTAGTATATCTACTGGTAGAGTTCCTTATATTATTGAGATATGATACTCGAGTAGATGGGATAGATATTCTTCAATCTTTTTATACTAGGTCTATTATACATATCAATATATAGTTAGTACTATAGTAGTAGAGATATAGTTCGTATTGAAGTCGAATATACTCGTAATGTGATATAACATCATTTCTGCCATTTAATATATATATCCTCAAGTCAACGTGACCAGCAATCTTGATCTCCCCTTCCTCCTATCCTGCCTTGCAGGAAGGGAAGGGATAGGTTCGTTGGCGCTTGAGGCTAGGAGTAGGAAGAGGAAGGAGTGGATAAATTCTTTTCAGGATAGGAAAGGAGTGCAGAGGAATAGTTGAAAATGAGGTTAGGAATAGAGAGGAAAGGTTGAAATGATTGAAAGATTATTCTAATAGTTTGGAGGAGAGGGTTAGAGGGCTGGCTTGGTGTTGATTATGTGATAGTTAATCATATGATTCCTATGGATACCCCTCACCCCCAAAAAATACCTTCCCCTTCTCTTCCATCCTAGTTTTAAGAATAGGAAGGAGTGCCATCTTTCAAAGGTGAGGAACAGGATAGGAGAGGAAAGGAAGAGGAAAGGAGGGAAAATCAAGATCACTATACGTGACCGTGACCGTGACGGGGAATTTATATGAGTATACCAGTATTTTATTTTTGAAAACTGCGCAGTTAGCAGTTATCAGTGAAGCCTTTGTATAATTATAAACTAATTCGTTGGTGGATTAGTAGACTATATATAAGGAATTGAAGATGGTTTTGTGGATTATTTCATTTGTAGATTGGATATCAATCATCAATCAAGTGTATATGTTTCTGTCACGGTGTTGAGATTCATGTTGATGTTCTCGCTTCGAGTCTTTACTACTCTCGGTTCGGGATAAATGGTTTGGAGTTGGAGTTGGAGTCGTGGGGTATGAGCATTGTGGATATAATGTTTGTGGAGAGGGATAGAGGAGAAAACGGAGCGGGACGAAAAGAAGGGAAAGGCGAGGATAGGAATGAAAAGTAGCGGAATAAGAGAGAACGACCGGAAGAAGACAGAGAGAGATATTGAAAACGAGAATTTGACGAACGGAAGATTTTAGCTAGTTCTTTATTTCTAGACTCGGATAGAAACTATGAAAGCTATCAAGATGATCTCTAGATCTTCATTTATATTATAATCATATTCTCTAATATTAATAAAAGTTATTCTCTTAAATTTAAAGTATCTAAAAGTCTTATTTATACTTTTTCTATATAATTATCTTTTATTCTAATAATATTATATACTAGTAGATAATATAAACTATTTTTCAGATTGTTTTTTAGATTATTAATTAGACTATTCCTCAGATTATTAATCAGATTATAAATCAGATTATAAATC